GGGGCTGTCAAACTCCATTGTTAACAATCCCTTTCCTCCCAAAATTTATATATTATATATATAAAATATCAGTGACTTGACAAATTCTATTGATCAACCTATGACCTGATAGTAGCATAGTTTCAACTTACCACCTGGAACAATCTTGCCAGCTATATAAACGTTTTGGGACGTAACCCATTCATCCCTCCTCTGTAAGCTCAAAGCGTTTAAACTTGTCGACGGCAGCTTCTGATAATCAATTAGGGAGAACTTCTCCGGAGTGTGGGACGCCGTGGACGATTTGTATGGTGGGGACAATCTAAAATACAGATGTGGTATTTTCAATCGACTTTCAAAAGAAGAAACTTCTAATTTCGATTGCAATTTTTTTTTGTTTGTTACTTCACAACTCCGTCAGTTTTTTTTTTTTTTAATGGCTGATAATGGAATGGTAACCCCACCCGCGCTATCGGTATACACCGGCAGGACACCAGTGAAGGATGATAGGTGAGGATGAAGCAGGTCAGTTAGCCCATCGCGACGAATTCAACAAGAACTCTGTCAGTTGTAAACCGATTTGTAAAATTCCTTTTTCAAATCGGTTTACAAATTACTTTAAAAATAGGTTTAGTAGTTTATTTTTTAGACCCAAATAACAAGTTTTATCACAATTGAAGTCGGTTTTTTTCTGTGGAACAAACTATATTTATTTATACTTACATCTGTAATTAATTATATTATATAGGGGGGAAAGGGATTGTTAGTAATGGAGACTGAAAATCCCATTGCTAGCAATATACCCAACCAGGTCGACCTCCTCGCGGTTCCCCCTGGAAACTATCATGGTTAATTTCTGATGAATTCATCATGATGGGCTAACTGGCCTGTTTTCATTCTCATCTATCACCCTTCACTGGTGCTCAGCCAGCGTATCCCGTTAGCGCAGGCGGGGTTACCATACCATTTTCATCCTTAAAAAAAAATCATATATATATATATATATATATATATATATATATATATATATATATATAATGAGCGGTCATGACGCTCTTGCTATATACGAGTTATAGAATAAACGGCGTGATATAAATATAAATATGGCGTGAATTTACAGGGTACAGAGGAATAACACCTGAGTCCTCAGGAATGGCAACGCGTGGGGGGTATCATGGGCGAAACAGTATACTCTGTTATGTCCATAGTACTGCTCATGTCTATAGGCGACGGTTACCATTTTACATCAGGTGATCCGTCAGCTTGTTTGGCATTCCAAGTTGAATAAAAAAAATTCATCAAAAAGGGTGATAAACCTTTTTGATGAATGACCTTTATTTACAATCTATCTATCTATCAAAAGAAACCTAATACGAGGTCTGTCCGGAAAGTTCGTATAAAAGTGTTCTGGAATGCGAGAAAGAGGAGTGGGGAGGCCAGGTAAGCGCAGGACCCCTTCCTTATGTCCCTAACAATGCTTCAGTTCTGGTCTGACCGCCGTGCGGTGCGAACTGGCTTGTCACGCCATCTGTGAAGTTACCTCTTAACGAAACCCCGTCGGCATGGAGCCCGCTTCCGTTGAAGAGCAGCGCGTCGTAATCAAGTTTCTCTCGAAACTCGGCAAGAATGGCCGTGAAATTTTTGCCGATCTCAGAACAGTTTATGGGGATGATGCTGTGAAGGAACCAACCGTCCACAAGTGGCTAAAAAGATTCAGAGAGGGCCGAGAAAGAGTTCGATGTTCGGGGGATTGTCCATCAAGAATTCGTCCCTCCAGGCCAGACAGTTGATGGAAAATTCTACGTCGATGTGCTCAGACGCCTCAAAGCTCGTGTGGCACGAGTTCGTCCAGAATTGGCGCGAGAGGGGCGTTGGATTCTTCACCACGACAATGCCCCTGCCCACACCTCTCTTGTTGTCCGTGAGTTTTTGAGTAAAAATTCCATTACGATGACCGAACACCCCCCCTATTCGCCGGATTTGGCCCCGTGTGACTTCTTCTTGTTTCCAAAAACCAAATTGGTACTTCGGGGGCGGCATTTGGGGGACATAAATGAGATAAAAAAAGCTACGACGGGGCAGCTGAGAAACCTACAACCAGAGGACTTTCAAGGAGCCTTCTCACAGTGGAAACGGCGTTGGCACAAGTGCATTATGTCACAGGGGGAGTACTTTGAAGGGGATAAAATTGATTTACCTGAATAATTGTAAAATAAAATTTTTAAAAAACTTTTATACGTACTTTCCGGACAAACCTCGTATATATATATATATATATATATATATATATATATATATATATATATATATATATATATCGAAACGGTACCGATATTATCCATGCGTAGTTTAAATGACTTACCTTCTGAACTTTTTAATACCACAATCGTCAGTCGAAGACGTACTATACCTCCTGAATGTCTCGACAGATGGCGCTGTTTTTGTTATTAATATATTCTCAGGGGTGTCACACAAAACTTCCGAGTCGTCAAACCTCCTTCGATTGGACAATTCCGTTTTTAAATAATCATCATTCTCGGAGTCAGTTTTAATCCCGGACTCTCTCAGATCACTAATACGCTTCTGTGTGAGAGATTTTAATGTGTTAGGCGTTGAACTTCTACGTTTTGGGAACGTTCCCATGAATTTAATTAGGTTATCCTCTAGAATATTCGTTGGGACAGATTTTTCTTTGCCATTCTTCTTGTCAAATGTCAATTTTGGCAAATCAAAACACCTCAATATTGGCGTCCTTTTCTCTAATCTTATTGGACTTGACGCCACACTTTTGCTCGTCCATTTGTCGACTTTGGCCGTTTTGACAGCCCTGACGGACGAGGTCGTCGGCGTGTTGCGTGCTATCTCTTTCCTTCTCAGGAAGTTTAAGAATCCGTCTCTTTTCTCGTCCGAGTCGCTCGACACTTCGTGCTCTTTGGACAGTATATCAATCGATTCGACAAACTGGGCCCACTTTGAGGGTTTGACTGGTTTCTTTTTAGTTAAAAATGTTGTTTTTTCCGGATTCCTTTTTGGCGAATAATCCGATACGGACATTATAGGTGTCGGTATGTCACTATGTAATGTTTTTGAGGCTTTGTAAACTATATTTGCAATTAATTATTGCGTCAAATAAGTTTATTGTATTTATTATGATATATGACGTCATAGTACAGTATTAGGAATAAAAAAGACTTAAAAGTGTCGATATTAATTCAAATAATAAAAAAATAATGGAATAATAAAAAATAAAAGTAATAATAAAATATGTATTTCATAATGGAAAAGTAAATAAAAAAAATAAATAATAAACAATAAAAAATAATCAAATTATCATCATATTTTAAAACAGGATAATAAATTATAATTCAGTTAAATGGAAACAGAAAAGAAATAATATTTTTTTTTTTTTTACAATATAAAATCATAATATTAATATGTAGAAATTTATGTGGAAATAAAAGCAGTCATTACCACAGAGTAAATGTAAAATAGTTATAAACAGGCAAAGGTATTTTTTTTATACATTTAAGTAAAATATGTAATTTCACGAAATTTTAATTATCGAACAAAATTAAAAATAGAATGTTTAGCAGTTACAACAATAGCATACGGATACACAGTGCATAGAAAAGGAAAATTAAATACGAAAAAAATGTTAATAAATTTATTATTTTACCTTCCAAATAGTATTTATTGCATAAAGGCTAAACTTAGAAAAAACAAATGTTTTTTTTTTCAAATGCGGAATGACACACTGACGACCCATCTGACGGAAAATTTATAACCGTCGCCTATTTACATGAACACCATTATGGACATCACAAAATATACTGTGACGCTCGTGGTATTCCCTCCTGGGGATTACAGTTTCATAGCTACGTACTCTGTAATTTCACAACCATATCCCACCCCTCAAACCGATACACCAAAAGCTGCTGATAGATACATTTTGCATCTCAGACAAAAGGGGGAAAGGATTGTTAGTAATGGGGACTACTAGCCCCATTGCTGGCCATATACCTGGGTAGGTCCATCTTCACGCTATCTAACTTAGAAACCATCGTAGTAAATACCTGGCGAATTGGTCACGATGGGTTAACTGATCTGCTTTCATCCTCACCTATCATCCCTTACTGATGCCCCGCCAGCGTATATCGTTAGCGCAGGCGGGGTTAATATTCGATCTTACTTACGCGTACTACCAGTCCCATTGCTAGCAATATACCCCTGAAAACCATCGTGCTGAATTTCAGGTGTATTCATCACGATGGGCTAATAGACCTTCCTTTTCGACCTCGAAAAGGAAGGTCAGTTAGCAGGAATTTTTAAAAATGGAACGTTTATATTTTATTCTTCTAATAGGGTCGGTATGTCAGAAGTTGGTATTATATTGGATATTTAAAAAACGAATTAAAATTGTAAATAAACAACTAAGCTTGGAACATTTCATATATAATATGCTACGCGAAATCATACGTCATTACTGCTCCGTCGCTTCACAGTGACTGGTATAAATCACTATAAATGAAATCGCCGATATCGCTGCGATCGGATTTATTCGTGAATCGTCGGCTGCGCTCGGTTAGCAATGAAATCACAACTAACAACCGATTGCACTGTACAGAGCGAGCGAATAGAGACTTTATTACTTTGCATTAAAGTTTTAATATAACAACTGCCTGTTTAACTTACGTCTAATTAGATGGACAAAACGAAAAGCAGACAAATAGGAAGAATGCCGTCTTATTTACGCCGCCTACAGCTCGCATTCAGCGGACCAGGGCGAGAAGTCAGGGTCGCGGTCGCTTCACAGCCGCTCATGATTAATGGTCACGGATTGATTCCGAAACTAGTCGAGCTTTTTCGATCTAATTGTATGTAAGTTAAACCGGTAGTTATTGCATCAAAATATAAGATGTATTTACGAATCTTTTAATAATAAATCTGCATTAAACTGTCTATTCGCTGTCTCTTAATATAAAAATCATAATTCCTATTTATTAGTGGGCGTGGGTACTGACCGTGCTCATTGAAGTGCTTCTCGAGTTCTTCGTGCGAGATGGTCTGAGTGGCGGGCGCCTCCGCCGCCACGGTCTGCTCGGGCCTCGAACGGGAGCATCTGCGGATGGTAACTGTATTACTATTTATTTATTTTTTATTTATACCATATTACAAAACATTATCATATACAACTATAGGCGACGTTTACCAGTTTCCATCAGGTGGGCCGTCAGCTTGTTTGCCATTCTAAGTTGTATAAAAAAAAATCTCAGCTATCTGTCCACTGTTGGACATAGGCCTCCTCCATAGACGGCCATAAGGAACAGTAATGAACCACCTGCATCCACTAACTTCTTGCAATGCATTCGATGTCGCCACTCTGTCTAGTGGGGGGTCGTCATACACTGTGTTTGCCTGTACTGGATCGCAACTCAAGAACCTTTCTTCCCCGTCGGTTGTCGGTTCTTCAAGCTACTTTGGCCAGCCGATAGCCACTTCAACTTGCCTATCCTTGGGGCTATGTCGGTTATTTTGGTTCTTTTACGGACTTTTTTGTTTCAGATTCTATCACGCAAAGAAACTCCGCACATAACTTTGTACATAGCCTGTCACTGACACACAGTGACTTTGGTTCTTTTGTGATTTTATACGTTACGAAGGCTAAAGCCGGCTCTGGTAACAAACATGGTGGTAGAAGAGCAGTATACCTGAGCATAGCATTGCTGCAGCGCAGCGCGAGCTCTAGTCCGTCGAGCCAGCAGTGGCCGGCGGCCTGCGACGGCGCGCGGAAGATCAGGTGCGCAGTCGGAAGCGGCTGCACCACCGCGCCTGCACACACGATCCATACTTATAATAGTTGATCCAACCGATTGCAATAGTTGATCCATATATCAAGATGTGGTCATGTTGTTTTCAAAAGTAGATCCACTAGATACACATTACATAACAAAAGTTGATCCAATAATCCATACTATTACTTATAATAATTGATCCAACCTATTGCAATAGTTGATCCATATATCGAGATGTGGTCATGTTGTTTTCAAAAGTAGATCCACTACATACACATTACATAACAAAAGTTGATCCAATAATCCATACCATTACTTATAATAGTTGATCCAACCGATTGCAATAGTTGATCCATATATCAAGATATGGTCATGTTGTTTCCAAAAGTAGATACACTGGATACACATTACATAACAAAAGTTGATCCAATAATCCACACCATTACTTATAATAGTTGATCCAACCGATTGCAATAGTTGATCCATATATCAAGATATGGTCATGTTGTTTCCAAAAGTAGATACACTAGATACAAATTACATAACAAAAGTTGATCCAATACATCACTGACGTTGATGACATCTTAATTAGTAAATTAGTACATATCTACTGATTTCATTGATCAATAAAGTTTGTTTATTTATTTCTTATTGCATTCCATAATGTGGTTGGTAACATTTCAACCTCAATTATGAACCCTGTTGGTTACAGCAAGTAGGAGAGAAGAGCACAACCCTATTTTTCACTTTAGAAAGTTTAATTTATTGTCGTAATACTTGATACATATATAAAAATATGATTTTATTGTTTCCAAAAGTAGATCCAATAGATACACATTAGGTGACAAAAGTTGATCCAATACATAGCAGAAGTTTAAGACGACTCTATTAGTAAATTAAAATTTATTTATTTATATATATATATATTCCTTATTCTCCACATTACAAAAAAAATGTTTGGTACGAAAGGCGGACTTAATGCTATATTTTGGCAAAACAGAAATGTAATTATGCGGTGAAAAATTGAAAATTGTTGTAGATAAACAGTTACAGACATATCCATATTGGTATAAAATATATTTACTGTTTAACTAAGTAATTTTATTGCTCAATAAATGTTAAGTAAACAAATTAATTAAGTTTCAAATAAAGTAAACAAGTTAATTAATATTACTCAGTCTTTATTTTAATTTTACAAAATTAAAAAATACTATTCTTTACGTTACAACATGGACTTTATTTATTTATTTTTAAAAGGTACATCAACAATTTAAATACAGACATTAATTTTAATTGATATACAGGGCTTGCATCTTGCATTTACACCAATTACAGATGTGCACAACATTCTCTTAAGTCAGCGATTACATATTAACAAAACTGACACTAAGAAAACAATAAAAAAAAACATACAAGTAACAAACATAAAAATACTTAAAATATACTTGGTCGAGAACTAATATTTTGGCAGTCTAAACTAATTGAGGAGAATTTTTGAAGTCGAAGCTAAATTGATAATCATGATTGATACTTATATTCAAATATAAGACAAAACAATTTAAATCTGTAAACAAAATTATAATAATATTTTCTCTATGATGTTATTGACATTTTTTTCGTATGAAATACAAATGTTGAAAGAAATATAGTCAATTCAATATTAGCTTAAAAAAGCAATTTGATATTAAAATTTGCTTCAACTGAGTAATCGAAGAAAAAAATTAATATTTCTTTAACTTTCAGAAGTTCAAACAAGATAAACGGTTGATCCAACCATTGATGCGACTTAACGATTATTAGGATCAACTTACAACATCGAATCAACTCCGTAAATCTAATACGTGATACTGACCAAACAACTCACAACTTCGAATCAACTTCGTAAATCTAATACGTGATACTAACCAATGAACTCACAACTTCGAATCAACTCCGTAAATTTAATTCGTAATACTGACCAATCAATTCACAACATCGAATCAACTCCGTAAATCTAATTCGTAATACTGACCAATCAACTCACAATATCGAATCAACTTTGTAAATCTAATTTATAATACTGACCAATCAACTCACAACTTCGAATCAACTTCGTAAATATAATTCGTGATACTGACCAATCAACTCACAACATCGAATCAACTCCGTAAATCTAATACGTGATACTGACCAATAGTCTCGTTGTGCGGCCCCCTCGGCGCCCAGATGCTCTGCTCGAGTGGGTGGTACAGTTTGAAACAGAAGCCGTCCTTCTTGCTCGGCCGCTCGATCACCTGGCAAGACGTCAGCAGTACCGTGCCCACCCAGTGGCTGCTCTGTAGTGCCGACATTGAATCGGGTTAGAAAACGTAGTCAATCGATTATATTTAAATACAAAAATTAATTGATCATTTATTCCTTGTTGAGAAATACTTCCCTAAAAGTTCCTAATACAAACTCGCGGAGGGGAAGGGATTGTTAGTAATGCAGACTACCAGTGCTAGTAATATACGCTAGCAGGGCACCAGTGAGGGATGATAAGTGATGATGAAAGTAGGTCAATTACCCCATCGTGACGAATTCTACTAGAATTAACCACGATGGTTTCCAGGGGGAACCGCGTGGAGGTCGACCTGATAAGGTGTATTGCTAGCAATGAGTCAGTTAGACCCAGTTACTTACAATCCCTTTCCCCCCGATGACCAGCTACTACTGTTATAATAAGTCCATAAGATGAGCTCTGCTCTTGAAAAAGAATCTATTTGGAAGCTCTCGGATACCTTCAGGTAGCACAGTCGTGAAACTTGGATGGTGAACTATAAACTATAATTAAAACTGTATATTTATCTGTCTGTCTGTATATATCTCAAAAACACGGTTTGCATCTGGTGAAAAGTAAATTTACCTTAGCTTTAGGACTCTTGTATAAAAGCAGTAGTCCCGGCTTCAGAACACACCACAGCTTCGTCCATGACTTGAGGGAACCGCGAACCTGTAAATAATAATAGAAATATATATATATATATATATATATATATATATATATATATATATATATATGGAATGAGTCACCCGGCGTTGCTATCTCGTTCTATGTAACGGACGGACGGAGGAGATGTCGATTTCATCGACGAATTCGCTCGCCACTTGTCTAGAGGCCCTGGTCACGTGAACGATATCTCGGGTAAAAGTTAAAAAAAAAAAAATTGTTTTGAGTTACCTTCAACCAATCGGCTAGCACGACAACCGACGGATCCTCTATAGAGTGCAGCAGGGCAGACGCCGCTCTCTTCTTTTCTCTTCTGTAATGCTGCCTCTGCGCTTTGTAGCTCTCCTTGCGGGATAGTGCCGTGCTCGGTGTGCGCGATATACCGCCTACCGCTGTTTCGGATGACTGTTGGATGGAAGAGAAAATAAAAATAATAATATACTTTATTATCCAGACTACAATGTGGTCCATTTTGTTAGTAACAATTTTCTTACAAACTATATTAGTAAAAAAACGAAAAACAAATTGATTTAATTAAACAGTTAACCCAGATGTGACCCAGCCGACTAGTTCAGCATCTGAATGAAATGCCCAATTGGGCATTTCACACGCCTATAATTATAGGCGAGTTATATTTCTCGCCTATTACTTTTAGAATGCTGTTGGTGCTTGTCAAAATAAAACTGTTTTTTTTTTATACTACTGAGGTGGCAAACAAGCATACGGCCCACCTGATGGTAAGTGGTTAATTAGTAAGAGTGTGTAAGAGATTGCGCTAGCGATAAGACCGCCTTTTGTACCTTTATATGTATATTTTGATCTGTACTCCATGCTACTGTATTTCAGTTGATTTTTTTTATTGGATGAAAATGGAATGGTAACCCCGCCTAGGCTAACGGGATACGCTGGCGGGACACCAGTGAATGGTGATCGATGAGGATGAAAACAGGCCAGTTAGTCCATCATGATGAATTCATCTGAAATTAATCATGATAGTTTTCAGGGGGAACCACGAATAAGTCGACCTGGTTGGGTATATTGCTAGCAATGGAATTCTGTCTCCATTACTAAGAATCCCTCCCTCCCCCCCCCCCCGTGTAATGTATCGCTCAATAGATAACAACTCTCACCTTATCCGAGGATGTGCCGTCGGGCGGGTGGTTCCTGCCGTCCCCGGAAGCTGGGGTCGCGACTGTAGCGCCCGGCGACCGCGGCGGTGGTGTCAGAGTAGGCTCCCCTGCAATAAACAAATATCTTTAGGAAATTCGAAACCCATATTAAACAATTTTTTTTATACAACTTAGAATGGCAAACAAGCTGACGGCCCACCTGATGAAAAGTGGTAACAGTCGCCTATAGACATGAGCAGTACCATGGACATAATATAGTATACTGTTTCGCCCATGATACCCCCCATACGTTGTCATTGCTGAGAACTCAGATGTTATTCCTCTGTACCCAGTAAATTCACGCCATATCCCACCCTTCAAACCGAAACACAGCCATGCAAAGACAACTGATTCACGGTAGAAACACGCTTGGGATCCGCCTGGGATTGGCAACCGCAGTTAGGCTTTGAAGATGTTTTAAGAGGGACGCTGCTGCCAATCCCTCGCCCTACCTTAGCCGCCTCTTACGACACCCACAGGAAAGGAACGTATGCCGCCCTGGCATAGAAAGGGGTGACCTATTTTATGCCAGGATCACACGGCGATTGATGTCATTTAGTACAGGAAAAGGCCAACCCAGAAAAAGTGTATAATGCTCTTATTGATTGATCAAATATCAATTTGGCCAACCAAAAAGCACATGTCTGAGTTACACTCCGGAATGGCGTCATGCCCAATAGATGTCCTATAGACGGTGTTTCACAAGATTTAAATTTGGACTTTTAGAAAAACAAAGTCAAAATCGCATCCAATTTGATGCACTACTTAGGAACACTTGATGTGCAACTGCGATTCGTTGGCAAGTATGCGTATGAGTCTACTGGGAACGGCTTATCCAGAACCAAGGGACTACAGATATCTTAAACCGCGGGATATCGTTAGGGTAACACATAGGATCTATGAAATGATGGTATAAGGCAGGGAGAAGCACAAAAGATCCGTATGGGGCGACGTGCATCGGCTTAGCTGACCCCATATGCGAAAAAAATAAGATAAGATAAGATGATGCAGTACTTTTTTCGTGACACCGGAACAAACACAGATGTACTTTTGTAGCTTTTGGCTACAACAGAATATCAGTGTTTTGCTCTTTTTAGGACGAAGCAATAAACTGAGTTGCGACCATTTTGTGTTACTGTAGCATACTCACGAAAAATTGTGTTACCTTTTTTACATATTTTCCTTTTGTTTTTTTTTTTTGTTCATGTATTCTTTTCTTTTTTTGAGTATGTACCAATATTTGTTGTTATATGTGTGCTGTAAGTAATGCAAATATATCATAATAATATATCAGTTTTTCTCATATTGGGTTTGCTGGAAAAAATCTCTTTTGGAGATAAGCTCGCATTTGTGCACTATTATGTTTGTTTTTTTCTATTTCTTCAACATTTTTTTTAACCTTTTGTGTACAATAAAGAATATCTATCTATATACAAAAAGACTGACAAAATTTTTAATTTTTTTTAGTACTTTTGTTCCGTTACGGAACAGGCTAAGGCCTGAACTAAAAAAAAAAATTCCGTAGCGTGGTGTCCGACCTTAGTCGGAGACCACGCTGCCTAGCATGATAATTTGTCTGGCTTCAAAATTTTTAAACATTAATTTCAAGGCCTCCGCTGCTCTTATAATTTTTTCTTCAAAAACTCCCATGTACTGACATCTTGTCTTTACATGGGTCAGTTTCGCTACAATTTTATTATATTCGTAAACTATTGAATTTTTTTTTAAACTTATATTAAACGCTCAGGAAAAAATTTAAAAGGTGTTCCGAATACAAATTATAGGCATGGCAATATAGTACCTTAGCCTTCTTTTATTCGTTTAAAAATGGAACGACAACCCCGCCCGCGCTATTGGTATACGCTGGCGGGGTACCATAGATTAATAACAGATGAAGATGAAAGCAAATCAGTTGGCCCATCGTGACGAATTCAACAAGTTATTTTTAGTAAGTTCAGTAATATACATACCGTATGTAGGAGGTGTCGCCGGTGCGGTGGAGGGCAACACTACGTGCAGAGGCGGTTGGTGCTGCTTCTGTAACGTTCATTACACTGTTTAAAATGACAAATCTTTATTTAACAAAAAAAAGTAATTTTTGTCAAATGTGTTATAGAGTAATGTATTCACTTTTTGCTTATAAAAAAAAAAAAGCCAATTCACTTATGCCAAAGATATTGGATAACCTACAAGAAGATTCCCTTAGAACCTTATTTCTTTATCTAATGTAATAACGTAAAGTAATAGTAAAGCGAGGCGAGACGCTGTGATGCAAAGCGCCGTACGCCCCCTGAACAAGACTCCCGGATAAAGTTGAAACAAATGTCGGAAACGATAAAAATACAGTGAGTTCATTCATTTCTCGTAACTTATATACATATATTTAGACATCGAATGAAAAAATAGCATACGTTTTTAAAATAATAATAATAATGTATAAATAACTATAAAATTGTGCAATTCTCTTGCCATATCTATCCGTGAGAGTCAATCCCTAAATATTTCTAACAGTAGACTTAAACAGCATCTTCTATGTTTATAAAAATATATTTATTTTTCTATACGTGTAGATATATTATATATATGTATATGCGTGTTTACGTGTGTGTAAGTATATATTTATGCCTATGTATGTGTGTGTATATATATATATATATTTATGCCATGTGTGTGTGTATATATATATATATATATATATATATATATATATATATATATATATATATATATTAAATATGATGTAATTAGTTATGTACAAACTTAAGTTTGTCTAGTTCATTTCGTTTGTAAATTGTCCCAATATTGTACACCGCTCTACCCGCTGACATTGATGCTCCTTTCCACTTTGGGTGTTGCTGGAAGAGAACTCTTTTAGAGTTCAGCTCGCCTTTGTACATTTGATTAGCTCTGTTATATTTTTATGTATAATTATTGTGTACAATATATAAGTATTAAATAAACCATTATCTTCCTACCCTTATCCCAATTATTATTTGAGGTCGGCGTAATATGGTTTTACCCATATTACAAAAAGATTTGGCTTTTAGTTTTACAACCGGCCGCCTGCCTGGCGTCAACCCTCTTTGGACCCAGCGGGAGGAAATGGATTGTTAGTAATGGGGTCTTATGAACCCATTGCTAACAATACACCCTATCAGGTCAAACTCCACGTGGTTCTCCCTGAAACCATCGTGAACAATTCTTGTTGAATTCGTCACGATGGGCTAACTGACCTGCTTCATCCTCAACTATCATCCATCACTGGTGCCTCGCCGGTGTATACCGATAGCGCGGGCGGGGTTACCACTCCATTATCACCCATTAAAAAAAAACCCTCTTTGGAAGTATTAAATAAATAAATAAATAAAATACTTCATGAGATCCATTTACCTTGCCGATATAATTGGGCGTGGACGTCTGGAACTGCACGCAGTCCGCCTTCAGCGCCGGCGACGAGGGTGTGGTGGATGGGGACGAGGGTTCCACTACTGGGGACGAGCTCATACTGTACGTGTCAGAACATCGCGAGGGATATGAGAACGAGCAATTCAGCCGACCGCCCGATCTGGCCCGTATCGGCACGCCGAACTTGGCCGCGCGCGACGGCGTCACAGATCGGTGGGCAAAGTTGATCCCAGAGTTGACGGGATCCGGTTGATCCAACTTGTGTCTGATATGCGACCCAATTGGATCCACGATTCTAATTTAGCATAATTTATCGTGTTAATTGCGATTTGACGATATTTTTTATAATTATTTATAAAAAGTGTCAATATCCTATATATATTTGGAATGATATATGAATATTATTTACATACAATGCAATGCAATTTGGAAGATTTGAATGGAATGTAAATGGAAGTATGGGTTAAGGAAGGAACATAAGTATATATGGATAGGTAGTTCCTGTAACATAACATAAAATATATGTTAAAACTGATAAATGTACAAATTTAACAAAAACGGGGATAATTTTATTTATTACTATCAGATATTCCTGTAGATAAGCGCCATGGAACACAAATCACATGACATACTAAGCTACGCGTAGTTCTAAAATAGTTTTTTATGCAACTTAAAATGGCAAACAAGCTGACGGCCCACTTGATGTTTTTTTTTATACCACTGAGATGTCAATCAAGCATACGGCCCACCTGATGGTAAGCGGCTACCGTAGCCTATGAACGCCTGCAATACCAGAGGTATTACGCGCGCGTTGCCAACCCTGAAGAAACCTCTTTACCCCCCTTTTGAAGTCGCCTATAAACATGGACTTCATATCTACAGTCTGTAGTCTCTTGAGAAAACCTCGACATGAGCTCCCTCATTCCACAACCTGAGTATTCGTGGGAGGAAACATCTTTGAAACCGCGCAGTACGCGACCATTTAGGTTGTAGGATATAAGGATGAACTCCCTGTCGATGGCGAGCCGTACGATGGTAGAAAGCGGCCTTGGGCATCATATTGAACAATTCCTCTGAGCACAATCCGTTGTACAAGCGGTAGAACACGCAGGGTGAGGCAAAATCTCTCCTAATACTTATTTTTTTCTGGCTGGGTATGCGGTGGGGCGATCGTAGTTGTACTGACAATTAAAACTAAAAAAGGTGACACCTGTCACAGACAACGCATCGGAATGTGTGAACGAGATGCACGACACAAAGGCGTAACACTATAGAATAAATTACTTTTTCTCAAAAATGCTTAGAAATGTGAGCATTATTTTGACAGTCTTCTTCGACATAATTGAAAATTGCCGTACTGGCCAGATACATGCGGGCAGCAGCCGGCAAAAGTTGTATGAAAATCCATATCTGTCGTGTTTTGCGGCCAGATAAATTACTATGTAAACTCATATCTGTTCTGTAATTTAAAAATGGAGGTAACTAATAAAAGGTTTTATTTAAATTTCGAACTGGCTTGCTAAATTGTTGAAAAATTATTATTGTTCGTTATTCGTCATTGAACTTAAAAAGTAAAATTGTGTTTTTGATTTCCGCGCATTGTTTGAGAAAAGTACTATACAAGCCTTGGCCATAACTAGGCATTGATGGACTCACGTATGTGTGCCTCGGCTACGCCTCGGCCCACATTTGCACGTTCGTCCATCAATGCCACAGTTGCTGGCCACTGCAGTAATGTACTATTCGTCAAGCATACAAAAATGTTTAATACTCATGCTTTAACATGCTTTAATTCCTGAAGACTAAGAAGTTATCATCCATTCGTTCATATAATCCGTTAACCGTCCACTGCTGAACATAAGCGTCTCTCATAAAGGTTTCGCCAGTAGTTGCCACGCTTGGCAGGCGGGTTGGCAACCGCGGTTAGGCTTTAGCGATGTTTTAAGACGCTGCTGCCCATCCCACGATCGTTAAATTCCCTTAGTCACCTCTTACGACATTCACGGGAAAGAAAGAATTTTTAATGTTTTTTTTTTTATGAATGTCAAACAAGCTGACGGCCCACCTGATGTAAATTGGTAACCGTCGCCTATAGACATGAGCAGTACCGTGGACATAACAGAGTATACTGTTTCGCCCATGATACTCCCCATGCGTTGCCATTCCTGAGGACTCAGGTGTTATTCCTCTGTACCCTGTAAATTCACGCCATATCCCACCCTTCAAACCGAAACACAGCAATGCAAACGCAACTGCTTCACGGTAGAAACACGAATGGGACAGAGCTACCCAAGAAAACGACTCTTGTACAAAGTCTGTGTAAAAAATGTATGCAAAAGTATAAATAAATCGGCCCCAATAGCTTAGCTACATAATTTTGGCGCGAACAAACATTGTAACACTGGGATTTTTATATATTAAAGACTAGCTTTTTGCCAGCTGCTTCGTACGCGCGGACTACAGAAGAAAACTAATGAAATATAGCACTTCTAATATGATATATAATAGATACAAATATGCCAGATTTTAAGTTAAACCTAATAAATAAATAAATATAACAGTACTGAATATACTGTAACATACATGCATTGGTAAACATTTGTATTCGAGTGTCTTTTTTTAATTGATGATAATGGAATGGTAACCCCACCCGTGCTATCGGTATACACGGGCGGGGCACCAGTGAAGGATAATAGGTGAGGATGAAGCAGGTCAGTTAGCCCATCGTGACGAATTCAACAAGAATTGTTCACGATGCTTTCCAGGGGGAACCACGTGGAGGTCGACCTAATAAGGCATATTGCTAGCAATGGGGCTGTCAAACCCCATTGCTAACAATCCCTTTCCCCCCATTCGAGTGTCTTGTGATCGCATATCCGCATTGTACTTTTCCTTTTTTGCGCAAACCAATTTTGTACTTTTATAATAATAAGAAACCTGTTATTAGCCTTAATATTTCAATTTCAATTTCTATTTAAGTAAATCTTAGCTGTAACGCCGTTGGTTTCTAATAAATAAATAAATAAACCTTCACGAGCGCAAATGTGAAAACCGCATGTAATTTGGAGCAGTAGTTTTTACGTAATATCGGAACAAACATACAGATAGACAGACGAAACTTCTAATAATTATTATTTTAACCTCTACGGCTCTCGTATCGTATTTTCTTAAACATCTTCCATGTAACAGACATAGTATAGTTACTAATTTTATAATATTAGTAACATTTGACAACGGCGGTTAAGGGGGTGGGGAGGGGAGAGAGGGGAAGTGTCCAGACTCCAGTTATCAACATGTGCCCGGTTATCAATCATTCACAAATAAATACATGACAAGATAACTAAATTATCTAAAGTACATTGTTCTTATCTCATTGGGAAAGATTTAAATTTGTATATACAATCTAACATTATGGTTGAGTCACTGTTAATAATATTTTAGTAACATTAACTAACTTCTTAGACGACTTCTTGCCTTTATCCAAACCGATGGTAGGAGGGGGGGGGGAGGGATGATTAATAATGCGGACTACAGTCTCATTGCTAGCAATACACCCTATCAGGTCGACCTCCACGTAATCCCCCTGGAAACCATCGTGCTGAATTCAAACTGTATTTATCACGATGGGCTAACTGACCTGCCTTTTCATCCTCACCTATCATCTATCACTGGTGCCCCGCCAGCGTATACCGATAGCGCAGGCGGGGTTACCATTCCATTATCATCCATTAAAAAAAAGCAAACACAAAACGATTATTTGAAAACGTGCACGAAACGTTAATTTATCTTTCTCACTCCAACTCTTGGACATGCTAACTAATTTAGTAATACAAACTGAAATACAGCACGTAATTAATGGGTCGTTTAGTGCGTGTACGTTGCTGTACATAAAACGGTGTGGTAACAACGCAACTATAGGTCAAGGTGAGCGGTCGCAAACATCCGATAAAATGTGCTAATTTCGGTTAGGACCGTACGCCGGTAGGAAGCCTGTTTAACTTGTAACGAGTATTGATTTTATTTTTAAAAGACGCACAATCTATTTCTAAAATATAAAAATAAATGAAATTGACTATTTCCAGATAACGTATCGAAATTAAACAAACACCAGATTTAAGATTATTTAATTAAACAAATACCAGAGGGAGACTTTGTACATACAAAAGTCGATTGCTTGGCCACCTCTGTCCCATTCGTGTTTCTACCGTGAAGCAGTTGTGTTTGCATGGCTGTGTTTCGGTTTGAAGGGTGCGATATGGTGTGAATTTACTGGGTACAGAGGAGTAACACCTAAGTCCTCAGGAATGGCAACGCATGGGGGGTATCATGGGCGAAACAGTATACTCTGTTATGTCCATGGTACTGTTCATGTCTATAGGCGACGGTTACCACTTTCCATCAGGTGGGCCGTCAGCTTGTTTGCCATTCTAAGTTGTATATAAAAAATAGGTCGACCTCCACGCGGTTCCTGGAATTCATCGTGGTTATTTTTTTATGAATTTGTCACGACGGGCTGCCTTTCTTTCTCACCTATCACCCTTCACTGGTGCCCCGCCAGCGTATCTATATATTGGCTTCCTCCGGACATTGATGGCGGGAAAAAGGTCATCGCCCATTTCGATATCGCCCATATCGGTCGGATATCTATTTTCGAATATGTTATCCGATATTATTTTGTATAACAGATTTCTAACACGTTCGTTATTGGACCAATATATGGATATTGCTATATATATATATATATATATACACATGGCATGCAAAAATTACCTCTATTATAAGTTTCCCTACTTCCGAAATTCGCGTGTACGATGTAGCCGATAAAAAATTAGTTTATTTACAAAACTGTGTAGTTTACATTGTTTGCTTGTATTGATCAGTGTATATAAAAAAAAATACACTTAAAAAATCACTATTTCTAATACAGCAGATAATTGTCAACATGGCAAACGGCCAGGAACAATGTTTTTACATGGCGCTCGTCTTAACACGAGCGAGATAAGACGGATGCAGCATCTAAATGTTTACATACTTTTATTGACTTTTTTTTTTTAGTTTACAATAAAAATCCGACTTCCCCTTGAAGTTTAACCTTGAATATGTGGCATTGATTAATGTCTCATCATCATACCATATCAGCCGTTATCTGTCCATTGCTGGACATAGACTGTCAGTATGAACATGGCCGTTCCTTATGGCAGTTTACCATTGGAGAGGTTCTGCTAGTAGTTGCCTCACTTGGCAGGCGAGTTGACAACCGCAGTTTAACTTTTAATGATGGCTTAAGAGGAACATTGCTTTTTTTTTTATAAGATGATAACGGAACGGCAACCCCGCCTGCGCTATCGGTATACGCTGGCGGGGCACCAGTGAGAGATGACAGGTGACAATGAAAGCAGGTCAATTAGCCCATCGTGACGAATTCCATTACAATTAACCACGACGGTTTCCAGGGAGAATCGAATAAAGGTCGACCTGACAAAGTGTATTGCTAGCAATTGGTCAATTAGACCCCATTACTAACAATCCCGTTTCCTCCCAGAGGGACACTGCTGCCCATCTCTCGACCGTTATGTTCTCTTGTGGCCCATTCTATGCCGACACCACATCATATGGAGAGGAGGGCAGGGATTGATAGTAATGAGATCCAACACTCATTACTAGCAATACAAACAGATGCAGATGTCTACAATATAATTTTTTAGAAAACTTATCTATCAAAATGTTTACTCTGGCATCATGCAAAAACTACTACATCAAAACAGATGCAGTTATCACAGTTGTATTCCTGAAGGTCTAATTTAAAATCTACTGTATGTTTCATCTAGATACACCATCTTTTTTTTTTTATGCATCTTAGAATGACAAACAAGCTGACGGCCCACCTGATGGAAAGTGGTAACCGTCGCCTATAGACATGAGCAGTACCATGGACATAGCAGAGTATACTGTTTCACCCATGATACCCCCCATGCGTTGCCATTCCTGAGGACTCAGGTGTTATTCCTCTGTACCCAGTAAATTCACGCCAAAAACCATCTATATGGAGCTTATTCCATTTGTTATAATACTACTGAAATCCAGGGGGAAGAAATTGTTAGTAACATAGACTATCAGTCCCATTGCTAGCAATGTACCCTGTCAAGTCGACCTCCAAATGGCCCCCTCTAGAAACCATCATGCTGAATTCCAGGTGTATTCATCATCATGGGCTAACTATCTTGCCTTTTCAATCTCACTTATCATCCTTCACTGGTGCTTCGCCAGCATATACCGTTAGCTCAGGAGGGCCTACCATTTCATTATCATCTATTAAAAAAAACTACAAAAATCCATATATATAAATCAGCAGGCAAAAAGCTAATATTAAATAAAATAAAAAATGTTTCAAAAAAATTTAAAATTGTGACATAATTAACTGACATACAGATATTTTTGTCAATCTCGCATCTTCTATTGATATATGTTAGTGTGACACTATTGAGGGATGATAGGTGAAGATTAAAGAGGATCAGTTAAGCTAGGCTCATCGTGAAGAACTCTCCTGGTAGGTGAATACATAAGAGTTTTTAAAGGACACCATGTGAAGTCAACTTGACAGATTTGATTTCAATATCTTCAAAGAACTATGGGTACAGTTAATGTGTCATATTAACACAATAGTAATAGTCAAAAAATGGCTTCAAGGATTATTTTCATAAGTATTTATATATATTATAAAAATATTATATATTATAAAAAATACTATAATACTCATAAGTATTATAGTTTTTTTTTTTTTTATATTTTGAAAACTATCACAAATCAAGTCTAGTTAGAGAACTGAGAAGAGATATAATAATACATCTCTTTTTAATCACAACATGTTTGGTTTTATAAGTTTATATTTATATATAAACTTTTAAAACCAAAATATTTAAAAACTTAAATGTGTATTAAAAAGTAAGCACATATTGTGCAAATATGTATTATATGTAAATTATTTGTTTTCTACAATATCATTCGCTCACTTTGTATCCAATTAGAATCTTATTGAACTGTGTGTGTTACGCCTGTGACCTAATATTTTACATAATTAAATTAAAAAAGTGACGTATGTTTCCGATTGGAAAAAAAATTAAATTTAAAAAAAAATTACTTACAGTCAACAACGACCAACGGGTTGTTCATCAAATTAATTGTTTTCTAGCGACTATTCGAGGTGAAAAACTGTATAAACCGGTAGCGAACATTACAAAACCTCTTAGGCAATCGGCCAGAGATCACTTTATAACCCGTGACTACACGGGTTGATAGAAAATGTTTATCAATTTACCACTCACATAAAAAACGAGTTAGGTACACAAACTGTCTTCTGGCGATTATTATTGAGTATGCACAACCAATTCCAACCAAAACCACAGCAGTGCTGGAGTCTATTAGGTACATTAACTTCAAACAATCACACAAACACACTACGTTTAAGTTTCCAATAAAATGTTTCGTTGTAATTCATTAAATGTTCGTCAGTTCGATAATTCTATTTCGAATATAAATTCATTACAATTAAGGTACAAATGCACAAAATTCATGGTTTTTTAAGATTTTTGACATGATGTGATATATGTCGCCGTGTGTGTGTCACGGTGTTTGTGTGCCGTGTCTGTTTGTCAATTTGACAATCGAACAGTCTGTTTTGCAATCGATAGTAGTGAGTGATTGACAACACAATCGATTCTACTAATAATACATAAATATATTGCAATCTATTAGTAAAATTATATATGAGTCATTCCATTTAAAATCGTCTAAAAATAAAAAAAATTGTTGCCGATCCATTTTAGATTTTAGTGTAACTTTGAGGGACTCTTCTCTAGGGTTCCTAAGAATGAAATTTACACGAATTTGATTTTTATAAGCGCTTGATTCCGCGCATTTAAATAAAAACTTCAAAATATCGATTTTTTTTAGCTTAATTAATTTTTCCTCAAAGTTTTTTCTTTTTGAAGATTATTCCATTATTGAACCGTAATTCTTAGGTGAATAGATAGTAGTTTAAGTATACCAAATAATAATTTGCTCAATAAATACCTACCATTAGCAACAGCGTGCTGAAAATAAGTGTTTTTTAGTCATTTTTCGTGAATTTTAAAGGACTCTAGTGTCTTAACTGTTTGGAGTTAACAACTTCTGGTCGACAGGAATTAAGTACACATATCATAGATAAAACTCAGCCATTGATCGACTTGAGCCGCCCACTCTTTATGGAAGATAACTTTGTTTGAAATTTTGAAATTTTGAAAAATCGCATTATTCAGCCTATAAAATGAATGTGTCTACTGCGAGATAAAATTCTGAACTTCTCAGAATCTTTTGTTCTAACCTTCAACTTTGGACGACTGCATTGCTTGTTTTGTTATTTTAATGTTTAGTGCATGTCCCAGCTGTATTTTGACAGCAAAAATCACGTAAATTTTTTTTATATTATAATCATTATAAATTTAGTTTTTTTTTTATTTCTTTCCACTTATAAATATCATGTCTTACCTTTTTATTGATTCACAGGTACATTTATCTTTACAGTTTATTACTAGACGTTTTGAAATAAATTATGAACAAAAATAAATATGAATGTGAAAAGATTTTTACAGATTCAATAGAATTATGGATATATTGAGTATAAAATTATCTTCAGAAGTAATAGTTACTGGAAAAGACAGTTACTATAAACAAATTTAACTGGAAAATTATTTTTTATTCAACAATTGACGTTTTGGTCTTACAATATTAACAATATCAAAATTATCGGAAGCCGAGTATCTCCGCGCTTCCAGTTGATTTTGAGAAATTGGTATAAAACTATGATATGATCTCGTATTTTTAATTGTATTTATATTTATAAATCGTTCAGATAAGAACGTTTCAGCAGCTTCCACGTCTTGGCTTGATACATAAAAGAATTTAATGCCAGAAATTTTATTAGAACAAAAATCATACATGGCTACTGGAGTCTATTATTTACTTTCAAATGCGATAAAGTCAAATTATGAAGATCAATTTACTTTTACTCATATACAAAAATATATAAGGATACCGTAGATAAAATAAAATTTCGATTATGAATAAAATCATACTCTTAATAATTTAGAAAAAAATAAAAAAAATTTACGTGATTTTTGCTGTCAAAAAACGGCTGGGACATGCACTAAACATTAAAATAACAAAACAAGCGATACAGTCGTCCAAAGTTGAAGGTTAGAACAAAAGATTCTGAGAAGTTCAGAATTTTATCTCGCAGTAGACACATTCATTTTATAGGCTGAATAATGCGATTTTTCAAAATTTCAAAATTTCAAACAAAGTTATCTTCCATAAAGAGTGGGCGGCTCAAGTCGATCAATGGCTGAGTTTTATCTATGATATGTGTACTTAATTCCTGCCGACCAGAAGTTGTTAACTCCAAACAGTTAAGACACTAGAGTCCTTTAAAATTCACGAAAAATGACTAAAAAACACTTATTTTCAGCACGCTGTCGCTAATGGTAGGTATTTATTGAGCAATTTATTATTTGGTATACTTAAACTACTATCTATTCACCTAAGAATTACGGTTCAATAATGGAATAATCTTTAAAAAGAAAAAACTTTGAGGAAAAATTAATTAAGCTAAAAAAATCGATATTTTGAAGTTTTTATTTAAATGCGCGGAATCAAGCGCTTATAAAAATCAAATTCGTGTAAATTTCATTCTTAGGAACCCTAGAGAAGAGTCCCTCAAAGTTACACTAAAATCTAAAATGGGTCAGCTTTGCCGATTAGACGATTTCAAATGGAATGACCCATACATATATATCTATTACAATATTATTGCTAATACTGTAATTAATGTAAACTATTTTAACTTGTATTCTCAAAAAGAGGTCAAAATTTTTATAAACAGCTAGTAAATATATTTTTTTTGTACAATTTATAACTAGATCTTAAACTGATTAATCGTTTTTCTATAATTACAATTAAACATTATCGCTAAGCTATTTTTAATGATTTTATTTTTAATGAAAGAAAGAAATAATGAAACCCCCATTTTATTAAAAAAAAAGTTATAAATAAATTGTTACAAATTCTTAATATATTCCTTACAAAGACATATATGATCCATAAATACAGATTTATAATATACCTTTTCAAAATTCGTCTTAATTATTTGGAGCCAAAACATAATATCAAATATATAATTAAATACCGTAATTAATGTTTATAAAACAAATTGATGGATTAGGTAAAACGTAGAAGTTTTTTTTAAAGTTTTGATTGTGGCGCTTTGTTCTATAGTAGTCTTAAATCATAGAATATAGAGTTCTTAATAAAATAAAAATGTAATGACGGACTTATCCCATAAAAGTTATTTCTTTCAGTCAAACTTTGAATGTTTGATGTAAATTGTGAATTGACGAAGATAAAAAATAATAGCTAACAAAAAATAAAAAGCTTAATAGAAATTAAAGTCATTTTAATCCAAAACGTATAATAATTTAATCGATTACATGAGGCCGCACTTTTTTCGCATATACGATTGACAGCTGTTTGACAGACGTCTCACATCTACTGTAATGTCTTGTTTTGATTTTGAATTTAATTTCTTAATTAAAGTTTGTGTTTTAAATATTATTCATTACAATTCTACTTGCAAAAATGTCTTCTATTGTATGTTTTATATGTCATTGCCCAACGTCTTGTGATATTAATGACGAGACACAAGAGAAATTTAAAGATATATCGGGAATGAATGTGTGTACTATTTATCAATTAAATTTTAAAATGTTTTTCTAGGAATAATTCAATAAAATGTTGTTACAGCTCTTCCCTAACTCACGTTTGTGTTATATGTGTCGTCATTTGTTAAATAAATATTGGATATTTAAGTCTATTTGCGTTCAACGGATTTTGGAGGATCCTACGATTTATGGGTACTTTTTTTTTTAATTATTAGTAAAAAGCTAAGATATTATGTTCAGAAATTTATACCTGAAATGAACAATAATAGTTGTAAAAATAAACACGTGTTTACTAATACTATGTACATTTCTTTTAGATAGTAGCATTGAAATTTTTGTTGTTAAATTGTTACTTTATATTCCAATTTCTCACCACCAATGCCTCGATTGCTTGCTCTACTAAAATATTTTTTATACAGCTTAGTATGTACCCCCATACCTTGCCATAACTGAGTCCCATCCTTACAAACCAGAACACAGCCATTATGCTTGCATGGTCACTTCTTGAAAATAGAAACACGAGTGCTGAAAAATACAACTTTGTAAAAATTTTCCTCTGGAATTTTATAGGCTCTAAAAATTTTGATTGTTTTTATTTTTCTTTTTTTATGCAACTTAGAATGGCAAACAACTTGTTTGATGGAAAGTGGTAATTGTTGAGACATGAGCAGTACTATGGACATTACAGTATACTATTTCACCCATGATATTCCCCATGTGTTCCATTCCTAAGGACTCAGGTGTTATTCCTCTGCGCCCTGTAAATTCACTGCCATATCCCACCTTTCAAACCGAAACACAACTGCTTCACGGTATAAACACGAATGGAACAGAGGTGCCCTTTTGTAAACGACTTTTTTATATTCTCCCTCTGGTAATTTCTTACAGAGAAATAGACATATTTAAATATCAAGAGAATAAAGCTCATATATACACATTATGCACTGAAGATACATGTTCTGAAAATCAATTTGAATGTATTAATAATGATTATTATTATCAACATAATGATGATGAAAACAATGATACTGGAAATGTCCAAGAAGTGAATGACAATGTCTCAAATTCATTAGACAGTGTAACTGTAGAATTACAAGATATTCCAAGTGATGATGGTGATAAATCATGCGGTGATAATGTAGTAATCAGTAATGATTTGACAGAAGACAATGAAACAATATTAAAAAGCAAGAAGAAAAAATCGAAAAAGAAAAAAAAGGATTTCGAAAAGATATTTTTAAGCTTAGAAGAACAGAAAGCAGAGTTAGAGAGGAATAGAAGACAGAAGAAGTATATAGAAGCGGAGTTTAAGTGTTACAATTGTGCTTTGGGGTTTTTGTTCAAAGATACATACCAAGCGCATATGATGAGGCATGAAGAGGTAAGTAATAATATTAATTTGTAATTTATTTCTCTTTTCTCAGCAAGTAACATTTCAAACCCAGTGGTAGAATCATAAAAAAATATATTATTATATCCCAAAATGTTTTTTTTAATGGGTGATAATGAAATTGTAACCCCACCCACGCTATAGGTATACACTGGTGGGGCACCAGTAAAGGATGATAAGTGAGGATGAAGCAAGTCAGTTAGCCCATCATGACAAATTCAACAAGAATTGTTCACGATGGTTTCCAGGGGGAACCACGTAGAGGTCGACCTAATAGGGCATATTACTAGCAAAGGGGCTGTCAAACTCCATTGCTAACAATCCCTTTCTCCCCTTCCCAAAATGTTGATTAATTTCATCATCATCATCTTGCCCTAATCTTATCAAGATTAGGGCAAGATGATGAAACAAAGAATACTGCTATTTTGTAAAAATTATTTAGACCTGGCATAGAATGGGTCAACCCTTCCTTTCCCCTGGGTGTCTTAAGAGGTGAAGGCTACGATAATTTAAGGGTCAAGCAATAAGCACAAGAGATGGTCTGTAGCATCCCTCTTTAAACATCACCAAAGGCTGACTGCAATTGCCAAATATGCCAACTACTGGCAAATATTCCCCAATAGGGGGAGGCCTATGCTCAACAGTGGACAGTTGACAGCTAATATCATGATGATGATGATAATGATAATAAAAGATTATTTCTTTTCTAAATCCTCAATTCCAATCATTATTGTGTAATTTAAAAATGTAAGCAGTCATGTTTCTTTTTTAAAAAAATTTTGTTTCTTGAACTTTTTGAATTGGTAAAAAAGTGATAATGCCATAAGTATTCTTTAGATTATCTACCTACATGAATATGTTTTCAATTCGATTTTTAAGCTACCTTTGTTGATCTAAGACATGTATTTTTATTTATATGAGTTTAATTGTACATATATATTTTCTGAAAAATCAAGATTTTTGGTACATAATGTAAGTAATGCAAATAAATTATTTATCTATGTAGCTATCTATCAATAATAGTACATTACTGCAGCGGCCAGCAACTGTGGCATTGATGGACGAACGTGCAAATGTGGGCCGAGGCGTAGCCGAGGCACACATACGTGAGTCCATCAATGCCTAGTTGTGGCCAAGGCTTGTATAGTACTTTTCTCAAACAATGCGCGGAAATCAAAAACACAATTTAACTTTTTAAGTTCAATGACGAATAACGAACAATAATAGGTTTTCACGCGCCATAATGTTCCTTTGTTTTTTTTTTTCAATAAACAGCTTTCTAATTGCGAGCCAGTTCGAAATTTAAATAAAACCTTTTATTAGTTACCTCCTTGGTAGCCATGTTTCGAAGTAAAAGGTCGTTCCATTTTTAAATTACAGGACAGATATGAGTTTACATAGTAATTTATCTGGCCGCAAAACACGACAGATATGGATTTTCATACAACTTTTGCCGGCCGCTGCCCGCATGTATCTGGCCAGTACGGCAATTTTGATTTATCTCTAAGAAGATTGTCAAAATAATGCTCACATTTCCAAGCATGTTTGAGAAAATAAATATTCGCACCCACAGTCAAACGGCGAGTTTCGCTGCGAAACGTGTACGCTACGGTTCGCGAGCGCGCGTGTGCTTCGCGTGCATGCGGCAGCGCATGCGGCGCGCATGCGCTGCCGGCGCTGTGCGCGCGCGCGGCCGCGGCGCGCCTGCGACTGCGGGCCCGCGCCGCGCCCGCCCGCCGACCACGACCCGCGCGCTTGTCACCTCTGCGGAGCCGTCTTCCGGTCAGTACAATTTTTTACATGCAACTTAGAATGGCAAAAAAGCTGACAGCCCACCTGATGGAAAGCGGCAACCGTCGCCTATACACATGAGCAGTACCATGGACATTACAGAGTATACTGTTCCGCCCAAGATACCCCTCATGCGTTGCCATTCCCGAGGACTCAGGTGTTATTCCTCTGTACCCTGTGTACGGTGTTTGTTGCCAAACTCCTCCGAAACGGCTTTACCGATTTTTATGAAATTTTGTGTGCATAACGGGTAGGTCTGAGAATCGGCCAACATCTATTTTTGATAAGAGTACCCTCAATGATAAGGGTAACCCACCCCAAAATTTTTTTTTTTATTTTTTTGACATTTTTTTTTTATTTTTATATTGTTTGTATCTATAATAAGTTTACTGTTGTAATCTTTAGGAGGAAACAATAAAGAGTATCTATCTATCTATTACCTAATCCAAGAACATTTTCTACTTTAACATTCAATCTACAGTTGAAAATATATTTAAATGTAAAGGGAAGCTAGCGGGCTCCAGCAGCACTTGAGACGGTACCACCAGGCGGCCGCCAGCCAGCGCAGCTACTCATGCAGTGTCTGCGGCAAGAGCTACGCCAACCAGGCCGCCGTCAGGACGCATATGATGTGTGTATCCTTTCTAAAAACGTCCTGTGGTCCCGGCATAGAATAGGCCACCCATTTCTTTCCTTTTGGTGAAAAAAAATATGAGTAGTCTCGAGTCTTGAGCTAAAATAATAGTTTATAAAAATATTGTCTGTTTTTTTTTTATGTCACTTGGAATAGCAAACAAGCTGACGTCCCACCTGATGGTAAGTGGTAACCGTCGCCTATAGACATGAGCAGTGCCATGGACATAACAGACTATACTGTTTCGCCAATGATACCCCTCATGCGTTGCCATTCTTTAGGACTCGGGTGATATTCCTCTGTACCCTATAAATTCACTGCCATATCCCACCCTTCAAACCGAAACACAGCCGTGCAAACACAACTGCTTCACGGTTGAAACACGAATTGGACAGAGGTACCCTAGCAATCGACTTTTGTACCAAGTCTCCCTCTGGTCCTCCCGCTGCCCTGCTGCCCATCCCTCGACCATTACTTATTACGGAAATTATCTGCGTGGTAGTACCTAATACATATTAGCAGAGGGGAAGGGATTGTTAACAATGGAAAGGTTAGGACCCCATCGCTATTAATACACCCTGTCAAGTCGACCTCCACGCGGTTCTCCCTGGAAATTATTGTGATTAATTCTAGTGGAATTTGTCACGGTTGGCACTGCTTCATCATCACCTATCATCCTTCACTGGTGCCCTGTCAGCGTATACCGTTAGCGCAGCCCCGCCTGCGCTAACGGTACGGTATTACCATACCATTTTCACCCATAAAAAAAAACGCCCACGGGAAAAGAAGGGATAGTCCTTTGTTTTGTTAGATACAGAGGGAGACTTTGTACAAAAGTCGATTGCTTGCGTACCTCTGTCCTATTCGTGTTTCAACCGTGAAGCAGTTGTGTTTGCATGGCTGTGTTTCGGTTTGAAGGGTGGGATATGGCATGAATTTAGTGGGTACAGAGGAATAACACCTGAGTCCACAGGAATGGCAACGCATGGGGGGTATCATGGGCGAAACAGTATACTCTGTTATGTCCATGTTGCTGCTCATGTATATAGGCGACGGTTACCACTTTACATCAGGTGGGCCGTCAGCTTGTTTGCCATTCTAAGTTGTATAAAAAAAAAGATACTTAAATTTTAACCCTAAACTGTCCAGAACCCACATACGACGCAAGTTCAACTGTGACCAGTGTTCATCCATCTTCAGCAGTCCGTACACTCTGAAGCAGCACATGAAGAAGCACCAGCCTGGTGAGGCCACTATGTTCTTCTGTGAGACATGCAGCGTCAGTTACACCAGCAAGAAGAGTCTGCTGGCTCATAGAAGGAACTCTATCAACCATCAGCAAAGTGTGTAAGTATTAGTACGCTATTTTTTTTTAATGGGTGATAATGGTATGGTAACCCCGTCTGCGCTATTGGTATACAATGGCGGGGCACCAGTGACTAATGAGGATGAAAGCAGGTCAGTTAGCCCATCGTGACGAATTCAACTAGAATTAGCCACAATGGTTTCCAGGGGGAAACACATGGAGGTCGACCTGACAGGGTATATTGCTAGTAATGGGGCCATTTGACCCCATTACTAACAATCCCTTTCCCCCCTAGTGACGCTATTAGGTTGACCTCCACGTGGTTCCGTTCCCCCTGGAAAACATCGTGAACAATTCTTGTTGAATTCATCACGATGGGCTAACTGACCTGCTTCATCCTCACCTATCATCCTTCACTGATGCCCTGCCGGTGTATACTGATAGCACGGGTGGGGTTACTATTCCATTATCACATATTAAAAAAGTATTAGTGGTGTATTAGGGCCTGTTGGAGGAGGAGAGGGGAGGAGAAACTGGCCACTTAAAAATGTAAATGTATTTTTAATAGGTGAAAATGGTAACCCCGCCTGCACTATCGGCATACGCTGGCAAGGCACTAATGTGGGAAGATAGTTGAGGATCGAAGCAGGTCACTTGGCCCATCGTGATGATTTCAACAAGAATTAATTGCGATGGATTTCAGGGAGAACCGCGTGGAGATCGACCTGTCATCTAACACGGGGGCCTAATTAATATTTTTCGAGTTCGCGCTCTCAAAATTCATTAATTGTTCATACGTGTCGCAAGAGATGGCGCTGTACCTGTATGAAGGGCGGTTTTAGTCTTTCTTTCTTCCGCTTTTGTTATAATTAAAGACTGTTTTTTTTTTCACTCAATTTTTTACAATTTTTATCGCCTCAAATACATCCCCAGGCTTGATTTTTCATCTATTTCTGGTCCTTCGAGCCCAGACATGGTTTTTTATTTATTGTATTGTATTGTAAAATCTTTATTGTACATAAATTATACTTAATACATTAAATGATTTAATATACAATGGCGGACTTATCCCGAAAAGGGATCTCCGGAGATCAGGGAACCATACAGGTAAACTAAAGGTAAACTTATTTATTTATGTTTTTTTTTCTATAAAAATATTCCAGTCCAGAGTGCCCGGTCTGCGGCAAGATCTGCCCGAACCAGCGTTCGCTGAGCAGCCACATCGCGAGCGTCCACTCTTCGGAGAAGAGCTATTGGTGCCCGCGGTGTCCAGCGAGGTACTCCACCAGGAAGTCCCTGGTGCGTCACGTTAGGTGCCACGACGCGCCTGAACAGCACCAGGTGGCCGTGTGTCACCTGTGCGGCCTGAGTTTCAAGGTACTAACCCTTAACAATATTACACCTTAGACACTTCACAGAAAAAGTTCACGATCCGAGCTTATCACAATTACAGGAACCAATAACGTACCGATAGCGCCTGCGGGATAACTATTCCATTACGGGGGGAAATGGATTGTTAGTAATGGGGTCTAATGGACCCATTGCTAACAATACACCATATCAGGTCGACCTCCACGCGGTTCCCCCTGGAAACCATCGTGAACAATTCTTGTGTAATTCGTCACAGTGGGCTAACTGACCTGCTTCATCATCACCTATCATCCCTCACTGGTGCCTCGCCGGTGTATACCGATAGCGCGGGCGGGGTTATCCATTATCAGCCATTAAAAAAAAAACTATTCCATTATCACCCATTATAAAAAAAAAGAAGTAAGGAAAGGGCATGTGTTATACAGCTACTGTAAATGGGTCGCCAGTTTTTTGTCCAGCAAACGCACAAAAACCGTTGTAGATGGTTGCTGCTCCGATAGCATGGATATTAACGCTGGCGTCCCGCAGGGCTCTGTGCTGTCCCCAACGCTGTTTCTGCTGCATATTAATGATATGTTAACCACGAACACTCTGGTCTGAATGAACACTCTGAATGAGCTCCCTGCCGAGGTTTTCCCAAGAGACTACAGCATGGGGTTCTTCAAAAGGGGGTAAAGAGGTTTCTTCAGGGTCGGCAACGCGCGCGTAATACCTCTGGTATTGCAGGCGTTCATAGGTTACGGTAACCGCTTACCGTCAGGTGGGCCGTATGCTTGTTTGCCACCTCAGTGGTATAAAAAAAAACTTGATTGTGATTATTTATTGTAATTATTTATATTTTTTTTAATGGATGATAATGGTATAGTAACCCCGCCTGTGCTATCGGTATACACTGGCATAGCACCAATGGGAGATGATAGATGAGAATGAAAGCAGGTCAGTTAGCCCATCCTGACGAATTCAACTAGAATTCTAACCACGATGGTTTCCAGGGGGAACCATGTGGAGGTCGACTTGACAGGATATATTGCTAGTAATGGGGCTATTTGACCCCATTACTAACAATCCTTTTCCCCCCCCTAATTGTTTATATTTATAATAAGTTTATTGTAATCTTTTGGAGGAAACAATAAAGAGTATCTATCTATGTCTACTTTTTTTTTTCAGGGCAAAAGCAAGTTGAACAGGCACCTTCGAGAAGTTTGTGAAAAGCAGAAATTAGAAGATGAACTGACTTCTTATTATGATCAAGAGGATATTATTAATTGATGAACCATAAAGTAATATTGTGTTACAACCGTGAAGCAGCTGTGTTTGCATGGCTGTGTTTCGGTTTGAAGGGTGGGATATGGCGTGAATTTACAGGGTACAGAGAAATAACACCTGAGTCCTCAGGAATGGCAACGCATGGGGGATATCATGGGCGAAACAGTATACTCTGTTATGTCCATGGTACTGCTCATGTCTATAGGCGACGGTTACCACTTTCCATCAGGTGGGCCGTCAGCTTGTTTGACATTCTAAGCTGTATAAAAAAAAGAGAAATGTAAAATTATCGTGTACATAATCGAAAAGAGTAAGTGTTGAGCTTCTTGCGGATTCTTCTCAGCAGATACCAACATTCCGGACCCAGCAGTACAATCATAAACATATGACGATTTCAAAGTGCTTGTAAACGAGTCTATTTGAACCAAGATCATTTCTATTCCGTTCTATTCTATAGAATGTGACAGTTATTGTTATTATTTATTATTATATTTGTTATAAAATAAAAAAAAAAGTTAGTTATTACATATGTTTTTTTTATTGTCATATTTATTTTCTTTTTATGCATGGGGGGGTATCATGGATGAAGCAGTATACTCTGTTATGTCCATGGTACTACTCATGTCTATAGGCGACGGTTACCACTTTCCATCAGGTGGGCCGTCAGCTTGTTTGCCATTCTAAGTTGTATAAAAAAAACCTTTTTTTAAACAAATGTGTTATACAAGTAGATTTTGTAATTAGAAAAAAAAACACTTCAATTCTGATAGTAAACGGTCACTGTAGCCTATGGACGCCTGCAACACTAGGGGCGTCACGTGCGCGTCGGTGACCTTGAAGAAACCTTAATACACACCCTTTTTGAAGAACCCCATGCTGTAGTGTCTAATGAAAACCTAAACAGGGAGCTCATTCCGCAGCCTGAGCGTTTGCGGGAGAGAATTTCTCAATGTCCTCTACCCAAAGGTTGTCTGGAAGAGATTGCTCAGCGATAAGGCCGCCTTTTGTATCACTTCTCATTAATATTTACTGTATTTGTTATTTCTCTTGTTACTTGGTGCAATAAAGTGTAAATAAATAAATAAAAAAAAATTCTTTGAAACCTTCCTGTACGTGACCATTTAGGTTCAAGCGTGTGATGATGGATTCCCTGTTCGCAATTTTATAACAAATAAATAAACAACACATTTTTTTGTCAACATATATTATTTTTAATAAAAAAAAATTATTAAATATTAGAAAATTACACAATTATATACATTTTTCCGTTATTGTAACCGTGGATTCCTTTATACACAACTTGGTTACGTAAACGGAATGTTGTAATTGTTAAATTAGAAAATAAACATTTTTAATTCTATTTTGTTATTTTCATATTAAAAAAAAAAGAAAACGGATTTTCTAGACTGTTATTGTGTACACGATTGTATGCATTTGTTCCGTTATTGCAACCGCAGTTTTCTTTATTCGCAACTTGGTCGCGTAAACGGATTGAAAATTTGTTTACACGCATTATTGAAGTTATGAAATAATAATACTAGATATATGTATGTAGTTATAATATCTATACATATATTGAATCGATAACAGATATATTAGATATTGAATATATATATATATAAATATATATATATTGATATATATATATATATATAAATATATATATATTGATATATATATATATATATATATATATATATATATATATATATATATATATATATATATATATATATATATATATATATATATATATATTGATATATATAATATATAGATTTTTTTTATACAACTTAGAATGGCAAACAAGCTGACGGCCCACCTGATGGAAAGTGGTAAACGTTGCCTATACACATGAGCAGTACCATGGACATAACAGAGTATACTGTTTCGCCCATGATACCCCCAAGCGTTGCCATTCCTGAGGACTCAGGTGTTATTCCTCTATACCCTGTAAATTCACGCCATATCCCACCCTTCAAACCGAAACACAGCCATGCGAACACAACTGCTTCACGGTTGTAACACGAATGGGACAGAGGTACGCAAGCAAACGACTTTTGCACGAAGTCTCCTCCTAGTATCGGATATTTTCCTAAATGTATGATAATGGATTGGTAACCCCGCCTGCGCTATCTGTATACGTTGGCGGGGCACCAGTGAGGGATAATAGGTGAGGATGAAACGGTAGGTCAGTTAGCCCATCGTGATGAATTCACTTTAAATAGAACACGATGGTTTCCAGGGGGAACCGCGAGGAGGTCAACCTGATAGGGTGTACTGCAATGGGGCATTTAGACCCCATTACTAACAATCCCTTTTCCCCCTAGTTACCGGATATTACCTATCTTTAGTGTGAAATCTGGACGGGTTGCTAGTTTTTTTTTTTTTTTTTTTTATAATTGCAACAAATTAAAACACTGCAACGCAGAGTAAGCAACCAAACTATACCCGTTCATGCAATCCACGACAATCTTATTCAATACCTCGCCACATCTGCTCACTGGACACGTCTTCTCTTGACTACCCACGAGTTTCCGGTCTTTGTAACCGGGATTCCACTTTCGTCTCCATATATCGGTTATGTCGCTCCTTCTGAGCGATATATCTTGGGATTTCTGTGAGTTATCTTCGGACGTGTCTTTCGATTTTAAATATCGTTTCAGTATTATTTCTAGTGTGTGAAAAATATACGGCACGTTTTCTGTTTCGACGATGTTAGTTAGTTCACGCGGTTCCTCTTGCGTGAAACTTGAATGTATTTTTTCTAATATGTTTGTAATTTTTTCCATGGTGTACCTTAATATGTGTACGGATTTGTTAAAGAGAAAGAGACGGTGAATGTTTTCGTCTTTTTTCAACAGCTAAAAACACAATTGTAATGCAATTTTAGTAAAGTTTTGTTTTTTTTTTTATTCAACTTAGAATGGCAAACAAGCTGACGGCCCACCTGATGGAAAGTGGTAACCGTCGCCTATAAACATGAGCAGTACCATGGACATAACAGAGTATACTGTTTCGCCCATGATACCCCCCATGCGTTGCCATTCCTGAGGACTCAGGTGTTATTCCTCTGTACCCAGTAAATTCACACCATATCCCCACCCTTCAAACCGAAACACAGCCATGCAAACACAACTGCTTCATGGTTGAAACACATTTTTAATGGATGATAATGGAATGGTAACCCCGCCTGCGCTAATGGCTTACACTGGCGGGGCACTAGTCACGGATGATAAGTGAGGATGAAAAGACAGGTCAATTAGCGCATCGTGACGAATACATCTGGAATACAACACAATGGTTTCCAGTGGGACCTCGTGGAAGACGACATGATAGGGTATTATTGTTAGCAATGGGTTCCTTAGTCTCTATTACTAACCCCCTTCCCCCCACTTAAGTCTAAACAAGTTTTAAAAAGTAATTTTTTTCGAAAATTTTTTCGAAACTTACTATGGCAAACAAGCTGACGGCCCGCCTGATGTAAAGTGGTAATCGTTACATATAAACAAGACTAGCTCCATGGGCGTCACGGTATACACTGTGACGCCACTTGTAAAATTTTAACCAACATTATTAACATTGCAGCCATTATCCGTCCACTGCTGGACATAAGCCTCCCCCATAGACTGCCATAAGGAACGGTCCTAAGCCACCATATAAGATTACAATTATGTATGTCCTTTCCGTCTATATCCATTAAAGTGAGGCTGCAGGAATTGAATCTACGACCACTCTACTTAACTAATCCACTACATACAAGTGAACTCACCCCGTTCTCGTCAAAGTATAATCCTTTCAGTAACTCGTTGATATATTCTAATAATTCTTCTAAGAATTGTGGATATGCCTCTTCTGTATGAAGTTTATCTATTAGCTGACCCAAAACCTGTAAAAAAAAAATTTATGGATGAAAATAGTATGGTAACCCCGCCTGCGCTAACGGGATACGCTGGCGGAGCACCAGTGAAGGGTGATAGATGAGAATGAAAACAGGCCAGTTAGCCCATCATGATGAATTCATCAGGAATTAACCATGATAGTTTCCAGGCAGGACCGCGAGGAGGTGATCTGGTTGGGTATATTGCTAGCAACGGGATCCTCAGTCTCCATTACTAACAATCCCTTTCCCCCCGTAATAAAAGTATTAATAACTAACTATACGCCCTGGCTTCGTACGGTAGCTTAAAATATAAATACAGCTTATGCAGTATAGATGACAATGCTCAGGGATTTTTTTAGTGGATGATAATGGAATGGTAACCCCGCCTGCGCTAACGGTATACGCTGGCGGGGCACCAGTGAGGGATGATAGGTGAGGAGGAAAAGGCAGGTCAGTTAGCCCATCGTGATGGATACACCTAGCATTCAGCACGATGGTGTCCAGGGGAGAGCACGGGGAGATTGACCTGACAGGGTATTGCTAGCAATGGGACTGGTAGCCCGCATTACTAAAATCCCCCCCCCCCCCCACCCATAGAGACAGATTAGTTCGCTCGTCGTGGTAAATTCACTATAAATCTACCAAGATGGTTCCCAGAGATGACCACGTTCAGATCGACTTAACAGGCCATATTGCTAGCAATAAGAAATGATATAATAGGGACATTACTAACACTCCCTTTCCCCCTGTCCGCGGAGCTGCTTATGTCTACAGCCGATGGTTATTTACCATCAGGGTCGTCAGCATATTTGCTAAGCCGAAACTCACCCGTGATATTTCTTCGGTGATTTGTTTAGTGCTCTCCACTAGGGGGCACCGCGTTATATATTCATACAAGCAGTAAGCTGATTGATTCGTCCAATTGCCCGATAACTGTAGGGCTGGAAAATAAACAAATATTAATTTTGACGGACGTATGTCGACCAAATAGGCGACGTGCTGAAGAAGGGCCAAATCAAAAGTACCCGTAACCGGCGAGCGTGTATGAAAAGATTGATGAATGTGGAAGGAGCGAAAGAGGTTTGTTTGAATCGAAGCATTTGGCGTTCCATTGTTTCTGCCTACCCTAATGGGAGACAGGCGTGACAGATATGTATGTATAAAGTATGTATGTATTAATTTTTTACGCAACTTAGAATGACAAACAAGCTGACGGTCCGCCTGATGGAAAGTGGTAACCGGATATTCACCCATCTTTACACACCAATCAGATCTAAAATTTATTTAAGAAAACTATTCGACATGGGAGATATTTAAGAAAAAATAATACAAGAAATCTTAATAAGATACTGTTATAAGATGCCAAAACAATAATTTAAAAAAAAATTACAGTGTACAGCCAACTATTGGGCAAACCGAGAAATAAGTAGGCGGTGCATTAGTGAATTAAAAAAAATATTTACCAGAGGGAGACTTTGTACAAAAGTCGTTTGCTTGAGTACCTCTGTCCCATTCGTGTTTCTACCGTGAAGCAGTTGTGTTTGCTTGGCTGCGTTTCGGTTTAAAGGGTGGAATATGGCGTGAATTTACTGGGTACAGAGGACTAATACCTGAGTCCTCAGGAATGGCAACGCATAGGGGGTCATGGGCGAAATAGTATACTCTGTTATGTCCATGGTACTGCTCATGTCTATAGACGACCACTTTTCATCAGATGGGCCGTCAGCTTGTTTGTCATTCTAAGTTGTATAAAAAAAAAAAGAAAAAAAATTTCTTGTCTTTGCTAAAATAAATAAGTATCGCTTTCAAGCTCACCACTCCTACAGCTTCGACTTTGGGAATCACTCTTGTACGCAGAGTCGACTGAACCATCATTGCTTATTCCTCTTTCGACTCCTTTATTCAAATACATCTTTATTCTATTCAATTCTTCTATAACTTTAAAAGGGATCAATTCTGCTTGTGATTCTGTCAATTCTTCTAGCATAATATGATCGTCTTTAACCATATTCATAGATGGTTCTAAGGATATTTCACCATTTGTATTTGTTTTATTATCGTTAACTAAATTTTGTGTAACTAACATACTTTGAGAGTTCTCATCGAATATTTTCATTGTATTTACATTAATTACGTGAGAAACTTCATTTAAAATAGAAGTATCTGTTTTATTTGCTATTGCATTGTCAATAATAACATTTTTTATTACTACACTGTCTTGAGATTTCAATTCAACATTTTGTTTGTCTAAATCATTGGCTAATACATCATCTTTGTTACAATTAATTTCATTACCGTTAATATTTATTGGTATTTTGTTGCCTTTAACATATTTATCTGGTATAACAATCCAATCTTGACTTGGACCAATATGACTGTAGTTTTCTGTGAAACCACAAACATTATAAACTGCAGTACTCTGATTATCAAAATTAGGATCTTTATCAATGTTCGTTCTAGTATCAGAAGTAACGAGTTCAATATTTCTTATATTGCTATTCCTATTTTCTGTAAAACCATGCACGCTGTATATTTCTGTTAATTGCGAATCAATGGTCAAATTGTTATTACATTCGTCAACTCTAGAATTATCTTTTAAATTTAAATCTGTATTTAAATTAATTTTTTTTAATGTGTACAGTTCTGTTGCTTGAGAATCAATAATTACATTATGTCTATCAGTTCTAGATGCTTCTATACTACAAGATTTGTTAATAGATTCTCTGTTTGCTGTAAATCCATGAACTGTATATATTTCTGTGGCTTGAGAATCAAAAGTCAATTGTTTGTCCATTTCCATATTTTTATTATTATCGTTTGTGTCTTTTTTAGACATACAGATTGCATCTGGTTTGTTTGTGAAACCACATACGGTGTAAATTTCTGTAGCCTGGCAGTCGAGTCTGTTATGATCATTTGTTTTCACTGTTTCTTTATGTTTTTGTACTTTTGATGTTTCGTTATTATGTTCCGACTGATTTTTGTACATTTCATACCGATCTTGAGTGCACGCTGCACTTTTACAAAATGTTTCATCGATATCGACAAATTCCGAATTGTCTTGAGAACTATTGCAAGTCGTCGGTTGTGTTAAAATTCCATTGTAATAATCGTATTTACTATGCTATTTGATACAAGCACAAAATAAATGTTAATTTTGTTAATATAGCAAATGCGCAAGTTTAATAATGAAAGTATGGATGAGTATTTGTTATCCTTTCAAGCTAAAAGTACTGAATTAATTTGAATTAAATTTGGTACACGGTTTTTTTTTAATGGATGATAATGGAACGGTATCTCCGCCTGCGTTAACGGTATACGCTGGCGGGGCACCAGTGACGGATGATAGGAGAGAATGAAAAAGCAAGTCAGTTAGTCCATCGTGATGAATACACTTGGGATTCAGCACAATGGTTTCCAGGGGGAACCACCTCGATGTTGACCTGACGGTATATTGCTAGGCTAGTAGTCGTACGGTTTAGAATTATCACTTTATTGAATACATGACATCTATGGGCCAACTGGCCTGACTTTATCCTCCCTCACCTATCACCTCTCATTGCTACCGCGTCTGCGAATACCAAAAACCAAGTCAGCGTTAGCATATCATTATTATTCATAAAAAAAACTCAGTTACAAGTATTAATGTAATTTGAAGAAAACTGACATTTACCACTTTATGAGCCCTATCATTTACATCTTCTAATACACCTAGAACCTCAGAGGATTGATTATTTAACGTGTCATTATTTTCATCATTGTTCTCTACGCAATCATCAATAATTTTATATACAGTAATACTATCTTGCACTTCACAATCATTAAATCCACGATCATCATTATTTTCATCGTTAGCCTCATTAATGATATCATTTTCATTATTATCATTAAAATTGAAGTCATCGCTGCATATTGTGATATCTAAATCTTCCATTATCATTTCTTCATTGTTTATATTAGTTTTTATATCTTCTATATGCTGTTCTAATGTTTTATCTGCAGGTTTTGTATTTATAACAGCTATTGCTACAGCCATTGCGTATTTTTGAGAAATGTGACGTACTGCAATTAATAATAATAATAATAAATTACTAAACATATTGAGAACACAGCACTATCTAGTCCTAAACTAAGTGAAGATAAAAGAGAGGGAGATGATGACAGTGAAAATATAGAGTACAGAGGCATCCTCAGGAATGTTATGAAAGGTGCCATAGCCGAGGGAAAAGGGATTGTTAATGGGGCCTACCAGCCCAATTGCTGGCAACCTACATTGTTAGACCGACCTCCACGTGTTCCCCCTGGAAGCCATCGTGTTGAATTCCAGGTGTTTCTACCTTTTCATTCATCCAGACTTTGTACAAAATCGCCTGCTTGGGTACTTCTGTCCCACTCGTGATACTATGATAGCATGGCATGATAGCAGTGAAATTACACATTTCTATACTCAGCAAATTTCGTCATCATTATATCAGCCGTTAACTTTTCATTACTGAACATAACCTCCCCTGGAGGATGTTACCAGTAGTTGCCACACTTGGCAGGCAGGTTGACAATCGCAGTTAGGCTTTAGTGGTGTTTTAAGAGAGACGCCGCTGCCCATTTCTCGACCATTAAGTTACTTTGGTCGCCTCTTACTAGGAATAAAGGGGCGATCTATTATATGCCAGGATCACACGGCAAATTTACTTAAGACTATTTATAAGATATTCCCAAACGAAAGAAGCTCTCAATTCGTCTAAATTTATTCCATTTTCACAAATTTTCGTTTTTGCAAATGATGTTCACTGCCGTATTGGTCCCATTTTAATTTTATGACAATTAGCGCTTCTTTTGTTCTTTACGAAGCTTAGAACCGTTTGTTGCAAAGCAAAATCTATATGTTAATACACAATATTACAACTAAATGCAGATATCTACGAAATATGTTATAGTGTCTATATTCTAAAGATTAAAGTAGGTAACTATAAAAAAATTATTATAGTTTTATACCTTGTTCATCACAACTCATTTTTACAATACAAATTCATTATGCTACGTATCACTATTTAACGATTTAAAAAATATTTGCACTATGCATAACCAATTTATGAAAAAATCTTTTGCATTATAAAACAAATTCGCATTTCGCGCCTCATAATTTCATCTATTCTTTTAACGGCGAGAAAGGCAGTGGTACTAAAATTATACAGCCTTAACTTTCTTATTACTTTTTATTTGCTGTATAAAAATACACCAATTACAATAATTCTTCTTTAATGAAAATTAACACTTTATGCATTTATAAACTTCTAGATTGTAATCATTTTTGAGATATAGGTTCACAACTTGACGAGTTTAAGTTCTCTTCTTAACAACACTGCGCGAATTATAGAATACCTCTACCGCCTCTGCTGAACGATTTAAGAACTAAAATTACTGTATAATTATTAAAACTTTTTAATTTAAAAAATAGCTAAAAGAAATGCAAGTTGCAATATATATTTTTTGTTGCAAGATATCATTTATCAACCATTTTTTTTTTGTCTGCAGATTAACGAATATCTGTCTCTATTTACTACCTAAAATACTAAGAACAAGAATTACAAATCTTTACTAAAATATCAGAATATGTTTTGTAAAACATATTTAATCCTATACATGACGATTTAGTTGATATATTCAAATGATGAGGGGTTATGGTTTAAAGTGGTATCTTGCCACATTCGAATAAACGTCATAGCATAGGACTTCATAGCATAGCTGTCCGCAGATCAGAGTAAGTAGCTGTCTAAGTTTGGACGTAGACATATTAGGTATAGCCTTTTTAGTCTGTGGTTTTATTTAAATTCAATTTATGCTGTTCTTTATTTTTTTTTGTACACATTATTTATATTTATTTTATATTTTACACTTATTGAACAGTTATCTAATAAAGTGTTTATTGTTTATGTATAATTATAATGTAATAGATTATTGATATATCGTGATAATTAAATATAATTGATGCATCTTAAAAGATGTCGAAGAAATATACTCAACAATGTGGACTAGAGAAATCGTCGCAAGTTTTTGCAAAGGACGAAAATAATAGTATGTCACAAAATCAGGTAAAAAAAAAATTAAAAATATTTTATCTTATTAATGTAATAAAATTGCAACTAGAAGACATTTGTACATGTGAGTAATTTAAAAAAAAAATTAGTGGAGTCATCATATTTTTTAGAAAATTTGTCTATCTATATATTTGTTCCTACATCATGCAAAAACTAGTGCACCTAATTGTGTGTGGTTTGCACAGTTGTGTTCTAGAAGGTCTTACTTAAAGTCTGGTGTATGTTTTATCTTGATACTCCACATTTTTTTTTTTTATATGCAACTTAGAATGGCAGATAAGCTGACGGCCCACCTGATGGGAAGCGGTAATTGTTAGTATATACCAATGGTGCACACAAGGTTAACATTTAATTATCACCCATTAAAAGAAGTAAGTTGTTATATAAAAAATTTAGTTTTTTTGCCTGCTTTTTCATATATGTGGGTTTCGGATGTGGGAATACTAATGAAACAGATGACCTCTACAGCCAGATATGCCATATAGAAATAACATATCTGGCTGTAGATCGAAATCGGTGGAATATGATGGAAGAGGCTTTCATCCATGGGGGATTATACACCAAAACACAAAACAAATGATTAGTATTGAAAAATTAATCCTTTTTTTATACAACTTAGAATGGCAAACAAGCTGCCCACCTGATGGAAAGTGGTAGCCGTCGCCTATAGATATGAGCAGTACCATGGACATAACAGAGTATACTGTTTCGCACATGATACTTGCCATTCCTGAGGACTCAGGTGTTATTCCTCTGTTCCCTGTAAATTCACGCCATATCCCACCCTTCAAACCTTTATAGCTTTATGGTTGAAACACGAATGGGACAGAGGTACCAAACAACTATAAAAGCAAACGGCTTTTGTACAAAGTCTCCCCCTGGTAAATCTTGTAAAGTATGGAGAATATAAAGCTCTAATAATATATAATCTAATATCTATTATGTTCATGGTATTGCATTGCTCATATCTATAGGCGACAGTTACTGCTTTCCATCAGGTGGGCTGTCAGCTTGTCTGCCATTCTAAGTTACATAAAAAAAAAATGTGGTGTATCAAGATAAAACGTATACCAGACTTTAAGTAAGACCTAGAACACAACTATGCAAACCACACCCAATTTGATGCAGCAGTATTTATGTGATACTGGAACAAACATGAAGACAGACAGGCAAAATTTGTAAAAAATATTGCTTTGACTTCTATTGGTCTTATAGATTTTTCTTAAAGATAACTATATCCCATTAACCCTTCTTTACATAATGGTGGAAATTTCCATCATAACATTGAATGCCCAAAAAGTATATATAAGACCAAGTTCACTTTAAGTTGATCATGTCTGGATACCTTTTTATTGTCCATTGCAAAAAACAAAACATAGCTGTCAAATTTATTTTTTTAACCATTTTTTTTAATATTGAACATGAATTATATCAACTTGATTTATTGTACCAATAAAAAAAAAATCATGCAAAGTGTTAAAAAACATTGTTATTTTAAATTAATGAGTAATATAATATTATATTTCCATTTTTTTCTTCAGGTTATAAATAATAAATCTCCTAGGTTATTAACTGAATCAAACGAAACACCACATAATTCTGAAAGTTCACTAGATATTGTTGAATCATTACCTTCAATTACCAATTGTGATATAAAAGTTGAAGAATTTGATGATAATGTAGTAAATATTGATGATTGCAATGTAAAAGATAATAATACTGCAAATAATGAAGCGGACAGTGATGATGATGAAGATATAGAGCTTATAGAACAAGAAATAATCATTGAGAATGAGATGCTGAAGAGTACATTTAAAAATAATGATTCACTCCAAAAATTATTGGAGGAGTCTGCAAACAATTTATTGAATACAAACTGTGGTGATTCAATTAATGATTCATACACTTCACTCTACAAAGTGTTTTCGTTTTCATCAGATAATATTGTTAATAAATCTACACACAATGATAATCACCATATAGATACATCTCTAGGTATGACTAATGCAAACATTGACAGTTCAAAGCAAAATAGTCAAAATTCTAATAAAATCCCTGATGTTAGCCAGCATAAAAATACTTCTATTGCTGCTGATGAAACTGTTCCAGCCAAAGAGATTGACCTGTCTGTTAAAGGATTAAAACAACTGTGCCTAGAGTTGGATGAAAATGAAATGTTCAGGAAAGCTGAGATTATTAGAAACACAGCGTCCAATGTAGCAGATAGAATATTAGCAGTGGAACTGCTTAATAACTGGGGGCGCGTTAAACATGCGCCTTGCAAGCCAACAATACAGGAGACTTTGTTGCAGGACGCTCTCGACGAGTGGAAAAACTGGAACAAACTCTCTAGACACAGGGAAATACCATTGACATACAAGTGCTACGTTTGCAAGATTGCGTATTGGCGTTTGACTCCGTTCCGGGAGCACATAGCTCAGCATGTAGACATTAAAATTGGCTGTGAGTTTGTACTTTACGAGTCTCACATAAAAGCGTACACCGTAGAAGAGGACACCATCAAGAGTTTCCCCATCGAAGGCAATTGCTTTCAGTGTCACAAAGGATATGAAGCGCATCCCTCTTTGGGGGGAGAGTTTAAACACTATAAATGCTCATTTTGCAAAGAAAACTTTTTCACATGCATCGCATTGATGATCCACGAGGAGCCATGCAAACATCTGAAGAAGAAGCGTCTCATGCATGTGTCTGATATAAATTTGCACAAGTGTAAAGTATGCCCAATGAGTTTTTACAATAAGGAACAATTAAATAAGCATTTAAAATTGTCCCACATGGTATGGTCTGATGTACCTATTCTGTCAGGGACCAAACTTTGCACTCTCTGCAATCAGAGGTATTCTGTATTTTTAATGCACATATGCAATAAAAAAATGGCGCCAAAATTCATATGTTCGTTTTGCAATCGAAGATTTCCCTCGCAAAAGATGTTGGATTTACATATAGATATGTTGCAAAGCAATCACCAGTGTCGGATATGTAATTTGACGTTAAAGAAGAGTTGTATGGAGGTCATACATTTATTAATACACAGCAAACGGTTCATGAAAGTGTATAGGTGCGCGTTGTGCAAGGATAACAAGATATATCCCAAGTTAATAGATATGAAAAAACATAAGAAAATGCTTCATAAAGAAAAATTTATTTCCCATAATATTTTGTATGATATTGTAAGTTATTTTTTTTCGATAAATTGAAGGCATGAATGGATGAAGGTGATTTGCTATTCCACACAGGAAAGGTGGTGTTTTTTTTTTTAATGGATGACGATGGAATGGTAACCCCGTCTGCGCTATCGGTATACGCTGGCGGGGCACCAGTGAGGGATGATAGGTGAGGATGAAAAGAAAGGTTCAGTTAGCCCATCCTGGTGAAAACACACCTGGCCCTCGTCAATGGAATCGACATCGCCAATGAGTCCGTGATTTGGAATAAGGCATCCGACGTTGCTATCTCATTCCATCTCACGGACCTGCCAGCGATGTCGACTCCATAGACGAACTCGCCAGCCACCTGTCCAGAAGGTCTGGCCTGGTACCCTAAAATTGTCTGGCTTTTTTATGCAAATTAGAATGGTAAACAAGCTGTCAACCCACCTAATGGAGAGTAACTGTCGCCTATAAAACATTAACAGTACCGTGGACATAACAAAGTATACTGTGTCACCCTTAGTGATTCTTAAGAACTAAGAAATAGTTTGAATTATTAGTGTCAAATTAGTCAGTGACCATTGGCCGTGGGGTGTCGTAAGAGGCGACTAAGGGAACTTAATGTCGAAGGTTGGGCAATAACGTCCTTAAAACATCACCAAAAGGGATATTACGGTTGTCAACTCGCCGGCCAAGTGTGACAACTACGGGCAAAACCCTCGATATGGAAGACCTATATTCAACAGTGGCAACAGCTGATGATGTTAACCCTTCTTTGCATATTTATGGAAATTTCCATCATAACATTGAATGCCCAAAAATTATATAAAAGAACAAGTTCACTTTAACTTGATCGTGTCTGGATACCTTTTTAATGTCCATTGTAGAAAAAAAACAGCTGTCAAATTTATTTTTTTTAACCATTTTTCCTTTTGATTTTGAACATGAATTATATCACCTTGAGTTATTTTACCAATAAAAAAAGTCATGCAAAGAAGGTTTAATGATTTATTTAGAATTATTTCCCCTTTTTAATAATAACTTTATTGCATAACCATAATTATAACAAACTCAGAAATGGTGTCTAATGGTAGGGTATTCCCGCCTGTGCTATTGGTAAACGCTGGTGGGGCACGACCCGTGGGTAAAGGGAAAATGTGGTCAATTCTATGTTGGAACCAAACGACATCTTTATAAGTATAGATTTATCTATATTTTTCAATTTTCAGATGTTAATAATAAAAAATGTTGAAGAAAAACAGAAATATGTAAAAGAAGTTAAAACAGTTGTTGAGCAAATAAGCGCATCCGATGAGCAGAGATTTGCAATCGAAAATTTAATGAGTGAGTTCTTTATGAAACTTCGTTTTATTTTTTTACAACACAGGGGGCAAACGAGCATGCGGCTCACCTGATGGTAAGTGACTACCGCCGCCCATGGGTGACCATGGGCGGCGGTAGTCACTACAACACCTACGGCATTGCAGGTGTGCTGCCGGCCTTTTAAAAAGGAATATGCTCTTTCCTTGAAGGTTATGTTGTCGTATCGGTTCGGAAATACTGCTGCTGGAAGTTGATTCCAAAGAGTGGTTGTGCGTGGGAGTACTATAAGACGCGTCCGTCAACCGTCGCTGATGGACTAAGATGAGCAGCGTTCCAAGAAACCAACAAGTTTTTTATTTATTTATACTTTATTGTACATAAAAAATTCATTCTTATAATTTATATAAGATAAAGATGTACAACTTAAATTAACTCTATATGAGTTTTCTTTGAAGAAAACTTGAGTGGAAAGGAGCCTTTATTACCGGTCTACAAGATTGACAATGCACAAGCAGCTCCTCTCGTGTTGCAAGTGTTCATGGGCGACGGTAGCCACTTTCCATCAGGTGGACCGTCTGCGCGATTGCCTCCCCAATAGTTAAAAAATAAAAAATACTCAAATGTATAATATTTTTTCCCCAAGTTTCTATTCACATTTGACAAACTTTGTTGATTTTCACTACGTTTAGCCATGTAAACGGAAAATGGACCAGAGGGAGACTTTGTACAAAATTGCTTGGGTACCTCTGTCCTATTCGTGTTTCTACTGTGAAGCGTTTGTGTTTGCATGGCTGTGTTTCGGTTTGAAGGGTGGGATATGGCGTGAATTTACTGGGTACAGAGGAATAACACCTGAGTCCTCAGGAATGGCAACGCATGGGGGGTATCATGGGCGAAACAGTATACTCTGTTATGTCTATGGTACTCCTCATGTCTATAGGCGACGGTTACCACATTCCATGAGGTGGGCCGTCAGCTTGTTTGCCATTCTAAGTTGTATAAAAAAAAAGTGAGCAATAGCTTAATAAATGATGATTGATTACTTAATGTAATGTAAATTGGACTCTCTTTTCCCCGCTTAGCTTCTCATTTGGGCCGTTGTGCGTATTAGTTGTAGCTCGTGGCTAGTACAGCCAACCTAGATCCGCCCAAAAGCTAAAAAACTTCCTGGGATCTTCACAGACCTCACGGAGCGACTTCACCGTTCCGAGGATTTCTAAACATTGATGGGCCACAGTTTGACTGTTTAATAATCATTCATTATTTATTAACTATTAAACAGTAAACGAGATATTAATAAAAGAAATCTTTGTACGTGATTATAATAATCATTTTGTCCAATTTGCAGAAGAGATGGAAGATCCAAGTGATCAAAACGAAGTAATTCAGACGCCAAATGTGGAAATACAAACTGTAAATGAAAGTATTTTTGAAACTGCTGAAATTGACAATAGAAACGTAAATATTGTTATAGATGAAGAACAAACACAAGAGTATGATAATAATGAAGTAATAATCGATAGTGATACCGAGAATGATGATGATTTTAATGAAAATGCAATTGTAAATAATAATTTTGATAATCACCAGACTGACAACGTTGAGGTTGATGCTGAAGTGCGTGATGAGAAAGAAATAGAAGTAGCAGACGGGTGTAGTTATGAAGAATCGAATCATTATGTATCTAACATGCTTCAAAAGCCTGGCTTTTTCGTCGAAATCAAAGTGGAAAATAACAATGAACATCAAGGTGTGAATTCAAATGATATAATAGGTTTAAACAATGATTTAACAGAGGATACTGTTGTGAATGAACCTAGAAGAAATCTTTACAAATGCGGTAAATGTAAACTAGATATGGAGCACAAAGAATACCAAAAACATAGGAGTTCATGTCCTAGCAGAGATGGAGTTAAATTTAAACGTTTAGAGAAAACGTATCACTGCAGCAAGTGCACGGGGAATTATATATCATTGAAGAAATATATAATACATTTGTCAAAAGTGCACAATCTCGAGCGGTTGGTTTGTGTTCTATGCGGTTTGAAATTCGGCACGGATCCAAATCTGAGGATGCACTTCGATTTGCATATTAGACGATTGTATTTGAGAGTTAGATGTTGCAGTAAAGAAGATAATGTAAACAATACTATAGTGCAGTGTAAGAAATGCAGGTCCAATGTAGCTGGGGATAAATTATTTTCACATTGGGAATCGCATTTTGTAATGCCAGATCAGTCGGTAGTTAAACCGAGCGAACCGGCTGCATTACCAGCTCCCCTCTACGAGGGTGCTTTAAACCCGACAGATTTGAAAAATCTTATTACATGTATGTGATTTTTTTATATTGTTTATATTGCTTTTTTTTTATTTAAAATTTAATTTATTAATAATATAATTAATATTATCAATGCTAATAATTATTCACAGTACCCATGTTTTTTTAATGGGTGATAATGGAATGGTAACCTCACCCGCGCTATCGGTATACACCGGCGGGGCACCAGTGAAGGATGATAGGTGAGGATGAAGCAGGTCAGTTAGCCCATCGTGACGGATTCAACAAAAATTGTTCACGATGGTTTCCAACGGGAACCACGTGGAGGTCGACCTAATAAGGCATACTGCTAGCAATGGGGCTGTCATACTCCATTGCTTACAATCCCTTTCTCCCCCACAGTATCCATGTTGTATCAGCCGTTAATTTTCCACTGCTGAATATAGTCTCCCCCATAAGGGGGGTTTTGCCAGTAGTTGCCACGTTTGGCAGGCGGGCTGGCAACTGCAGTTAGGCCTTTTCTATGCCGGTACCACACGGCAGTTGTACATTATGCAATACATAATATTAAATTTCAAAATGGCCGACTCCACAAAATGGCGGTTTGTATATTTTTTGTCAATCTCATTAAAAAAGTGAAAATACCGATAAAGTAAACGATATAATTTCAAAATGGCCGCAGCCACAAGATGGCGGAATACGCTTTATGTAAGAATTTATTGATGAATGTGGAGGAAGCGAAAGAGCTCTGTTCGAATCGCCAAATGCTTAGCGTTCAATTATTTCTGCCTACCCCAATGGGAGGCGGGCGTGATGGGTATGTATGTATATATGTTTGATCGTCTACAGATTTACAAATGGATATGACAAACCGGCATATGTACAAGATGATAAAAAGGTGCCCCTGCTGCCGCAGATACTTCAGTCGTGCTATTGTAAGCAAAAGACATTTTGTGGAGCATTTGCTAAGAGACGCGTATGCATCGATCGAGAGGAACGGCGGATTGAAATGTCAGATTTGCTCGGAGATATTCGAAGGGGATGACAAGTGAGTAACGTTAATTCGACTTTTCACATCCAAACGTTGTTAACCGGAGACGAGTCGTTTGCTTGGGTACCTCTGTCCCATTTGTGTTTCTACCGTGAAGCAGCTGTGTCTGCATGGCTGTGTTTCGGTTTGAAGGGTGGGATATGGCGTGAATTTACAGGGTACAGGGGAATAACACTTGAAACGCATGGGCGGTATCATGGGCGAAACAGTCTGTTATGTCCATGGTACTGCTCATGTCTATAGGCGACGGTTACCACTTTCCATCAGGTGGGCCGTCAGCTTGTTTGCCATTCTAAGTTGTATAAAAAAAACTTAATTTGTAGCATATTAATTTTTATTTCAGTTACAAAGTCCATATGAGGGATCACGGCTTCCTTCCCGTCTACATGTGTGAAATATGTAACAAGTCTTTCAGCGATTCAAGTAACTTCAGCAAACACAGGAAACTGCACGACCAGTCTGTGCACGTGTGCCAGCTTTGTAAAAAGAAGTTTCAACATAAGGAGTCGCTTTTGAAGCATAACGTCGAGGTAACCGATTTTAGTTCATCTTTTTTTTTTGTGCAACCACTATGTGACTTTTAATGGGTGATAATGGAATGGTGACCCCAGCTGCGCTATCGGGGCTTTGGCGTTGATACATTGGCGGGGCACCAGTGAAGGATGAAAAGGGAGGTCAGTTAGCCCATCGTGACGAATTCACGATGGTTTCCAGGGGGAACCGCGTGGAGGTCGACCTGATTGAGTGTATTACTAGCAATGGTACTAAAGTACTTTGTAATTTCAGTTTTCGCCATATCACATCAAATCGAAACACAGCTCACGCAACTGTCAACGGGTGAAACACGAATGGGACAGAGTTACCCAAGCAGACGATTTTTATGCAAAGACTTCGTCTGAAAACTATCGTGTTTCGATTTGAAGGATGGGATATGGCGTAAATTTACTGGGTACAAAGGAATAACATCTGAGTCCTCAGGAATGGCAACGCATGGGGGGTATCATGGGCGAAACAGTATACTCTGTTATGTCCATGGTACTGCTCATGTCTATAGGCGATGGTTACCACTTTCCATCAGGTGGGCCGTCAGCTTGTTTGCCATTCTAAGTCGTATAAAATATATGTATACATACATAAATACATAAAACAAATCATGTCTGGTCTCTGTCAACAGGTGCATGAGAAGTCCAAGCCCAAGGCCTGTTCATACTGCAGCACCACATTCTACACCGAGTCCAGTTTAAAAAAACATGTCAGAAACAACCACGAGCGACCTCTGCCGGCGTTCCGTTGCAAGATATGCAAGAAGGTGTTCCCCACTACTAAATCAAAGCTCGAACACATGTGGGCGGCACACCGACTGCGGTGTGTCCGAACACAGAATGCCAACTGTCCAATATGCCATGAGCCCTTCAGGAAGTACCAGGACGTGAAATATCACCTGGAAAATGTACACAGTATGGAAAAATCTACTGCGGCATTCTTAGTAAAGAAGCAAGCGCGCAAATACCAGGCGGCTAAAAAGAAACGCGAACTGCTCATACAGAACTAGCCGTGGCCCGCGGCCTCGGCCGTGCTCGTCGATCACAAATGAGCTCTCAAATGCTGTGACACGATTGTAGATCTAACATTTAACGCCTTAGATTGTATAGAGCATCGAGCCTCAAAAACGAGGCGACTTTTTGACAGCTAATTGGCAAATTGGCTCACTCGTTTTTTTTTACCAGTGTTCTGTATACTTACGCACACAATGTATCTTGACGTATCTATATTAAATTTGTTAATAAATAAAATGTGTGTTTACGCATTAAAAAGATGCAGAATTTATAAAACAAAATAAATATAGAAGTTATAAAGGAATCACTCGTAACTATTTATCACGCAAAATTGTATGGAAAAAGTTGAGCCGTTTTTCTCGAAGCATTTGTATGGAGACACTCTATCTATATAATCTAAGTTTAGCGCATTCAAACAAACCATGCCACTAGTATAAGTTATTATAGTCTATTTATTTATTTATTTAAATAAATAAATAAATATTTATTTTAAGGAAAATATAAACGGTTAATCAACCATATGACAGTCTATGTTCTAACGCATAAGAAATTAATTAATTAAATATGTTTTTTTTTATACAACGTAGAATGGCAAACAAGCTGACGGCCCACCTGATGGAAAGTGGTAACCGCCGCCTATATACATGAGCAGCAACATGGACATAACAGAGTATACTGTTTCGCCCATGATACCGCCCATGCATTGCCATTCCTGAGGACTCAGGTGTTATTTCTCTGTACCTTATAAATTCAAAGTCATTCTAAGTTGTATAAAATCTTTAATTTGTACTGACAATTTAAATAGTAAATTATATATTGCATTTCTATTTTGTAAATTTGTAAATATTTGTCTAAGGTCATTATGTGGAGTAACTGACTATTTACTGGATGAGTAAAAATTTTTTTGATAAAAAAAAGTTGTTTTAATTGCAAACAGATAAATTGGTTTATTATTTCAAAGTAATTAAGCTTAGTAATTGTTATTTTATTTAAACGCACTATTCATATTTATATAAAGAACAAAGAATTACATAAAAGAAATGATAAAATAAAAACTGTAAATCATACGGTTGCCCCCTTTCTTCTTATACGAATATAATTAGTTAAAAGAGGACGAAAGATACACTATCAGTTGCTATTTTTCTCAATTCATAGCAGGCTAGTGCGTAGAAAATGTTTGATATGTCAATTATTTGTCAATGTCAAGTTTTACATTACTAGATTATATATTGGACACAGTTTATGCAGAAAGTATGCGAGCGGGTTGTATCTGAATTTGGTAGGGTTATACGGCCGTATAACATTGTCTATACACTATCCTGCTATGAATTGACCAAAATAGCAACTGATGGTGTATCTTTCTTCCTCTTTTTACTAATTATATTTGCATAAAAAGAAAGGAGGCAACCATATGATTTACAGTATTTATCATTCCTTGTATGTAATTCCTCGTTCTTAGTATTTATATATTTTTCTCAAATATGCTTGGAAATGTGAGTATTATTTTGACAATCTTCTTCGAGATAAATCAAACTTGCCGTACTGGCCAGATACATGCGGGCAGCGGCCGGCAAAAGTTGTATGAAAATCCATATCTGTCGTGTTTTGCGGCCAGATAAATTACTATGTAAACTCATATCTGTCCTGTAATTTACAAATGGAATGACCTTTTACTTCGAAACATAGCTACCAAGGAGGTAACTAGTAAGTTTTATTTAAATTTCGAACTGGCTTGCAAATAGAAAGCTATTTATTGAAAAAAAAAAACAACGGAAAATTATGGCGCGTGAAAAATTATTATTGTTCATTATTCGTCATTGAACTTAAAAAGTAAAATTTTGTTTTTGATTTCCGCGCATTGTTTGAGAAAAGCACTATACAAGCCTTGGCCACAACTAGGCATTGATGGACTCACGTATGTATGCCTCGTCTACGTCTCGGCCCACATTTGCACATTCGTCCATCAATGCCCCCGTTGCTGGCCGCTGCAGTAATGTACTATATTATTAAAATAGACTAATAAAGTTGCCATATTAGGAAAGGTATGGATTGCTTTCTCAACAGGGATTGTTAGTAATGCAGACTACCAGACCCGTTGCCAATAATATACCCTGTCAGATCAACCTCCACGTGGTTCCCCCTGGAAACCATCGTGATGTATTCCAGGTATATTTATCACGATGTGACTGACCTGGCTTTTCATGCTCACCTATCATTCCTCACTTTCATTGCATTCCATACATAAATAAAACAAACCAACTGTATCAAAAGTAAATAGTATATTTTACCAAAATTAATTTCATTTAACATTTCAAATACAATGTCATGCTTATTTTATATCGTACATAAATAACAAAAACATACTTAGAGCCTTAGCGAGGCCAGGAGGCCTGCCTTAACTATGGCCTCAGTACAGATTTGACAAATCTGCCTTCTTAGCCAAATAGGAAGTAAATAAGTGCAAAACAATGCACCAATCGCCTGCTCCTCGAGTTAGAATACAATATGTTGTGAGGATACAGGCGAACACTGTGCCATACCATACCAGCCGTTACCTGTCCACTGCTGGACGTAGGCCTCCCAAAGACATAGGTACCAGAACACTGATACCCCAACTAAATTACAAAAGTTCAATCCCTATATTGGTCCTTTTTGGGTCATCAAACCAGGAACCCTAATTACGCAAAGCTACGTGCTTCAACTAACTATACTATGGAGATCGTCAAATCTATGGAAACTATCGATAGACACGTTTCCGTAAGCGCACGCATGAGATAGAACAAGACACCGCACGTTGCTGTCTCGCTCTGTCATACGTACACGGTTTTTTACACTCTATTATATTAAAAAAAAGCAATGAAACTAAACACAAAAAAAAATAAACAAATAATATCATAAAGTTACATAATTAATAAAAAAAAAACTATATTACAAATTATTATGTAAAATTGAATTTGATTAAATAAACAATATAAGAGACCAGTTTGTTTACAAAATTGTCAAATGTATATTGAAACATGGTTAAAATTAGGTATAGTATTATTGGCGTGTGATACCGGCATAGAATAGGCCATTCCTTCTTTTCCCATAGGTGTCGTAAGAGAGGACAAGGGATGGACAGCAGCATCCCTCTTTAAAACATCTCCAAAACCTAACTGCAGCTACCAATCCACCTGCCAGGCGTGGCAACTACTGGCAAAACCCCCCAAGGGGGAGGCTTATGTTCAGCAGTGGACAGTTAAAGGCTGACATGGTGATTATGAATGTAATTTATTTTTATTAACCCTTTGAGTGCCGACGAGCGCCATCTCGCTCGTGCGCTTTGCAACTAAAAGTGCCACGAGCGTTATACCGCTCGTGAAATCAGTCGCTGTTTAGATTGCCGTAAAAAAAAATATTAATATTGGAGGATTTTTGGAGGAGATACAGTTTCTTTTAGAGGCAAGGCTAAATAACGTCATCACGACAAAGATTTCTTTGGTATTTTTAAGTAGTTATGAGTAAAAATCAACGGCACTAAAAGGGTTATATATGTCTCAGAGTTGTCCCCATTATGTATTCTCAAACATGTATGCGTATAGCTGAAAGCGCCGCTCGCATCCTGGATTAGGCACTAAACAATTATAAGGTGAAGACAGATCACCCCCCCCCCCCCATAATGATTATATCGTCACCTCTATGGCAAATTTACGAATCTGCAGTTTTTTCAAATTTGACATTTCTTTAAAAATATACATTCTGCGTCATACTACTTATTGTGGCTCATTTTCAAATTTCTATCTCTAACGGTTAGAGAAATCGAGTAGCTCGAATCTCCATATTTTTGTGATATACCCAAAGTAAACTTATTTAGCATATTTTTATAGTATTTTCTATAATAAACACTTTAATTTGAAAATTTCAATAATTATTTTATAAATTTTTCAATCCTAATTTAGTTATTTTACATGAATGATTGCTATAACGTTGTTATTTAAACTGAGGTTCTCTCCAAAACACGTGATTTATACCTTGGTATATTTACGAAAGTGGCACTTTCGTTAGTTTGCCAGATATTAAAATAAATGATTTTCTTTGGCAACTTACGAAACTGCCACTTTCGTAGATTTGCTGTTGTATAACTCAATACCTGGGAACTCTCATGTATGAAGGTGCAAAGTAACGAATATGCATTTATTTCTGATACTTGTAATATAATAATAATTAATTAAGCACATTCAATAAAAAACCGGATTTTAAAAATGTTAGCATGATCGTTTACAGTAGTCTTCTGTCAAAAGTTATTTGCATTCTAATGTTTCAAAACGTTCCCCTGTAACATGTACCTTTTTCAGTTTCGTAAGTTTACCATAGAGGTGACGATATTATAGCTATGATTATATGTCGTCTTATTTCGTTTTATTATTATTATCATGTTATTTCGTCCCTTTGCGAACCTCTACGTGGTTCCCCCTGGAAACCATCGTGAACAATTCTCGTTGAATTCGTCACGATGGGCTAACTGACCTGCTTCATCCTCATCTATCATCCTTCACTGGTGCCCCGCCGGTGTACACCGATAGCGCGGGTGGGGTTACCGTTCCATTTTCACCCATAAAAAAAAATACGTCGAATTCTCAGACTCTCGCTATATTATGCATGGATCTTAGACATCGGTAATACTGCGTTACGAGAAGGGCGGGGGGGGATTGTTAGTATTGGGGACGTTACTCCTCATTGCTAGAAATATACCCTGTGGGGGGAAGGGATTGTTAGTAATGTTGCCTACTAGTCCCATTGCTAGCAATATACCCTGTCAGGTCGACCTCCACGCGGTTCCCCCTGGAAACCATCGTGCTGAATTCCAAGTATATTCGCCACGATGGGCTAACTGACCTGCCTTTTCATCCTCACCTATCATCCTTCACTGGTGCCCTACCAGTGTATACCGTTAGCACAGGCGGGGTTACCATTCCATTATCATCCATACAAAAAAAAACATCCAAATACCTCCATCCATTCATAGAAAAACTATGATAATATACGATCGATTCATGTCTTCAATTATTAATTATGACTTTTACTTCAAAAATCTTACAAAATACAGTTTTTTTTTAACGTCAAATCTACTAAAATATCAACTTTCACTAGCATCGTGTTAATATATACAGAGCATATCAAATTCTGTATTCGTCCCATACTATTTCTAACTCAACCAATTTCATTGTTCAAGTAAAAAAGAAGACACTATTATCACCTTACAGAATAACGCTTAGAAATTTAAAGATAACAGGAAAAAAAAATAGTCAATTAATAATACAAAACACATACATACATACATACAATTTTACAAAAAATCCATTTTCATTCAATGGTGTTAAGCATATATTTCTTTTAATTTTTACCTTGGAATGGTAAAAGCTGATAGTCCACCTGGTGGAAGGTGGCCACGTTTCAAATGATCGTTTATAATGAGGACTTGAGGTCCCATTATTAGAAATACACCCTATCAGGACATACATACAGTTCCACCTGGAAACCATCGTGGTTTCTGGTTAAACCCATCACAAAACTTCAACCGATCTTTCGTCCTTACCTAAATACCCCCCCATTGAGGGGGGAGGAATTATTAGCAATGGAGACTAAGGGACCCTATTTCTTTTTACTTGGTGCAATAAAGTGTAAAATAAATAGAATTGGCCCTGGATTCCTAGCTATATACCCTGTCAGATCGACCTCCACGTGATCCCACCAGGATAGTATCGTGCTAAAACCTAGGTGTATTCATCACGATGGGTTTACTGACCTGCCTTTTCATCCGTTAGCGTAGGCGGTGTTATCATTCAATTATCATCCATTAAAAATATATATCCCTCACTTGGGGTTTTTTGATGGGTGAAAATGTTATGGTAACCCCGCCTGCGCTAACGGGATACGCTGGCGGAGCCACCAGTGAAGGGTGATAGATGAGAATGAAAACAGGCCAGTTAGCCCATCATGATGAATTCATCAGGAATTAAGCATGATAGTTTCCAGGGAGAACCGCGAGGAGGTCGACCTGGTTTGTGGGTATATTGCTAGCAATGGGATTCTCAGTCTCCATTACTAACAATCCCTTTCCCCCTCACTTGGGGTATTGTAACCCCGCCCACGCGGGGTGAAAGGGATTGTTAACAATGGAGTTTGACATCCCCATTGCTACTAATATGCCCTATTAAGTCGACCTCCACGTGGTTCCCCCTGAAAACCATAGTGAACTATTCTTGTTGAATTCGTCACGATGTGCTAACTGACCTGCTCCATCCTCACCTATCATCCTTCACTGGTGCCCCGCCGGTGTATATCGTTAGCGCGGGTGGGGTTACCATTCCATTATCACCCATAAAAAAAACCCCGCCCATGGTAACACTAACGATAGCGCAGGCAGAGTTATCACTCAATTTTCACTCATTAAAAAAAAACCCATCGTGATGAATACACCTGGGTTTCAGCACGATGGTTCCCAGGGAAGACCACGTGGAGGTCGACCTGACAGGGTATATAGCTAGGAATGGGCCCGTTATATTTATTTTACACATTATTGCATCAAGTAAAATAAATATAAAAAATATATATAAATGAGAAGTGATACAAAAGGCGAACTTACAGCTAAGCAATCTCTTCCAGACAACTCTATTACCACTGTACCCCATTACTAACCAACCCCCCCCCCCCTCCACGCATGCGCAGTCATACATAAGGTATCATCATTTAAAACAAACCCAGCATTCTGATTTCACTTCGAAACCGTATTATTGTATCTTAACAGCGATATACGTTCCTTCGTCATTCTAATCTTCTCCCTCAAAGGCTGTGACCCTTCCACTTTGGCCGAGGGGAACCTGTTCAGCACCTTCACATAGGACGGGTCCAGACCGTGTTTCTCTCTTATATGTTTCTTGACATCTATATATTTTCTGAAAGCTTCGGCACAGATGGGACAGTCGGCGGCTTGAGTCCTCTGCTTGTGCGCTTGCCACATGTGGTCCCACTTGTCCTTCAGCGAGCTGAACTTCTCGTTGCAGGCCAGACAGCGGTATCTAAGCAGTGTTTTGTCGTGTTGCCTTATATGTTTTCTCAGGCTCGAGTCGGTGTGGAACACTTTGTTGCAAAACTGACATATATTCGGCTTGGTATCTTTGTGGGTCTGTTAACGAAATAAATTTATTTACTTGTTAAACTTCAGTACAGTTTTACCAGAGGGAGACTTTGTACAAAAGTCGATTGCTTGGGTACCTCTGTCCTATTCAACCGTGAAGCAGTTGTGTTTGCATGGCTGTGTTTCGGTTTGAAGGGTGGGATATGGCGTGAATTTACAGGGTACAGAGGAATAACACCTGAGTCCTCAGGAATGGCAACGCATGGGGGGTATCATGGGCGAAACAGTATACTCTGTTATGTCCATGGCTCTGCTCATGTCTATAGGCGACGGTTACCACTTTCCATCAGGTGGGCCGTCAGCTTGTTTGCCATTCTAAGTTGTATAAAAATAAAATTATGTGAACATACATCGCTTATATGCTTGGACAGGGAGATCTTCATCTGAAACTTCTTGTCGCAAATGTCGCATTTGTAGACGGACAAGTTGTGGACCTTCTTGTGCTTGCTAAAGTTGCTCGAGTCACTGAAGGCCTTGTTGCACAGCTCGCACAGGTAAACCGGCATGGATGCGTGGTCCCTCATGTGCTGTTTATATCTGTAATGTCATATCAATAAATAAATAAATACATAAAGAATTAAATTTAAATTTATTGCGAGATAACACGACCTGTTTTGGGGGGAAAGGGATTGTTAATAATGGGATCTAACTGACCCATTGCCAATACACCTTATCAGGTTGACCTCCAAGCGGTTCCCCCTTAAAACTATCGTGGCTTTTTTTTTGATGGGTGAAAATGGTATGGTAACCCCGCCTGCACTAACGGGATACGCTGGCGGAGCACCAGTGAAGGGTGATAGATGAGGATGAAAACAGGCCAGTTAGCCCAGATGAATTCATCAGGAATTAACCATGATAAGTTTCCAGGGAGAACCGCAAGGAGGTCGACCTAGCTGGGTATATTGCTAGCAATGGGATTCTCAATCTCCATTACAAACAATCCCTTTCCCCCCACTATTCATACATTACAATGTAGAATGTTAAAATTAATCATCCCGCCTAAAATTAAATCAAACTTCACAGAAGAATCCAAATTGTTTAAATATTGTTGAACCCTGCCTATTCATGGAAAGGTAAAATAAATCATACAGTGCGTGCATACGTGCGTGCGTGCGTGCGTGCGGATGTGTGAGCGTGCGCACGTGTAAGGGTGTGTATTTACGCGTGTGAGTGTGGGTGCGTGTAAATTTCCATGTAAATGCGCGTGTGATGCACGTACGCTTGTGCGCATGTGTGATGCGTGGGTACGTGTGCGCGTGTGTGTATGTGTGCATGCGTGCGTGTCTCAGGTAGGCACACGCACGCATGCGTGCGTGCGTGCGTACAAGCGTGCGTTAGTGTGTGTGTGCGTACGCGCGCGCACATTTATATGTGTGGATGTCTATGGTATATAAAAAAATATACTCACAAATCACGCTTATCGAACGTGTCCGAACATATCTGGCACTTGAGCCCCTTGTTATCAATGATTCCCGCGTACGCGTCCAACAGCAGATGCTCGATGATGTGCCGCTTCGAGTCGTAGTACCGCTCGAAAGTGCGCTCGCAGTACGGGCACGTCTTTATCTTGATCCGGTTAGAAGCGTTGGGCACTTCCATTTGTAAAACTGAGGACAAAATAAATAATAATATATTTTATTTCACAAAAAAAAGAAAAAAAAACAATTTTTTTTTTTATACAACTTAGAATGGCAAACAAGCTGACGGCCCACCTGATGGAAAGTGGTAACCGTCGCCTATAGACATGAGCAGTACCATGCACATAACAGAGCATACTGTTTCGCCCATGATACCACCCCATACGTTGCCATTCCTGAGGACTCAGGTGTTATTCCTCTGTACCCAGTAAATTCACGCCATATCCCACCCTTCAAATCGAAACACAACAATGCAAACATAACTGCTTCACGGTTGAAACACGAATGGGACAGAGGTACCCAAGCAATCGACTTATGTACAAAGTCTCCCTTAAAGTCTTCAATTGTGGCATAATCATAATAAAAAGATATGTAAGAGGGAGACTTTGTACAAAAGTCGATTTCTTGGGTGCCTCTGTCCCATTCGTGTTTCTACCGTGAAGCAGTCGTGTTCGCATGGCTGTGTTTCGGTTTAAAGAGTGGGATATGGCGTGAATTTACTGGGTACGGAGGAATAACACCTGAGTCCTCAGGAATGGCAAAAGGGGGTATCATGTTCTATAGGCGACGGTTACCACTTTCCATCAGGTGGGCCGTCAGCTTGTTTGCCATTCTAAGTTGTATAAAAAAAAATTTTAAACCCAGATGACTGAACCTTTTATTATAAAAATTCTATGGAACAAAATATATACTTTTAGATAAAAAAAAATCAATTTATAACTGATGGAGTTATGGGATTACCCCATACCAACAAAAATAAAATGAAACCGAATCGAAAACCTTCCTTTCGAAAGTAGTTGAAAGTCCTCATTGTGATTTTAACCGTGATTTTAACCATAATAACTTCTTTACCTACGTCTTACCGCTTCTATGACTCAACCAATGACTATAAAATTTGGTATACTACTCTATAAGGGGATTTTTTTCAAAATATCCCTTTCAGACTCAAGATATTTTTTCTTTCAGATTAAATATATCTTCGTGTTTTGGAGCCAAGCCATCTTGCCGGCACGCACGAGACTACTGCACCACCTAACCGCTAAAATGATTTCTTATTGGCTAGTTTAGAATCTCACTATCATGTTATTTCAGCTTCGTGAGTAAAAATTAATTGCGCGCGGTTTTAGAATTTTTTAAAGTTACAACTCACGCCCGTATCGTTCAGATCTGAAAGGGATATCCCAGACATAGGAACAAAGTCGCAAACAAGGGCCGATAAGTAAACAAAAACGTACCTGTTAAAAGATTCTCCCGCGTCGCAGCATCCAACGAGCCGTTTAAAAATTGAGCCGGCTCTCCGGACGACGTCGAAGACTCCGCGTTGTCGCTCGCCTGCACCTTGTCCGGCGCACGTATCTTGAAGTGTGACTCCCAATGCACGAACAGGTTGTCCGCTGTAACTATGTCCTTACACTTCTTACACTGAAAATCACTGTTGGCCGTACAATACTTATCTTGATTTAAGGTTTTCACTTTGACCATCAACCGCCTAATGTGATAACTAAAATGTGTCATCAGCATAGTGTAATTATTCGCCCGATGATTACACACAGCACAAGTCAATTCACCAACATTATGCTCCTCGCACAAATGCATTACATATCTTTTCAACGATACAAAACTCTTGGTGCATTTGCTGCAGTTATACACTTTGGACCGTTTCGAATTCTTTGTACATTTACTTATATGTTCCTTGTACGTATCGTATGACGCTTGGTAAGAACAATGCTTGCATTTGTACAGATTTTTCTTAGTCCCAATTGCGTCTAATTCTTGCACTGTACCTTTGTCTTCTGCAATGTCACTGTTGTTTAAAATGATTATATCATCTGTATAAATCTCTTCATCTTCTGGTTCTTGTTTCACTTCTATTTTAATGCTTCCACCCATTTTGATCTCGTCGGACACTTTAAATACATTCGTGAGATAATCATCTGATTCTAAACATGTATTCTCCTCAGTGTCAACAGCTTCTTCCTTGATCTTCACTTTGGCAAAATTTTCAATTCTAGAATCATTCAATTCTAGAGTTTTATTTTTTAATTTATTATCATTATTTGTGTCTATATCATTTGTGTTTACGACATCATTGTATTCTGATACTTTTGTATATACTTTATGGACATATTTTTTAATACTTTTACAATCCACTTTGAGTACAGCTTCCAATTCTTTATTTAGTGCTTGTGTATTGTTATCGCTGCTTGAATATTTAATTTCTTCTGCAAATTAATTACAGTATTATTATTATCAATTTGAATCACAAAAATAAAATAATTTCTAATTGGAAAGAGTTAAAAGTTACATATAAAATAATGTATTTATAAATATTGTGAGCAAGGGTGGACTTATCTCTGACAGAGATCTCTTCCAGTCAACCCAGTACAGTGAGAAAGCATTTTGTTAGCGGGCAGCTGAAGTGCTACAACTATTAATACATAAACAAATATGCAGCTAAATAAAATATTAAAATATATAATAAAATATTACATAAACACATACACTATAAATACATACAATACCTACCTACTTATATAATATATGTTAAAATAAATGAATATACTACTTACATTAGAAATTTAGTTTAACGATTTTAAGATTTGACAGTTCAATTAGAAAAATACATACAATAATTAACTAATTGTAACAATTAATATGTATTTAGAATAATTATTTGGACATACGTAATTGATAAATTTTTACTTTAAAATGTTAGCCATTAAAACTAACTAACATGTGCTAAGACAAAATTTGCATGCCTTTAGATAAGGCGAAATGTGTAGCTCAGTTACCATTTAAGACCTTTGTACCACATTTCGAGAAAATAAATTATTATTATACAAAAAAATATTACTCAAGGGAAAGAATATACTTTGCCAAGAGTTTTTCTGTTCTACAAGGCGAAACGAAGAGTGGATTTTAATTAAAAACAAATTCTTGTTTTATGTACTTTTTGTTTTGAAATTTTTACAGAATCAAATTTTATCTTCACTATATTATGTAATTAACTATATAAATATATAATTAATTAGTATATGTGTAATTTGGCAAAAAGAAACTAAAATGGTGGCTAATAAAAAAATGTTTTTACTCAGTTACTGAATATTTTAATAATTTTAAAGCTTAAATATGTGACTAATATATATTTTTGAAGGGTGGGGGTGGGGGGGGGGTATGGCGTGAATTTACAGGGTACAGAGGAATAACACCTGAGTCCTCAGGAATGGCAACGCATGGGGGGTATCATGGGCGAAACAGTATACTCTGTTATGTGCATGGTACTGCTCATGTCTATAGGCGACGGTTACCACTTTCCATCAAGTGGGCTGTCAGCTTGTTTGCCATTCTAAGTTGCATAAAAAAAAACACTTTGCATACAAAATAAAGTTATATATATTTGCAATACCCTAACAGGGTTAATTAACGTAGAGGGCAATTAATTAATGTAATACATTACATCTTTTGACCGTGTGGTCCCGGCATAGAATAGGCCACCCCTTCCTTTCCCATGGGAGTAAGAAGCGACTAAGAGAACTTAATAGTAGAGGGATGGACAGCAGCATCCTTCTTAATTTTTTTTTATACCACTGAGTTGGCAAACAAGCATACGGCCCACCTGATGGTAAGCGGTTACCGTAGCCTATGAACGCCTGCAATAGCAGAGCTATTACGCGCGCGTTGCAGACCCTGAAGAAACCTCTTTACCCCCCTTTTGAAGAACCCCATGCTGTAGTCTCTTGGGAAAACCTCGGCAGGGAGCTCATTCCATAACCTGAGTGTTCGTGGGAGGAAACATCTCTTAAACCGCGCAGTACGCGACCATTTAGGCTGTAAGGTATAAGGGTGAACTCCCTGTCGATGGCGAGCCGTACGATAATTTAATATCTCTACAATTCTAACTGCGGTTGTCAATCCGCCTGCCAAACATGGCAACTACTGGCAAAACTCTCCTTATAGGGAAAGCTTATGTTCAGCAGTGAAATTAACAGATTGTAATCTCAGAATACATTAATAAACAATTAGACAATTATAGCAATCAGAAATTGCAACACATGACAGGCGTCACAGTGTATACTGCGATGTCACTGTGCTGTTCGTGTCTATAGACAACAAGTCAGCTAGTTCGTCATTAATATTTGCATAGACAAAAAATATCTTTGTAAATTACTTACTTTTTAAATTCTCGACCTCAGCACCCTGTTTGGTTTCACTTGTTTCTTTAAATATTTTTTGTATTCCTTTTTTTGGGACCAACATCTGTAAAGGAAACATATTTATTAATTAATCTATACTTATAATGAATCTGTAGAGGTCAATTCTGTACATGAAATATATTTACAAAATAACTATCAGGCGGTGATTAGTGACCCATACTGATGCCAAAAATGTAATCAGTAAAATTTTTGTCTGTCTCTCTGTATGTATGTTCGTTATAGAAACAAAAACTACTCGACGGATTTTAACGAAACTTGGTACAATTATTCTTCATACTCCCGGGCAGGTTATAGTATACTTTTCATCACGCTACGATCAATAGGAGCAGAGCAGTGAAGGGAAATGTTGGGAAAACTGAAAACTGAAATTACTCCATTTTTAAGCTTCCGTCGCGTGTGCAGCCTTAATGGCCACTTTTTAATATGTAAAAATGTCCACCCGTGCGACGCCGGGACGGGCCGCTAGCCAATCAATAAATCATTTATTTGCATAAACATAAATACAATTATACATTTGATGTCGTAGAATAGCGATAAGGCCGCCTTTTGTACCACTTCTCAGTAATATTTACTATACCCATGGGAAAGGAAGTGGCGGCCTATTCTATACCAGGTAACAATAAAATAATAATAAAAAATAATAATAAAAAATAATAATAAAAAATAATAATAAAAAATAATAATACATGCATTAGATATCAGTAATTCATGACATGATAGCATGCGTGTTGACAAGAATGTTATGGGTGGTGACATGGAAATCATGGGTGGTGACAAGGATATCATAGGTGGTAACATGGAAGTCATGGGTGGTAACATGGAAATCATAGGTGGTAACATGGAAGTCATGGGTGGTAACATGGAAATCATGGGTGGTAAAGTGGAAATCATGGGTGGTAAAGTGGAAATCATGGGTGGTAAAGTGGAAATCATGGGTGGTAAAGTGGAAATCATGGGTGGTAAAGTGGAAATCATGGGTGGTAACATGGAAATCATAGGTGGTAACGTGGTAGTCATGGGTGGTAACGTGGTAATCATGGGTGGTAACATGGAAATCATAAGTGGTAACGTGGTAGTCATGGGTAGTAACATGGAAATCATAGGTGGTAACGTGGTAGTCATGGGTGGTAACATGGAAATCATGGGTGGTAAAATGGAAATCATGGGTGGTAACATGGAAATCATGGGTGGTAAAGTGGAAATCATGGGTGGTAACATGGAAAACATAGGTGGTAACGTGATAGTCATGAGTGGTAACATAGAAATCATAGGTGGTAACGTGGTAGTCATGGGTGGTAACATGGAAATCATGGGTGGTAAAGTGGAAATCATGGGTGATAACATGGAAATCATAGGTGGTAACATGGTAGTCATGGGTGGTAACATGGAAATCATAGGTGGTAACGTGGTAGTCATGGGTGGTAACATGGAAATCATGGGTGATAAAGTGGAAATCATGGGTGGTAACGTGGTAATCATGGGTGGTAACATGGAAATCATAGGTGGTAACATGGAAATCATAGGTGGTAATGTGGTAATCATGGGTGGTAACATGGAAATCATGGGTGGTAAAGTGGAAATCATGGGTGGTAACGTGGTAATCATGGGTGGTGACATGGACCCTATAAATGTTGACATATATATCATGGATGATTATATAGAAGACATGAGTGGTGACATAGATGTCATGAAAGATGATTGTATTGATTTATTGATGATTGTAGTCATGGATGGTAACATGAATATTGTGGGTGGTGATATGAATAGAAGATGGACAGACCAAATAGGAATTGAATTTACTATTTTCAATGTTTAAAGTATTACTAGTAGGTGGTCTAGGTGATGTCCATTCTCTAATATTTAAGAAGTATATATACAGTTACGTAGCATAATAAGTTAAATTACTTACAATATCATAGTAGATTCTCCTGGAGTCAAACTTTTGTTTATGATGTGTCAGCTTGTGTTCTTTCAAATCGGCTGTGTCGAGGAAAACCTTGTTTTCTGCACACATGATGCATCTGTACACCATCATGAATTCCTCGCTGTGTTCTATTAAATGCAATGGCTCCATACACTTTTTATCCAATCGCAGGTTACATATAGAACAATGATAATCACTCTCTGTCATTTCGAGGTGCACATTCAACACCAACTTGGATGAGAAACGTCTGCAGCAATGCGGACAGGAAATGCACGAGTGTTTATTTGGGCATACATGCATAAGATATGTCACATATCTCTCATTGCAAAGTGTACAGGTTTTTGTAGCCGAAGATATAGGTAGATCAGACCATACCCCATGGAACAATGTCGAGTGGTTGTACAAATATGTTTCATTACAGAGGACCATCGAGCATATTGTACATTTATACAGTTCAATATTGGATATGTCCTCATCGTTTTTCTTATTCAGATATTCGCAGAGACCCTCGTGTATGGTCAACGTCGTACATGTGTAGTAGCGTTCTTGACAAAAGCGACAATTGTACTCTTTGTAGGTGTCTCCCAATGTAGGGTGTTCTTCAAAACTTTTGTTGCACCTCCAGCAGTTAGAGTCAATGGGGAAATTCTTGATCGTATGACTCTCTACATAGTAAGCCTTTATGTGACATTCCTGGAAGATACTCTCAAAACCTAACTTTATGTTCTTGTGCTTAATTATATGCTCTCGAAACGGGGTCAATCGCCAGTAAGCCACTTTGCACACATAGCATTTGTATGTTAGTGGCACTTCTCTGAATTTGGAGAGGCAATTCCATATTCTCCATTTGTTTAAAGCATCTTGCAGTAATGTCTCTTGTTTACACTCTTTATTAGGCGTATACAAAACACGACCCCATGAATTTACTAGTTCTACAGCTAGCTTCCGATCTGCTGGGTTCGATGTTTTATCCTTAACTGCCATAGCTTCTCTGAACAATCCTTCCTCATCTATTGATGGTGGTTGATTAATTAAATCTACAGTTACAGATGACGTAGAAGATTTTGGTGTTTGAGAAACATTATTAGTACGAGATTTGGTACTACTTTTGTTACTTTTACTTACAACAGCATATGTATTAAACTTTTTACTTTTTACAGATGTGTCATTACGTGACAATATCTCGATATCTTTTGGCGATAAAGTGAATACTTTGTACATAGAAATATCTGATAAATCTTGATTGTCATTATTATTATTTGTTTTCAACAAGCTATGTACAGATTTGTCTAGTAATTTGTCAAGTGAAACATTGTTTTCGAGCGTCTTCTTTAGCTTTTCATTTATTTTATTTTCAAGTATTATTTCTTTTTTTATTGTATCAATATCATCGTTGTTTTCATTTTGAACATTTGTATCATTAGTTTCATCACTGACAGCATCAATAATAATCTCATTTTCATCAAATTCTTCAACTTCAATATTAATACTGAAACTACGCGGCTCACTCCTCACAATAGTTTCTAGAGGATCATCAGAATGAAACTTCTGTGGTGATGATTCATCTAATTTTGGTAATAGTTTCGGTAATTTTTTTGCTATAATCTGAAAAAAAAAATTAAGAAGATGTCAGTATTACAAAAAAGGCCAGCGGGAGACTTTGTATGTTAACTTGCATGGCTCTGTTTCGGTGCGAAGAGCATGGCAGTATTTGGCAGTGAAATTATAGGGTATGGAGACATAGTTCTTAACAATAGCAATTACTCTTTACAATGCTCTACAATGGGTATTTAATTATATTTTTCTTGTTGACAAAACAATGGCCGACCTGCATTCATTCTCATCTATCAGTGTGCCCTGGTGCCCTTCCAGTGCACACTGATAGCACAGGTAGGCTTACCATCCCATTCTCAACCATTAAAAACACCATAGAAATAGTTTGGCTACTTGTTATAAGTATGAACAAAAGAAATTTTAAAAAAGGTCAAAATATGGTCAGTGGGAGACCTTGAACAAATGTTCTAATATTTATTCTACATATTTTTATTTATTTCAATAACTTTATTTTTTTTTTTTTACAATGATAATGGTACCGTTATCCCACCTACGCTATTGGCATACACTAGCGGGGCACCACTGAGGAATGATAGATGATGATGAAGCAGGTCATTGACGCATTGTAATGAATTCAATAATAAATCAATCACAATCTTCCAGGTGGAAGTATATAGTGGTGGACTTAATAGTGTATACTGCTAGCAATGGGATTGCTAATCTCCATTACTAACAATCCCTTCTCCCCCCCCTTATACTTTATTGCCCAATGAAAATATGATACAAAACGCAGACTGAATTGTAGTAGCATACTCTACTAGTCAATCTTTGAGATGGCGGAAAAGGGATTGTTAGTAACGAGATTTAAATATTGCCTCATTGCTTGCGATACACTCTATCAGGTAGATTTCCACGCAGTTCCCCCTGGAAATCATAGTGGTTAATTCTTGTTCAATTGATCACAATGGGCCAACTGATCTCAGGAAAGCGGAAAACTTTTTGTTCGAAGGATTGAAATTAAAGAGTATGGGGGCAGAGTCCCCAGGAATGGTAACACATGAGGGGTACCATGGATGTTACAGCATATTCTGTAATGTCTGTGGTGCTGTTTATATTTATAGGTGGCAGTTACCATTTTCCATTAGATGGGCTGCTAGCTTCTCATTGTATCATGAAAAGACCTATTCATCTTGAGGGTATCTTAAAAACTCGGTGTAACAGTAAAAATAGAGACTACATGAAACTGTTAATTTTTTCTATGTTAGTTCGACTTTGACAACAAAACTCATATCTTTTACAAAAAAATATTATTATAAATTATAATGTAATAATAATATGTGAAAATAATCATTAATATCGATTCACCATTGGCGATATTATAGATATTACCTAGACAATACATATACAGAAAATAATTTTAATTAGGAGTCATCTATTTTTAAAGTTGGTTAAAAATAAAAGCACAATTTGAAATAGATGTAGATAATGAAATAGTGGGTACTCTTAGAATTTACTATATTAATTAAAAAAAATCAGCAAATTCAAATTTCTAACCATACAAATATCTACAAGAGTTCAAGGTAAATAAAAGTAGGTAGGTAGTTATAAACTATGTACTTAACCTAATTTTAAATAAGTGTTATTTCATGAAAACACTATCGACATATAAATAATATATCTTTCAATTATTTTCCGGCGTAATCTTTCAATAAATACCCAAACAATAGATAAATACCATGTAGGTAGTCTCTTAAAAATAAACTTTGACACGTGCATTTTAAAACAAAACATGCACTATAAAAGAATATTAACTTTATTTATAAGTAGATTGAAGTTTAACTTACTAATTTATATCAAAGATATAATATACACCAAGAAAAGTGATTCTTAAAATTACATGAAGGTACTTGTAGTATTGTAACAAAATGTCAAGATGGTGGTCAAACCTACCTCCATTTGTAGTATATTTTCATCTTCGACCTCCGTGCAGTCTCGCGGCACCAACTTCGACTTCCTAGATCTCCGAATACCTTTCTCCGACATGTCCTATTTAATTTAATAGCATCACATAAGCACTCAAAACTTTGAATAAGTTTCATTCATGATTCAAGTACAAACTGGAAGCGATTATTTATAACTATGTAGGTAAGCAACGAGGGAGAAATTTAAGACATAATGGAAATGATTACAAAATAAATACTACTGCACCGAAAAAGGAAACTATGTCTCCTCTCTTTCTAACACATCAACACTGTCGAAATATTGATACTTCTTGATGTATTTCTAGTAAAGCAAAATCGACTTTTTCATTTAACCGGATTATAACGTTCAATGACGTACGAACTTGACACTTGTAGGTAGTTCACGCGATCCTTTTAATGAATTAGTTCCAACTATTGCCACTTGATCGCTAATAGCGCTGTTTGGTTTTGGATAGAGATTAAGATATAAAAAAAAAATCTATTAAATTGCAATAAGCTTGAGTTCTTAGAGGGAGACTTTGTATAAAAATCATCTTGAGTAACTCTCTACCCCTCGTGTTTGCCTTCCCAACGAAAACTCAAGTGTGCTGTTGAGCTTACATATCTATGTTTCAATTTGAAGCAATAGAATATGGTATTAGGTGGCAAGCATATGAGTCTAATACCATGTTTTATAATAATCATAATGTCGATCATGTCTATAGGTAACGGTTAGCATTTTCCATAAAATGAGCAATTATCTTGATTGCCATTCTAAGTTACATAAATTAATCTACTAAACGAACAATAATCGCTGTCAGTTTTTATTGACGTCTTCGTAAGCTTTCTTATTTCTGAATTGTTTCATTCAATCATTCATTCATTTTTATATTTCATTCACGTCATTTTCATCTGAAACAAGTTTTCCTTTTTCTTGATACCTAACCTAAAAATGGTTTATGTATAACATTGTTTTTATGTGTAATTAAATATAAAAAATGAGTATTTTTATCAAATATTACAAGTCAGGCGGCTTGAATGTCGCCTTCAGTAATAAGATATGGCGTTACAACTCCACCAGTGCGGATATGGCGATAAATAAAGGTGAAGAAGAGGAAGAATTTCGAGTTCTTGATATTTTGAAGAAAAGGCAGAGGCAGCAGAGAAGAGTAAATAGGAGGGCTGATGTACAACCTGATAGGGCCGACAGGATGCCTACAGATCAAGTATGTACGATTTTATACTAATATTAATTTCTGTATGGACTGCTCGTGTCTATAGGCGACGGTGACCACTTTCCGTCAGGTGGGCCGTCAGCTTGTTTGTCTTACAATTTTGCATAAAAAATTAATTATATTAATTACCATTCCAATTATAAATAGCTAATTAAAAATGTATTTTGTTTATAATTATTACATTTATTGAGCACTTAGTGCATGATATTAAGTGATTTATAAAATTATTTAAAATTCCTGACTTCATCATCACCTTTCTATCACTTATGGGCCCAGTTATATTAAATTACCTGACTATGTAACTGCTGCAAGCAGTCTAAATTCATTTAGAAAGAAACTGAAAGACTGGTTTGGTTGAGAAAGGCTTCTATAATTTTAATTTTTTAATTCTATAATCTTAAAAAGAATTCTTAAAATATAAATAATCTGCAATGCGGAATTTTTTAATGTAATAACAATTTTCCCAAGAGCCCACAGCATGGGGTTCTTCAAAAGGCGTTTAGAGATATCTTCAGGGTTAGCAATGCATGTGTAATACCACTGGTATTGCGGACGTTCATAGACTACGTACATAACATAGTTACGTATTTAGGGCCTATTGAAAATCAGTGTCGTAGCTTCAGATTTGAAACTGTGACATATGCTGAGTTAGGTCCTTTGCACAAACACTGCTACATTCATTTTGTTTTTTATATGTTTTTCTTTTTATTCTGAATTAAAAGTAAAATAGTAATGTTATTATATAATTGTGTAATCTTCATTTGTAATGTTGTTTTGTTATATGTAACATGTATAATTTATACTATTTTTCTTAAAGAGCGATTGTATTTAACTAATGATATGATTTAAATTAAAGGTTTGTTTAGTGTATGTGTAAATAAATAAATAAAATAAAACATAACTGACCACTTACACCAGGTGGGCCGTATGCTTGTATGCCACCTCAGTGGTATAAAAAAAAAAAAAAGTTTGCAATGACCTGAATATTATTGTTATAAATTAATATTACTTTTAAACCTTATTATTATTATGTAGAAAGTGATATGTTCTCGAAATTAGAATAAAATATAACAAGCTTGCAATGGGAATGACATAATTAATTGAAACTGGACTTACAATGTTTTAAATTATAAATAAATGATCTATATCTGTATCATTCCTCATAGGTGATACCAATAGTGTAGACGAGGTTACAAAATCATTTTCATACATATATCTGTCATGCCTGTCTCCTATTGGGGTAGGCAGAAACAATGGAATAACAAATGCTTCGATTCAAACAAACCCCTTTCACTTCTACATTAATCAATCTTTTCATACACACTCACCGGGTACTTAGGAATTTGGCCCTTCTTCAGCACGTCGCCTATTTAGTTGACATACGTCCATCTAAGGCAGCTCCTACTGACATCTTTATTCCTTTGTGCTTGATAAATCTCTTTCCTAATCCTTCTTTCATCCATTCTCTCCAAATGGCATTTTCATCTATAGAAAAATGCTATATTTATTTAAGCAAGCTGTTATCATTGTAATTTGCTTGTTTGGTTCATCATATCAGCCTTTACCTGTTCACTGCTGATCATAAGCCTCCCACTTGAGGGAATTTGTAGTAGTTGCCACGTTTAGCAGGCGGATTGGCAACTGTAGTCAGGCTTTAGAGATATTTAAGAGGGATGCTGCTGCCCATCCCTTGCCCTACTTTAGTTGGCTCTTACGACACCCACGGGAAAGGAAGGGGTGGCCTATTCTATGCTGGGACCATGCAGCCAAACCCCTTGTTTGGTTAGCATATTTATATCTTTATGTATCTAACGATTTTATAACTGTGCTTTATGTGTATACATATATATTGGTGGGTATATATTTATATGTGTATTTAAGTAGATATATATTTAATAGAAAGTAGGGATATATATTGGGTACCTCTGTCCCATTCGTGTTTCAACCATGAAGCAGTTGTGTTTGCATGGCTGTGTTTCGGTTTGAAGGGTGGGATATGGCGTGAATTTACTGGGTACAGAGGAATAACACCTGAGTCCTCAGGAATGGCAATGCTTGGGGGGTATCATGAGCGAAACAGTATACTCTGTTATGTCCATGATACTGCTCATGTCTATAGGCGACGGTTACCACTTTCCATCTGGTGGGCCGTCAGCTTGTTTGCCATTCTAAGTCGTATATAAAAAAAATTAAAATTTCAGAATTTTCATCGTACCTCAGATCAAACTGTTTATGACTACGTCTCTCCATCCAAAGGTTGCCTGGAAGTATCACTAAAAGTGATCTCTTCACTTCACTTTTGGTGATAAGGTCGCCCATTGTTTTCTCATTGTGATCATTTCTTGTAATCGTTTGTATATATAATAAGTTTACTACTGAAATCTTTTGAAGGAAACAATAAAGATTATCTATCTATTTATATTAATAATAAGTCTAATAGAAGCCTATTGAAATTTCAGAATTGGGGCAATGTCTGGCCTGGCCCGAAGACGTTCCATCCATCGTCTGTCCCTCTGCCACTCCGTCAGGGCTACGTCCCGAAAGGCCAAGCACCACCCGGTAAGAAAGCAAATGCGGAACTTATGAAAATACCCAACTTCCTCCACCTCACACCACCTGTGATAAAAGCTCAATGTGAGGCCATAAAACAGTTCTGCACTGAATGGCCGAAGCTGCTAAACTCGGAGGAAGCAATTGAGAATCACTATCCGGTGGAAATTATAACCTCGGACTACTGTCACGCTAGCCCATCAATAAGGAACCCGTTGGCTCGCATCGTGACCTTAAGAGTTAAACTCTCAACGTTAAAACTGGATCAACATGCTCGTGATAAGTTCATAAGGTTAGTCGGTGAACGGTACGATCCGGAAACTGACTTGGTTACCATAACAGCCGACCGCTGCCCAATCAGGAAACAGAACCAGGACTACGTAAATTATTTGCTCACAGCGTGCTATCACGAATCATGGAACTTTGAGGAGTGGGAACGAGAGAAGATGGAGGAAGACATGGAGTATTACAATTGGGATAAGAACCCCTCGAAACGGAGCCTCGTGAACTGGTATTTGAAAACCCAAAACCAAAGCAAGGAGTTAAGTGACGAGGAATACAGTAATTATGATGTCTCCCAAATACCAAATGGAGAAGAATATAAAGTTGCAGTGTCGAGTTACATGAATGATGGGGAAAGTGAGGGAACTGTGGAGAAATACGGAGAGGCGGTTAGGAAATTGCTAGGGTTGCCACAGAAGAAAGTCGTGTCATAGGTTTTTGTAAATTAATATAGTTATAGCTTATAATCTATGTTTTTTATTTATTTTCAAATTTGTTGGCTCCCGTGGTGGTACCTTACACAGCCTTAAGTCAGGATCTTCATTTATTTATACATTTAACTTTTTATTGCACCTTACCAGAGGGAGACTTTGTACAAAAGTCGATTGCTTAGGTACCTCTATCCCATTCGTGTTTCAACCGTGAAGCAGTTGTGTTAGCATGGCTGTGTTTTGAATTGAAGGTTTGGATATGGCGTGAATTTACCGGGTACAGAGGAATAACACCCGAGTCCTCAGGAATGGCAACGCATGGGGGGTATCATGGGCGAAACAGTATACTCTGTTATGTCCAAGGTACTGCTCATGTCTATAGGCGTCGGTTACCACTTTCCATCAGGTGGACCGTCAGCTTGTTTGCCATTTTCACTTGTATAAAAAAAAAACATAAATACAGTTAAAGCTCTTTATTTGCGGAGTACATGTTCCGTAAATATGCCGCGAATACAGAATCCGTGAATATGGCCAGCCTAAGCACTTATACAGCGGCGTTAGCATTTGACAATATACTTTAAGCATAGTTGTGATAAAGTCTGTTTTAGTTTTTTATTAGTCTATTTGCCGATGCGTTTATAAAGGATACATAATCGTTTTTAATAATATGTGTTAAGAACCTCCTTGGTTCAATAGCAGGCGATATGCATTCTAGCAGCGCTTGTCAATGTAAAAAAAAAAATAATAGAATAAAAATCCCTGTAGATCTACGCAGAGCATCAAGTAAGGATATTTTTAAAAGAAGGCTTTTCAATTATTTGTTGAGTCAACAAAACCAGCTCTAGTTACAGGTCACTCAATAGTTATTATATCTCATAATGCTTATCGTTGTTTTAATTTATTATTTATTGTATGTATATATTTCATATGTATTAGTTTATCCATATATATTAAAAGTAATGTTTATGTATTATGTGGGGTTTTTTTTTAATAATATGATAATGAAATGGTAACCCCGCCTGAGCTATCGGTATACACCGACGGGCACCAGTGAAGGATGATAGGTGAGGATAAAGCAGGTCAGTTAGCCCATCGTGACGAATTCAACAAGAATTGTTCACGATGGTTTTCAGGGGGAAACATGTTGAGGTCGACCTAATAGGGCATATTGCTAGCAATGGAGCTGCTATTCTAGCCATTGCTAACAATCCCTTTCCCCCGACAGTTTGCGCTTTAGCTCATCGGCTGCAGGATAACGCTGAGCGGGGACCATTTCGATTATATCTATATTGTTATACGATTTAGCTGTTTACGTATACCTTACACTTGATACTTATCGAATTTCCCAGTCCATTCCGTTCTACTAATAAAAAAACATTAAAAAAAACTGCTCCAATCTACTAGTAGAACAAAACGGATTAAAAAAATAAATTCTTATAGTAAGAAAAGGCGGGAAATTATATTAAATTGCATCCGGATTGATCAATAGTTTAGTTGCACTATCTTTTTTTTTTACAATGCAAGAGCCCCTTCGAATTTCAAAAATTTACGTGTACATATGTAATTTTTTTTGGATCTGTTTACTCTTATAGGAATAGAGAAGGCAAAAGGACTAAACGTATACAGCCGTTTCGATCTGTTAATTTGTAGTTTTACGTGTAAGTATATAATTTCAATAAATAAATACGTTTGGCATTTGATTCTATTGCTAGATTCGCGTACCACTTGTCTAGAGCTGTATTTCTAATAGCATGAGCTAGCTTATCAGTTTTCGCAATTTACAATAAACCAATGTTTTCACAGATTTCAATAAAACTAATGCATTTCGTGCAATAAAAGTTATAAAAAAAATTTAAACAACTCTTTCTCGTACAGTGTATGTAACTATGTGGGAACTAGGATATATTTTTTTGTCATTATGTCATATTGCTTTAGTACATAATCCAATATGCGATGCTGTTAAAATTAGCGGAGGTAAAAATATTTTTATACTTTTATATTTATACTAGCTAAGAGGGTAGACGTCAGGCAGGTGGACGGTTTTTTTTTATGGGTGAAAATGGTATGGTAGCCCCGCCTGCGCTAACGGTATACGCTGGCGGAGCACCAGTGAAGGGTGATAGATGAGAATGAAAACAGGCCAGTTAGCCCATCATGATGACTTCATCAGGAATTAACCATGATAGTTTCCAGGGAGAACCGTGAGGAGGTCGACCTGGTTGGGTCTCTCTATTGTTACGCCACTGCGTCCAGTTACAGTTTTTATTATTTAACATATATTCTTTTTTATGTAAGTTTGTAAATTAAACATTAATAAAGGAAAATATTAATTTCGTATTAAATATATATTTAAATTTATTCTTCAGTGTTGTCGAAGGAGACATTTGTGTTTTGGCCAAACGGAACTGTACCATTTTATATCAACCCGAAGCATTTCGGTAAGATTTATATATATATATATTTTATATATTTTTGTTTGTCACTATACAAACAGAGAATCTTTACTTAATCCTTGCTGTCTTTGTTAAAAATTATATACTTATGTGAAAGTGTGTTTACTCATTAAGTTTGTCTTTTTTTATACAACTTAGAATGGCAAACAAGCTGACGGCCCACCTGATGGAAAGTGGTAACCGTCGCCTATACACATGAGCAGTACCGTGGACATAACAGAGTATCCTGTTTCGCCCATGATACCCCCCATGCGTCACCATTTCTGAGGATTCAGGTGTTATTCTTCTGTACCCTGTAAATTCACGCCATATCCCACCCTTCAAACCGAAGCACAGCCATGCAAACAACTGCTTTACGGTCGAAACACGAATGGGATAGAGGTACCCGAGCAAACGACTTTTGTACAAAGTCTCCCTCTGGTATGTAGTAGGTAGTTTGTTTTTAATATTATTTGTCTATAGTCTTACTGAATGTAAAACATAACCATAATAAATCCATTTATTGCAATATAATGTTATGGTCGAACTTCGACCACACGGCGACCACTAATTGAGATAATAATGTGAATAACTTAATAATTGAAATGTTAATTTTTAAAGATATTATTAATTGGTAAAACAATTATAATATAATGTCAGTTTAATGTATAATTTGTTTTATAATAATATGACAATACATTTAGTATTTTTTTTTATTATTATTATTTTAAGGGCTTTTACCTTTTACAGGTATATCAGCCCTATCGTACCCTGAACTGATTTCTCAAACAAAACTTTATCTACTTTCCCTAGATGCGGAAAGAGAAGAATTAATGGGCATCAATCATTTACAGAGATGTTCAAAAATTTCTGGTTTAAGTTCAGCTAACATAGATTGAATTTATTATTATGTACTATTAACAATTTCGTTTTTAACCTGTACAGTGATTAATGAAATATGCCTTTTTCGTATCTACAGATAAGGCTTGCATGAAACACCTAGATACCGGCTTGGTCCTTTTGACTCGGTTCAAAGACATGCTATAAGAATTGTCAATGATCACAGGTGGCATCGTGTAATCCCGGCATAGAATAGGCCACCCCTTCCTTTCCCGTGTGTGTCGTAAGAGACGACTAAAGGAGGGCGATGGGTGGGCAGCAGCGTCCCTCTGAAAACAAGTCCGAAGTCTAATTGAGGTTGCCAATCCGCCTGCCAAGCGTAGTAACTTCTGACAAAATCCCCAAAGAGGAAGGCTTATGTTCAGCAGTGGACAGTTAAATGCTAATGCGATGACAGGCGGTATCAAGCCCTTAACTCTAAAGAAGAGACTCTGGTTCCCTTCGTGTGTTCTACCGTCTGTATGACGGACCGCGTTCTGAGGGATTGTTTGAAATAGTGCCCACAGCCAACTTTTATCATCTCACCACTCGCCATCGACAGAGAGTTCAACCGTAAAGCAGTTGTGTTTGCATGGCTGTGTTTCGGTTTGAAGGGTGGGATATGGCGTGAATTTACTAACTATGTAATAACACAAATAACGAATGTAATAACACAAATCAACTTGTAAATGCCCTTTACTAAAAATGACGAATTCTTTAAAATATTTAGGAGTAATGCTAGATTCTAATCTGAATTTTAAATGTCATATAGAACTCTTAGTAACACGACTTAGAAAACTTATTTATGTGTTTAAAAAATTAAGATATATTGCAGATGTACTGATCATTAAGCGTGTATATGTGTCTTTAGTTGAATCAATATTATCATATTGTGTATCTAGCTGGGGCGGAGCTTCAAAATCTTCATTAATTAAGCTTGAAATTGCCCAAAGGGCAATTCTTAAGGTCAGTACCTTTCGCCCGATTTACTTCTCAACGCATCTTCTATATCGATCATGTGCAGTCTTAACTGTTCGACAAATTTTTATAAATAGTATTATAAAAAAGCAACACACACACACACACACACCATTCAATAATAATAATGTCAAAAAAAGACAGGGAGCACATTATTTCACAGTTTTCATTATTGCCAATTGTTATAATTAGATAAACTAACTTTATATAAAATCAACATTCTATATGTAGCACTAAAAATTTTGCTGAACTAATATTATACTATGTAATGAGGGTTGAGTGCTGTTGTCTGAGATACAGGTTCTACAACCTAGTTCAGACACAGATGTTTGAACTGATCCAAATGTACAAATGAATTCGTATCTACTTTTACTGTAATTTCCAGTGCTGAGTTTGTTAAAATCATGGTTATGCAATAAAGTTATTATTATTATTATTTACTGGGTACAGAGAAATAACACCTGAGTCCTCAGGAATGGCAACGCGTGGGAGGTATCATGGGCGAAACAGTATACTCTGTTATGTCCATGGTACTGCTCATGTCTATAGGAGACTGTTACCACTTTCCATCAGGTGGGCCGTCAGCTTGTTTGCCATTCTAAGTAGTATAAAAAAAATTTAAAAAAAAGTTCATCTTCACATGCTTAGAACTTATATGGTCGCGTACAGTGCAGTTTCGCAGGAATTTTCTCTCACGAACCGCAGGCTGCGGAATGAGCTCCCAGCTGAGGTTTTCCCTAGAGGCTACAGTATGGGATTCTTCAAAAAGGACGTATTAAGGTTTCTTCAAGGTTGACAACGCACACATGACATCCCTAGTATAGCAGGCGGCCATAGACACAGATCCTGTTTACCATCAGACAGGCTGTATGCTTATTTCCCACCTTCGTGGTATAAGAAATGTTACCATTGCCTATCAGATGTGCCGTCAGTGTGTGTTCAAAACTTATGTGCTTGGTCACCTCTGTTCCATTCGTGTATCTGCCATAATACAGGTGTTTGCATGGCTGTGTTTCGATTTGAAGGGTGGGATATGGCAGTGAATTTACAGGGTACAGAGAATTTTGTTTTTTTTTCTATCACGTAATTAACTATATCTCTTTTTAATAATACAGTCGTTAGCAATCCACTGTTGACCATAAGCCTCCCCCTTGGGGAGTTTTGTCAGTAGTTCCTACGCTTCACCAGAGGGAGACTTTGTACAGTACAGTGTAGTAGGTTTGCTTGAGTACCTCTGTCCCATTCGTGTTTCAACCGTAAAGCAGTTGTGTTTGCATGGCTGTGTTTCGATTTGAAGGGTGGGATATGGCGTGAATGTACAGGGTTCAAAGGAATATCACCTGAGTCCTCAGGAATGGCAACACATGGGGGGTATTATGAGCGAAACTGTATACTCTGTTATGTCCATGGTACTGCTCATGTCAATAGGCAACGGTTGCCACTTTGCATCAGTTGGGTCGTCAGCTTGCTTACCAATCCAAGCTTTCTTTCAGATCATGAACAGTCGTTGTCAATAATGACAACGCTGTCTCTCTTCGCGTACAAGACATGTCTTAAATTCTTGCCGGCCTTGGTCGCGCCGGAGGGCAAACAGCACATCCTGTACTTCGAGAACCCGACCGGCATAAGGAAGTGTATATTGGATACCATTGGACATTCGATGGACGAGCCTCATGTAATTTATTTCGACATTATCTTTGGTTGGCACCAAATAAAATCTGTTTGTAAACGACGGTATCCTGCTTGCGCCAACGGCACACGCTGACGGGGCACCAGTGAGGGATGATAGGTGAGAATGAAAAAGCAGGTCAGTTTGCCCATCGTGATGAATATAGCTGGAATTCAACACGATGATTTCCAGGGCCACGTGGAGTGCGATCTGACTGTGTATTTTGCCAGCAATGGGGCGGCTTTTTTTATTCAATGGATGATAATGGAATAGTAACCCCGCCTACGCTATTGGTATATACTGGCGGGGCACCAATAAGGGATGATAAATGAGGATGTAGCAGATCAGTTAACCCATCATGACAAAGATACCAATGAATCAATTATGATGGTTTCCAAGGGGAACCACGAGGAGGTCCACGTGATAAGGTATATTGCTAGTAATAGGATTGATAATTCGTATACCTAACAATCCCTTTCCCCCCGCAATGGGGCGGTTAGGCCCTATTACTAACAAATCCAACAAGCGTGGCAACTACTGCCAAAACTCTGCAATAGGAGGGGGCCTATCTTCAGCAGTGGACGGCTTAATCAGTTAACGGCTGATTAGGGGGGCAAGAGATTGTTAGTAATGGCGACTAAGAATCCCATTGCTAGCAATATACGCAACCAGGTCGATCTCCTCGCGGTTCTCCCTGGAAACTAGCATAGTTAATTCCTGATGAATTCATCATGATGGGCTAACTGGCCTGTTTTCATTCTCATCTATCACACTTTACTGGTGCTCCGCCAGCGTATCCCGTTAGGCAGGTTACCAAACCATTTTCAACCATCGAAAAAAAAAGTTAACGGCTGATATGATGAAATAATATTACATTATAAATTATTTTCATCCATTAATAGAAAATAACCCTTGGGTACGACTGTCTCCGTTCGCCCAAGATCGACATGATTATCATGAAGGCTCTCGGTTTCCCTTTTGAGCACAACCGCCCCAACAGAGACGAGTATATTGACGTGCAGATGGAGAATGTAGAACCAAGTAAGTGAATGATTTTGTTGGAAGTACTCAGCATGTGGCAACTACTGGCAAAACTCCCTTATGGGGGAGGCTATGTTTAGCAATGGACAGATAACAGCTGATACAACAATTCAGCACATCCCTATTTTCATAACTGGCAACTCTGGAGTCGATTCTATGGCGCCATTTTTCTATCTCCTAACCTAATATTTTAATTTGATATTTTCGTGAAATTACTGTTTATGGTCCACATCGTAAACTAAATTTATAATTTTCGACTTAAATCTTTTAGAAATTTGTTTCAGATTGTTCTTTTAGAATAAATATTTCGCTGTGATATGAAATTTAATTTTTAATTCTAAAGAAACGGCGCCTCAGTGTCGATCCCAATGTATCTGTAGTAAGTTATGGTAACACTGTATTTTTTTTTTTATTATTGTTAGGGAGGCAAACGAGCAGACGGTTCACGGATGTGAAAATATTTTATTTCTTAACGCAAATAATATTGTTAATCTATGCCTCTTTCGATACATAGATAAATAGATAGATACTCTTTATTCCCTTCATAAGATTATAAAAATAAATACAAGCAATTACAAGAAAATATTTCACTAAGAATACAATGGGCGACCTTATCGCTAAGAGCGATCTCTTGCAGACAACCTTTGGATGGAGAGGAGTAATTATAAACAGTTTAACTGGAGGCACGAAACTATTCGTTTTTTAAAATACATATAGAGATATGTATGCGTAAAATAATGTGAATATACAAATATACATTTTTAATATGTATATATGTATAGTAACAAAAATTTTAAAAAAATGTGAGTATACTAATCAGACAAAAATTACAAATATAACAATTTTATCAGATAACCTAACCCCAAAATGGTGGGGGGAAAGGGATTGTTAGTAATGGAGACTGAGAATCCTATTGCTAGCAATATATCCAACCAGGTCGACCTCCTCGCGGTTCCCCCTGGAAACTATCATGGTTAATTTCTGATGAATTCATCATGATAGGCTAACTGGCCTGTTTTCATTCTCATCTATCACCCTTCACTGGTGCTCCGCCAGCGTATCCCGTTAGCGCAGGCGGAATTACCATACCATTTTCACCCATCAAAAAAAAAACCTAACCTAACCCCAAAACGGTACCCCTAAACGCCATACGCCCTAAATGCCATTCACCCGTCAGAATCAATTTATTATTAATTATTAAGTATATTATATAATTAATCATTCAATTTATATGTGCCGTGTAGCTCCCGGCATAGAATGGGCCACCCCTTCCTTTCCCATGGGTGTCGTAAGAGGCGACTAAGGAAACTTAATAATGAAAAAAGACAGACAGCAGCGTCCCTCCTAAACATTACTAAAACCTAACTGCGATTACCAACCCGCCTGCCAAGCTTTTTTTTTATACCACTTAGATTGGCAAACAAGCTGACGGCCCACCTGATGGAAAGTGGTAACCGTTGCCTATAGACATGAGCAGTACCGTGAACATAACAGAGTATACTGTTCCGCCCATGATACCCCCCATGCGTTGCCATTCCTGAGTATTCAGGTGATATTCCTTTGTACCCTGTAAATTCACGCCATATCCCACCCTTCAAACCGAAACACAGTCATGCAAACACAACTGCTTTACGGTTGAAACACGAATAGGACAGAGGTACTCAAGCAAACCTACTTTTGTACAAAGTCTCCCTCTGGTGAAGCGTAGGAACTACTGACAAAACTCCCCAAGGGAGAGGCTTATGGTCAACAGTGGATTGCTAACGACTGTATTATTAAAAAGAGATATAGTTAGTTACGTGATATAAAATAAACAAAATTCGGAAAAGGTTTACGCAAGTGAAGTAGCGGGAAACAGATAGTAAAAATAAATAGTAGTTAATTATTTAGAACGCATAGATAAAACTTATCAAAATTGTTAAATCAAAAGATAATGTTATCTAAATGTAGGCACCTATTATTGTCAGATACTTAGCTCGCCAGATGATGAAACTTGGTACAAATTAGAAATAATTAAATAATGAAAATCATAAAGAATTCCTGCTTACCCAGTAAAGAAGGGGCGTGAAGACATAGATTAATGAAAAACATACAGATTTATTGTAAAATAAAAACAAAATATAAACATGATTATAAGTAATAAACTTAAATATATTGTTTTATATTCCTTCTCAAACTATGTACGATATCGTATGTTTTTAATAATATTTGTTTATAAACACAAGTTTGAAGTTTGACCTCAAATATTTACGATGAAACAATGCATTGAGCATAGATTAAGAACTGTTTGCTACAGTACAAAGTTGCCGTAATCTTTTTCTTTAAAACAATAGAACTCTGTGTAAATGGCATAAGGACAAAATCGGCACAGCGCTCGGTTCGTTGGGCGCTTCGCCAGCAGACCCGGCTATATCCATATGGGTATACTTGACATTTTTATTCTCCAGACCCCCAACCTTAATGAGGAAGCCGGCAGCTAACTGATGATGACGCGACTTCGTTTCCATATCAACTTGAAGTAAATCATCGCCTTTGCACTTCCCAACGTTAACGGCTAGGTCATCTTGTCTGATCACCGACACTTCTATACCTTCTCCCACTCTTGATCCAGAAAATTGTAGTCTGCTTGCATGGTTGGCAGCTCTGGCACTATGGTTGTCCATAATTGCGGTGTATTTACCGTAACAAGCTCTGGCGTGACCAGTTAACGTTGCTATCGTGTAGATATGAGGATTCAGCTCATTACCGGCCAATTCAGCCATTTTGAACACAGAATCGGCCATTGCGAAACGTCCCTCTGCATCTGTATTAGTGACTCTTACAGTTTTGTTGCTTCTAGACACCAGCAATTCATCGGCTACGTAGGAATCTTCACCTACTGAGTTTCTACAGAGACATAACACTCCAATTACCTTCAAATGAGGTGGTTTGAGTATGGAACAAGCCTTCAAGAAACCAGCTACAGCGGCGGCACCACATTTGTCCCGTGACATTCCAGGCATTTTGCCAGAAATTTTGATATCAGCACCACCAGTGTCGTATGTAACTCCTTTACCAACAAGCATGATAGTCTCAGTTATTCTGCTAGGATCTGACGGTTTGTATTCTATTTCAACGATCCTCGCTTTGTGTCTGTCTATGCGATTAGCAGCTCTGGACACAGCAGCCAAGAGTGGATAATCCTGTGCAATAATTTTTTCATCTTCAATCACTGTAATCTTGATATTGATGTCACCAGCGAATGAGCTCTTAACGTATTCCACGACATTACCCGGAGTCATCCTTTCCGGATCGGCGCCTCCGATGTCTCTAGTGAAGACTCTAGCTCTTTCCAAAGCTATAGCATTCCTAACTATCCTGTCAAAGCCCTCGTTCAGTTTGTCTTCTGCGTAAAACCCAAGCTTGCTATAGTTCTTCACAGTTCCTCGTTCTCTTATTTGCAGCGGTATATACAGAGCTTCTAATGCACCTAGAATGCACACTAGCTGCGCATCGGGAAATTCCACAACACTCTGCACCACTAATAACGGATTCCTCGCTCCTGCGTCTAATGCTCTGATCATACCTTTCCTTGCAGCTTCCTTCACAACGGTGACGTCGTGATAAGCAGTGATCTTACCGGTGGGTGAAATTATCAGTCTTTCACCAGACACATACTCGCAGTTCCATACAGTTGTCGTGTTATGTATGTGCTTGTCCAATTTCGAGCATCTCTCCACGAAACTCCCAATGTGTCTGGGCAACTGAACGTTTAACTCTTCAGGGTACAATATTAAAATCATGCCATCGTAGTCGGGCGATTGTAGATTCGTCTCTATGAAAACGTTTAAACCTAGTTTGAAATCAGTCTCGTTCGACATGTTTTCCTCGCCAAGTTCGATAACGGACTAGAAATAGTTGTCTTTACTTATCACTTTATATTTAATGAGTATAAGTCTGTTATTGTTATCAATTCCATTATCTACATAATTTATATCACCTTGTGTTCTCTTGTTGTGTTCACAAGGATTAATATTTTATTTGTTATCGACGTATATTTAATGATGCCTTTGTACTCAACAGTGCTTGGGGAAATGTACTATGTACTAGATAAAAGCGCGGCTATGTCCACTTAAATTTAATATTTTTTTTTAAGAAGATACATCGTACGTTCAAGAAATAACTGAAAAGTATATTATAATTTATATTACGTAAACACTAATACTTTGTCAAATAATTAAAAAGGGACGGAGTGATTATAACAATGAGAACAAATGAGACGGCTAGTGTTTGTCATTTGCGCGGGAGTTTATGCAAATGTTATTGTGGGACTAATTAGCGTTTTTTTTTTTTATAGGTGATAATGGAATGGTAACTCCGCCTGCGCTATCGGTTTACGCTGGCCGGGCACCAGTGAGGGATGACAGGTGAGGATAAAAAGACAGGTCAGTTAGCCCATCGTGACGAATTCCACTAGAATTAACCACGACCGTTTCCAGAGGGAACCGCGTGGAGGTCGACTTGGGTCAATTAGACCCCATTACTAATAATCCCTTACCCCCAATTAGGTGGTCGTACGCAGTATGAGTTCAGCGAAGCTTCCTTCTCTTTCTTTTATTCACCACTAACGACGCCATTTTGTTTTAGGTACTGTTACATTGTTTATAAAAGAGATGAATCTCCCGTTCGAATGGCAGTTACTGCCTTATGACGTAAATAGCGTCATGCACTTTGGTGAACGTGATTACAGCAAGAATGGGCATCGTACTGTCATAATTAAGGTGAATTTAATGATTTTATGATGGTTGGATGGCTGATATGATGATGATGATGACTCTAATCGACTCAGCTTGATTTGGCATATTACTAAACATAAAGCTGCTGAGAATCTATGCTATTAGTAATGTATATAATATAATTTATGTTATTTTTCAGGATCATAGAGTTAAACAAAATCGAATTGGTTTAACTAGTCAGGACATTCGAAAGATTGAGATTATTTATGGCCCCGAATGCCAGCGGAGAGATCGGCAAGAGAAAATAGAATTATGCCAAAACTATCCCGGCGTAGCCCGCAAGAAGAGAGACGTAGAAGAGAATAGAAGTTTACGTGTGAATCCAAATATCACTCCCCCACCTGACATGGTAGATGATTTTAAAAAAAGATCTGAAAATACAGAAGATTCAAATACTAAAGTAGCTGATGAAACATTAAAAGAACTTGGTATAGAAGATGAATTGCAAAATATTATTGAGCAAGTATATAAAATATCATCTTTAGCGCTTAACAATGTTAGACTCAAATATTGTAATAAATCTGAACCAGAAGTCCCTAAACTTCGAATCGGGATAAATGCTGAAAAAAATAATGCAGACCTTTTAGGTATAGTTGAAATTGTGACTAATTATGCTAGAAATATGGTTGAACGAGCTGTAGCCAATTTGACGCAGTTTTGTCAAGAGTCTGGTACCATTGAGGGTTACCAACGAGCCCGATGCAGTTGGCACGAGTCTAATAGATGTCTAGAAACATATAAATCTACTAAATCTGGACCAGTGATGTATTCGACACAACACAGACCTGTATATTTCCAATCCACAAAACACGACAGCAGAGATTTACCAAAGCCATTCATTAATTTACGTTCTGATAATGGAAACAATGAAACAGAAGCAATCAGAAGAAGAAAAAGACATGTAACAGAGAATGAGAATGCAAAAGACGATTTAGAAGTAATTGTAGTTGAAGAAGCAATCACCAACAAACCAGATTTAAGGATGGGCTCAACGATTTCATTGAAAATACCGTATTCCGAAGAGGAGAGACGCTTCCAAAAACGTCGGTTTAAGTAAGTTTAAAAAAATTAAACTCTGTATCATTTTGATTGTAATAAAGTTCGTGGAGATGAAATCAATAATTTTTAGTTATTATTTGATATTACACAAGTTTATAGACAAGATTATATTAAATTTCATTATTTATAGTTATTAAATTATTTGGATTTACGTAAATATTTGTTCCATTTATGTTTTTACCGAGACCCTGCTGTGCTTACGTACATAACTATGTTTCGGTTTCAAGGAAATATTGCAGTGAAATTATAAAGTGCAGAGGTATAACACCTTTGTCCTCAGGAATGATAACGTATAAGGAGACGTATTATGGCCGTCACAGTTTCAACTATGATCTTCATGATGCTGTTCATGTCTATAAGTGAATGATTACCGTTTTTCATTAGGTGGGCCGTTAGCTTATCTGCCATTCTACGTTACATAAAAAATATCTTTGCTGACAAACACTATCATAATTGAAAAAAATCTTTTATGTTCTTCGAGAAGCACATTAAGGAATTAATCTCAGTTGTTTTATTATTTACTTCGTCTAATCAATCTTGAGATAGGGAATGTCTCTTGACAATCTAGTAAATTAAAGTTTTCAATTCTAATATTTTTGTTTTGGTAAAATTTTACAGAAATGCAACAAAACGAACCAATGCTATTAATAAATACCCTGACGTTCGTAAACACTTTTTATTACGTGAATCTGCATTTACATTTCCCTAATTTGTAAAAAGAAAAACATAGAAATTGATCGTATTGAAGAAGTCCGGATGCTTTGATACGAGTATGACAATTCGGGACTAATGAGTCTGGTATTGTCTTCCTAGTTCTTCTCAGGAAGTTTGGAAGGAAATAGTTCTTTACTGTCTTGACTGTGGATTTACCTTGCAAAATTTGACGACGAATTTGTCGTCAAATTTTGCAAGGTAACTATATTCTTTATTGTTATAACTCATATTTAAATACTTTTCTTTTGACATTCACGAAATAAATACAGTAAGTAATCTTATTATGCATCCAAATTTGGAAGCAGTAGATTCTAAGCTAGTGCCTGAGCACAAATTTAATTTAGCAGTAGTTATTGAGAAGGGGAAAAATGTTTGGACACTTGATACGACATGACGAACTTATGAACATTATAATAGAAGGTAAGATAGAAGGAAGGAGGGGAAGAGGGAGACCAAGACATAGTTACATAAGGCAAATCAAGGAAGGAGTTGGTGTCGTGTCGTATCAAGAGGTGAAGAGACTCGCTGAAAATCATAGTGAGTGGCAAGAGCTCCACCGACAAGAGCGCAGCTCTTAAATAGGATAGATATAGATAGATATTGAATTTAATAATTTTATATCATCCTATGTTTTGCTCTTTACTGTACAGAATTTTTATATAATATAATTTTCAACAGAGAATAACATTTGCTTTACACAATATATATTTATAACTTATGCAATAAAAACAGGGTCAAAAGTAAACGAGGAAAAAAAGAATGGAGTTCGTCTGCATTGTCAACAGAAAAAGAGAGAGGAAGAATGAAGAACCATAAAGGTAAAAGGAATAAACATAAAAAAGAAGAAGATAGTGACACAGAAGATTATCGTTACGAGAAACAAGGTTTTTCTAATGAGAACAACAGCGAAGATGAAATAAGACAAAAGAGATATAAACTACAAGAGCGTAATAGTGAAGTAGAAAGCAAATTTAAAAAACTAAATTGCAAGCCAAAGAAAATAGTACACGGTGATACAGAAGATAACAGCGATGAAGTAAGAAAGAAGAAGAGACAGAAACGTATTGAAGAAACAGAAATTTATCAGAAAGGCAAAGAACAAAAGTTTGTATTTTTTTATATATTACTCGATAAAGAGGCCCGGAAATACCTCGAAAGTCTTGAATTCAAATCTGTACGTATATTAATTACTAACATGGGAGCGACTTGGTCGTTTGAATTGTATAGTGGAATATGGCAGTAAAATTACTGGGTACGAAGGCAAAAGATCTTAGTTCTCAAGATAGGGTACAAGGGCATAACAGTGAATTCTTTAATGTCTGTTGTGCCCTTTCTAGTAGGGGTGGGTAGTATAATATATAGCAATATGTATATATTTTATTTACAATAGTGGTCCAATAATAAATATATAAAAATCTGTTATCCAAAAAATAATATTGGATAACAGACTTTTAATATATCCAAAAATAGATATCAGACCGATATGGGTGATATCGAAATGGGTAAAAATCTTTTTCCACCATCAATATTCAGAGGAACTCAAGATATCGGATCAGAATCCATATTACCCATGATTACTTTCTAGAGGTAATGGTAAGTTATGAAATGAAATGAATTTCTTTTGCTAGAATGCAGATAATTTTAGATGATAGAGGTTTATATTTCCCGTGTACATTCTGCCTCTATGTCGGCGTGCAAATAACTAACAATATAAGAAATTTATATATATATATTCTACATTATATTTCCTTTCCTTTGTCATACAATATATTATTATTATTTATTACAGAGGGAGACTTTGTACAAAAGTCGATTGCTTTGGTACCTCTGTCCCATTCGTGTTTCAACCGTGAAGCAGTTGTGTTTGCATAACTGTGTTTCGGTTTGAAGGGTGGGATATGGCGTGAATTTACTGGGTACAGAGGAATAACACCTGAGTCCTCAGGAATGGCAACGCATGGGGGGTATCATGGGCGAAACAGTATACTCTATTATGTCGATGGTACTGCTCATGTCTATAGGCGACGGTTACCACTTTCCATCAGGTGGGCCGTCAGCTTGTTTGCCATTCTAAGAAGTATAAAAAAAAAAAAAGTAAACGGAAAAACAACCTGTACAATAGTTGTCGAAATTAATAAAATATTTTACAAACTGTGATGTTAATTAGTGTATAAGAACAAAAGCATCATGGTATCTCTAGTGTAAGTTGTGAAGTGCATTTGTTTTTTTTAGCGAAATATTCATTAATGGTATAAAACCCGTTACATAACAGCCAATTTTTAAGTTTACGTTTAAACACTGTATGAGCTGTTACTTCTCTAATGTTATTTGGTAGATGGTTGTAAAAGGTAAGGAGGTAAATGATAAACTTTCTATAAGGTGATCCATTAGCTTATTTGCTATTTCCAATTGCATGAAAAAAAAATTTAGAAATTAAGATCATATTGCAGTATTTCTATGTTTAAGGTTAAATTTTTTTCACTTTTTAAAGGGCCCGATTAAAAAAGTTGAAATTGGATTCGAGTGAAGTAATAACAGAAAAGAACACAGCCACATTTGTGGCCACAGTTATTAATATTTCGAGAAAGAATCGAGAATTTTATGATGAGAGGAAGTGGCCAGATGGCGTTGTGAGATACATAATCAAGGAAGACCCAGCATGTGAGTATCACAAGTCATGACAGTTTTATAATGGCAATGAAGCTAATAAGCTTTTATTTAACTTCACTTTTTTTGTTAACTCCTATTTTTGTTGCTTTGTGTACAGCGCCTTGTATCTATATTGTTGCTACTTGTGAAAACCTATTAGTGGCTTATTTTGTGATCCTAAAACTGTATTTATTTGCTGTAGTGTAGCCCTGGTTTTCCTATGAATAAATAAATAAATAAATATCTCTTAATTAAGTAAACTCAATCACTGTCTAGTCTCGGCATAGAATAGGCCACTCCTTCCTGTCTCGTGGACGTCATAAGATATGAAGGAAGACGAGGTAAGGTCACGTCCCTTTTGAAACATCTTCAAAGCCTAACTGCAGTTGCCAATCCGTCTACCAAGCGTGGCAACTGCCAAAACTCCCCAATTGGGAGACTTATATTCAACAGTTAAGACCTTTTTTTTATACAACTTAGAATGGCAAATAAGCTGACGGTCCACCTGATGGAAAGTGGTAACTGTCGCCTATAGACATGTGCAGTATCATGGACATAACAGAGTATACTGTTTCGCCCATGATACCCCCCATGCGTTGCCATTCCTGAGGACTCGGGTGTTATTCCTCTGTACCTAGTAATTTCACGCCATATCCCACCCTTCAAACCGAAACAAACGCTCCAAAGCCTAAATGTGGTTGCCCATCCTACTTACTGCCAAGCATGTTAACTACTGACAAAATCTTCCCAATGGTAAACTGCCCCAAGTGACGGTCCCGTTCCTTAAAACAGTCTATGGGGGAAGCCTATGTCCAGCAGTGGACAGATAACGGCTGAAATGATGACGATGATTCAAGTAAACTTGATTACAAGTATTTTTGAATTATTGTTTATTATAATTCCGATAGGACTTTATTGTTATTGAAAGACGGGTTTTTTCTGGCACAAAAACCTGTGACACTGCGACCTTTCCACGATCTTTTGTGCTCGCCTCTTTTCAAAGTTCGCTGCTAACTCCTAACAGTGACAGGAATTGTAACATGTTCTTTGTAGCGATGTTGTTTATCTCCTCAGGATATAGTGTGTTTTCCAAAGGAGATATATCGTTTATGTATGAACGGGCTACAGCCACACATTCAGTGCTGCGACTTTTTTCTATCCTATACTCTTATAGGATACAGAAAAGACAAATATTTCCTCTTAGTAACTCCTGTAAACAATAAGCTTTTTAATGGTTTTTTTTTTGATAGGTGAAAATGGCATGGTAACCCCGCCTGCGCTAACGGGATACGCTGGCGAAGCACCAGTGAAGGGTGATCGATGAGAATGAAAACAGGCCAGTTAGCCCATCATGATGAATTCGTCAGGAATTAATCGTGATAGTTTCTAGGGAAAACCGCAAGGAGGTCGACCTGGTTGGTATATTGCTAGCAATAGGATTCTCAGGCTCCATTACTAACAATCCCTTTTCCCCCTAATGGTATTTGTTAGGAAGTTTGAGATGGAATTAAACACTGCCTGTGCTCAATGTTTTTTTAATTGATAATAATGGATGGTAATCTCGCCTACGCTATTAGTATATACCTATTGGAGGGGTAGGAATAAGGGATGACAGGTAAGGATGAAAGCAGGTCAGTTGATCCATCATGAATACTTCAATAATAATTAATCACGAAGGTATCCAGGAATAACCACTCGGAGATCGACTTGATAGGGTATTTTCCTAGCAAGGTCCACCTTGCCCCCTATTACGAAGCGATGGACTATGATGAGATGGTACCTAAATAATGAAGACACGGCATTTAGCAGAGAAAAATGTATTAACAGTGACTAAGCAAGAAAGAAATAGACAATGTCAAAAAAATACAAAATTGAAATTGCAAAAAAAAGAACATTTTAAAAGTAAATGTATATAAAAAAAAGTAAAGAGTTTACATAGGCCGGTCGCCAATACCCTTCTTAAATATGACTGAGTTGTAAAAATTATTAAGCAATGCCAAAGTATTTAAAAAAAAAAACATATAAATTTTAGGCTGTATAACTTTGTACCTTTATCATTCCCGAAATAAAAAAAAACTACTAATATAATTGTTTCCCGCCAATAAGTCTTCAGAAACTTTATACCTCTAAAAAACTCGCGTACCATTTTAGATGATATAGCGGATATGCGTGACCGGCTCGCAGAGGTTAACAATATTTTAAAAAAGAAGACTTGTGTTCGCTTACAAGAGATTACAGAGGAAAACGCGGAAGGATACAGCGATTACCTTGAACTTGACACGAGCCCGGATTACGTCACGGGACGCGTGGGGGGCAGGCAGGTAAGCATATCTCTTTAAAAGCAATATTAAAGAATAATTTGAAATATTTTGTACAAGATTTGATGGGAAAAAATAACTAATTTAATCGAAATTAATATGTATCGTCATCATCTTCCTACCCTTACCCCATTTTTTTTTTTTTTATACTATTTAGAATGGCAAACAAGCTGGCGGTCCACCTGATGGAAAGTGGTAACCGTCGCCTATAGACATGAGCAGTACTATGAACATAACAGAGTATACTGTTTCGCCCATGATACCTCCCATGCGTTGCCATTCCTGAGGACTCAGGTGTTATTCCTCTGTATTACGCCGACCCCAAATTATTATTTGGGGTCGGCGTAATATGGTTTTAACCATATTACTAAAGGATGTGGCTTACGCCCGGCCGCCTGCCTGACGTCAACCCTCTTTGAAAATGCATTTGTTGGTGGTTTCCACCTACGGTTTGGAGGAAAGGATTGAGGTAAAAAGAAGGTAACGTTGGAAATGCTTAAAGGAAATTAGTAAATGAGAGGAATAAAGGATTTATGTGGGAAAGGAAAGGAGGGGACATTGCAGTTGCGGAAAGGACTGGGACACTGCAACGGCTCGGGAGGCCGGGGTCGCATACCCGTATGCCCTTATTCTAGAATCGGACAGATTTTTAAAGAAGAACACCCCTGATTCATTATGTAATTTTAGTATGTATGTATATCAATAATTACTAGTACCGCATTCGAGTATTCTGATACTTGCCTATGGTTGACTGGGAGAGAATGCTTTTAGCATCAAGTCCGCCATGTACACATATATGTACTAATGTACAAATAGATAAATAAATTAATAACAATGTTAGCAAAGGCGGACTTATCTCTAAAAGAGATTTCTTCCAGTCAACCTGACACAGTGGCATAGGAGGTAGTGAATTCAATAATAGTTCCTTCAATAAATCGCGAATTAGCTGATCAACTTTTCACCTGTCGCCAGGTATTCGGTTGCCTAGAGCTGTTCCAAGGCGATCAGCACCGTCAGCACGCGGCCATGATGGTAATGGCCATGCTGGGCTTCTACTTCGAAGTCGCCAGGCACGACCGCGACAAGTACATCAGGGTGCATTTGAGGCATGTCAGGCCTGGTGAGTAGGCTTGGATAATATGGATACCGACCCGATATCTACATACATATATTTTGGGTTCTTCTGGCCATTGATAGCGGAAAAAGGTCACTTTATACACCTTAGAATGGCAAACGAGCTGACGGCCCACCTGATGGGAAGTGGTAACTGTTGCCTATAGACATGAGCAGTACCACGGACATAACAGAGTATACTGTTTCGCCCATGATACCCCTCATGATGTATATATGCAATATAGATATTATTATATATTACCCATCTACTTGTGGGGAAAAGCCACCAATACACCCTATTAGGTCGACGTCTACGCAATTCCCCCTGGAAACCGACGTGGTTAATTCTAATGGAATTCGTCACGATGGACTAACTGGCCTGCTTACATCGTCACCTATCATCCCTCACTGGTGCCCCGCCGGTGTATACTGATACCGCAGGCAGGGTTACCATTCCATTATCACCTATTAACACCGCCGCTACTGCCGCTACTGGTGAGTCCTCCGTTAGAGACTTTATACAATAATAATTCACAATAAAAAACTGACTTGGATTGTGGCAAATATTTTGATACCAATTATTTTGATTTGAAAACTAAACTACTGAACCGATTTTGATAAAATTTCTAAAATTTTTGAAAAAAAAAAAGAATTTTTTGAATCGAATTATAACTGAAGGAGTTATGAAGTAACGAATTAAAAAAAAACACTTTTTTGTTTGTCGAATGGGCCATCTCTTCCCCGTGTGTATCGTACCAGAGGGAGACTTTGTACAAAAGTCGATTGCTTGGGTACCTCTGTCGCATTCGTGTTTCAACCGTAAAGCAGTTGTGTTTGCATGGCTGTGTTTCAGTACGAAGGGCGTGATATGGCGTGAATTTACTGGATACAGAGGAATAACATCGGAGTCCTCAGGAATGGCAACGCATGGAGGGTATCATGGGCGAAACAGTATACTCTGTTACGTCCATGGTACTGCTCATGTCTATAGGCCACGATTACCACTTTCCATCAGGTGGGCCGTCAGCTTGTTTGCCATTCTAAGTTGTATAAAGAGAAAGCAGCTAACAGAACTTAATTTTATTTCAATAGGTACACATTATAGAGAATTAACATGGTTACATTTAATGGTTAAAGGATGGGCAGTAGTGCCTCTAATAAAACATCACCAAAGCCTAATTGTGGTTACCGACCCGCCTGCCACGCGTGGCAACTATTGGTAAAACCTATTACCTATATATATTAAAAAAAAAATTATACCACTGAGGTGGCAAACAATCATACGGCCCACCTGATGGTAAGCGGTTAACGTAGCCTATGAACGCCTGCAATACCAGAGGAATTACGCGCGCGTTGCCGACCCTGAAGAAACCTCTTTACCTCCCTTTTGAAGAACCCCATGCTGTAGTCTCTTGGGAAAACCTCGGCAGGAAGCTCATTCCATAACCTGAGTGTTCGTGAGAGAAAACATATCTAAACAGTGTTGTACGCGACCATTTAGGCTGTAGGGGTATGAGGGTGAACTCCCTGTCGATGGCGAGCCGTGCGATGATAGAAAGTAGCCGCAGGCATCACATTGAATAATTCCTGTATTATATTACGTCTATCACATCTCCATGTTTAGAAATAATAGAATTCTCATCGTGCCTCCGATCAAACTGTTTATAATTACTCCTATCCATCCAAAAGTTGCCTGCAAGAGATCTCTCTTAGCGATAAGGCCGCCCATTGTTTTCTCACTGTGATCATTTCTTGTAATTGTTTATATCTATAATAAGTTTACTATTGTAATCTTTTGGAGGAAACAATAAAGAGTGTCTATCTATCTATCTATCTATTACCTAATCCAAAAGCATTATCACCCATGACCCAAGCAGGCAACGTATGTAGGTACTCTTCAAATTAAACCTCTATTCCTCACACATAAAAACCATTTTCAGATAAACTCCATCACTTCGAGAAAATCCGAGAGGACGCCACCTTCCCACTGCCGTATGACTACAGCAGCGCCACCCACCCGGCATGGCAGTTTTGGCGCAAAATTGGCAAAACTGGAATATCTACTGTAGCAACTTTTAAACAACAAGTATGTATTTTTTTTAATTACACGTAAATTAAAAAAGCTAATAAAAAAAATATCTTAATCTTTATTTTAACAATTACCTTAAATTATAAAAATAGTGTCTCCATACAGATGCTTCGAAAAAATCGGGCTAACTTTTTCATGCAATTTTGCGTGATAAATAGTTACGAGTGATTCCTTTATAACTTCTATATTTTATAATTTTTATAACAGTGTGTGTGTGACACTTTGCCCCTAATGAAACCCTTTGTATCTTGTGACTGAACTTTTTCCTACAAAAAAGGGGGCAAACGAGCATGCGGCTCACCTGATGGTAAGTGACTACCGCCGCCCATGATCACCCGCCACACTAGACGCATTTCAAGTGTGCTCCTTTTAAAAAGGAATATGCACTATTCTTGAATCCTTGAAAGTTACGATGTCGTATGGGTTCGAAAATACTCTTGTGTTTTTGTCGAATAATATATCTCTGTTTCTAATCTATTACTTCGGGGGGAAAGGGATTATTAGTAATGGAGATTGAGAATCCTATTACTAGCAATATACCCAACCAGGTCGACCTCCTCGCGGTTCCCCCTGGAAACTATCATGGTTAATTCCTATTAAATTCATCATGATGGGCTAACTGGCCTGTATTCATTCTTATCTTTCACCCTTCACTGGTGCTCCGCCAGCGTATCCCGTTAGCGCAGCGGGGTTACCATACCATTTTCTCCCATCAAAAAAAAATTTATTACTTACTTTTTATCTACATTAAAACCGAATAATTTTTTAGGATCCAGACGGTTCTGTGATGAAGTCCCTGGGCCAGAACGAGGATCTCCTATCGGATTTGGATCTGATGAAAATCAATACCGTGTATGGGATTAACTGCTTCCGGAATGCACGAGGCGAGAAGGGTGTAAGTGGAAAGGCAAAAGCACGGGAGGGAAAGGAGGAATCGAGGGATGAGGATGTAAGCAGTCGATGGGGAGATCAGAGTCAAGAATAATAGGATAACAGGAGAACGAATATATTAAATCAAATGTGAAATGAGGACTTGTATTTTTATTTCTAAGTTCGTGCTATTAATTATTATAAACTAGCGATTCGACCCGGCTTTGCACGGGTAGATAGATAGAATCTTTGAAAATAATAAATTGGAAGACTTTGTACAAAAGTCGTTTGCTTGGGTGCCTCTGTTCCATTCGTGTCTCAACCGTGTTTGCATGGCTGTGTTTCTGTTTGAAGGGTTTTCATGCAACTTAGAATGGCAAACAAGCATACGGCCCATCTGATGATAAGCCGTTACCGTAACGACGCAATGACGTTGTCGCCCGCGGCCTAGAGGTCTCATCGGTTGAAGAGTTCGTCGTCGGCATGGCGAGCAAAATGTTCGCCCGTGCTGACGGCGGAGACCATCTACACCTGAGGGGCCTCGCGCCGCTGCATGCGCGTCCGCCGGACGGCCGTCCCACGCCTAGGGACCTCCTGTACACGGACGAATAGCGACCGTGATATCTCATCGTCCAGTACAACGTATACGGTACAAATATACCTATCCTCTGGGGGGAAAGGGATTGTTAGTAACGGAGACTGAAAATCTCATTGCTAGCAATATACCCAACCAGGTCGACCTCCTCGCGGTTCCCCCTGGAAACTATCATGGTTAATTCCTGATGAATTCATCATGATGGGCTAACTGGCCTGTTTTCATTCTCATCTATCACCCTTCACTGGTGCTCCGTCAGCGTATCCCGTTAGCGCAGGCGGGGCTACCATACCATTTTCACCCATCAAAGAAACACCTATCCTCTTTGCTCTTTTCTCTCTCTTTTCCTCCTCTCATCCGTTCCTAGTGTGTACATATGCCCCCCACCAATAGCGGGGGGAGGGCTTAACTCTTATATATGAATATAAGATATAGTATTTATCTTAGCTCTCCTATTATGTCTATCGGGAACGGGGGAGAGGGGTGAAACGAATGATTCAATAAAAAAAATGAAAAAAAAAACAAGGGAGAAGAGCAAACCTTATATTCTCTTCTCTTGAGCAGCAGGAAGGAAGGAAGAAAATGTCACGCCGACATACACAGACCACCCGTGTCTATCGGCTTGAAACCTCGTGAACTGGAGGTAGTAGCCTCCGGACCTAAAGCCGTGGTGAAGGGGTATGTCCCGAGGCCCCTACCTCGCCCGTCCACACCATCTGGCGGACCATGAGAAGACTGATTGATTGAAAATATTGTAGTACAATGATCATGTACAGTCCTTAAGTCAACTATGTCCTATCTATGTACACTTTATCTGTTGTCAATTAATTTTCTCTAGTCGTCCTAAATCATCATATATGGTACCAAGAAGAATTAAAGGAACGCTTTTACCAAGCTATATTTTATTAAAATCCCGAATACACATCCTATAACAAATATAAAAGCTAAAAAACTTAACTACTGATTACGATGATTCCTTTTGCTTCGTCAGACTTATGTCGCTTTTTGTGATAATGTCGTAGACATAAACATCATTCAGGTACCGCCGTCGGCGGAACACGCATTTGTCTGTATGAATCATAAGGCTGACGGCTGGAATAGATATACCTTCATAAATATATACTACCGTAAATTAGAGAGCGACATCTAGTTCTGAATTAAGTAAATTCATTCAATATTAAGATTGTTTCACAAAAAATTGTGGCTAAACTAATTATTTTAACGGGATCAATCTGTAAATATATCTTTTTAGTTAAAATAAGAATTTTCCAAATCGATTTAGAACTGACATGTTTTGAATTAAAACTGCTATATATATATATATATATATATATATATATATATATATATATATATATATATATATACTTACAAATTTGACCATATCCATTTAGAAAACAATTAAATAGATCAATTTGTATTCATGACTTTTTGTATTGGTCTGGGTGTATCACGAACACATATAAAAACCGCATCCAATTTGATGCAGCAGTTTTTGCGTAATACCCAACAAACAAAGCAGACAGACAAAATTTCTAAAAAATATTATTTTTATTATCTATTAGTCTTATTAAGACGCATAATGTACAGAGTCACAATTTTATTATATAAGTAAGTATTTATGTTTCAAAAGGCAGATCACACTTTACCAGGTCTGTCCACGGCCGTTATGGCCATACTTTCGATTTTATGCTCTTCTTTCCAATGAAAAAACATTTTCTTTATGATTGCCATCACTAATGCAATCATGAATATACTTATTCCAAATAATATTGTGTATAAAGCCATTTATGTGCCTTTTTAGAAGCATTTTCAACATTTTAAAAACGGTAGCCGTTAAAATTGCGTTTGACATTGTTTTGACATTTTATCACTGCTATTAATCTGTGCCACTATGTGACAATTTTACTTTTTTTATTTAGGTCTTAGAACAAGGAATTACAAAATCTTTGCTTTAGGCACCTACTTCGTTGTGATATGTTTCGGTTTATAAGTGGTTATCCCACTTAAATTACAAGGAATGGAATTATAACACCATAGTCCATAAGAATGGCAACGCGTGAAAGACATCATCGGAGTTACAAAATATTCTGTGATGTTCCATATCTATAGGCGAACGGTTACTGCTTTTAAATGGGCCGTCAGCTTGTTTTCCATTCTAGTTAAAGATTTGTTATTGTTGTTCTTAGATTCTAGGTTACATAAAAAAAGTTTAAAAATAGTACCTACTTGGCATTCTCTTTCTATGACTCCGAACAAGATAAATATAGGTCAGAAATTTTTAAAAAAGAGTAATTGATTATTTGATTTTTATTTATTCTGTTATTAAAACTAAATAATAACAATAATAATATATTAAACTTACTATTATATTTACAAGATAAATTACTAATATTTTACCAGAGGGAGACTGTACAAACGTTGTTTGCTCAAGCATCTCTGTCCTATTCGTGTTTCTGTCTGTGTATACCGGGAAGCAGTTGTGTTTTTTTTTTTTAATTGATGATAATGGAATGGTAACCCCACCCGCGCTATCGGTGTACACCGGCGGGGCACCAGTGGAGGATGATAGGTGAGGATGAAGTAGGTCAGTTAACCCATTGTGACGAATTCAACAAGAATTGTTCACGATGGTTTCCAGGGGGAACCACGTGGAGTTCGACCTGATAGGGCATATTGCTAGCAATGGGGCTGTCAAACTCCATTACTAACAATCTCTTTCCCCCCAAACAGTTGTGTTTGCATGGCTGTGTTTCGATTTGAAGGGTGGGATATGGTCGTGAATTTAGACGGTACAGAGGAATAACACCCGAGTCCTCAGGAATGGCAACGCATGAGGGGTATCATGGGCGAAACAGTATACTCTGTTATGTGCATGGTACTGCTCATGTCTATAGGCGACGGTTACCACTTTCCATCAGGTGGGCCGTCAGCTTGTTTGCCATTCAAAGTTGCATGAAAAAAAAAGAAAATAAATAAATAAATACACCATAAAATATTACAATTGTCCAGGTACCTAGTACCCATTACTTTTCCATATTTTTACACACAGGTGATGTTAAACAAAATCGAGTATCAAATGAATTGAAAAAAGATGGTTAATATGAAAGTATCTTTTGCTAAAGACTTAATGATTAATATACGATGCAAATTGCATAGATTGCAAAAAAATAATAATAAAACAAATATTTATCACTAGCGGGTAGCTAGCCCCGGCTTTGCACGGTATTTTTTTTAATGGATGATAATGAAATGGTAGCCCCGTCTGCGCTATTGGTATACGCTGGCGGGACACCAGTGAGGGATGATAGATGAGGGTGAAGCAGGTCAGTTAGCCCATCGTAACAAATTCGACAATAAACCAATCACGATGGTTTCCAGGGGGAACCGCGAGGAGGTCGACCTGATAGGGTTTATTACTAGCAATGGGGTTGCTAATCCCCATTACTAACAATCCCTTTCCCCCGGCTTTGCACGATTGTACAAAACTTTCCCCGTTTTCCGTAAATTGTTTAAACATTTTCTATTCTTCTGTAAAACAAACCTTATCCAGAAGATTACAAACACGACAAAAAAGAATTAGACAAATAACCCTTTCTGAAATGATGTAATTTTTTTTTTTATGTAGAAGACTAGCTTGTACCCGCGACTTCGTCCGCGTGATCGGGATAAAATGTAATCTAAATTCTTCTCCATAATATATGAAATAGAACGTGAATGTCAAATTTCAAGGCCGTGTGGTCCCGGCATAGAATGCCCGTATGCCTGTTTGCCACCTCAGTGGTATAAAAAAAGTTGCCCTTTAACGGAATTAAACAAATTTAAAGATGTTATAAACGCTTTGAAATACAATTAAAAGTATAATATTGCAATGAAAAAAATATATCTGTATTTAATTTTTTTACATTTTATAGCCTTATATCTAATAGTGCAAAATATAATATATGATTATTAAAATACTTGTTTAGTTTGTACAAACTGTACTCAATGACGCATTATTTTAACGTTTTGTCATGTCTCAAGGAGGTCCTGCTACTAGAACTGTTCGCGACATTGTAATCTCTTTGTATAGTTTATAGCGATATTTTATAGTTATTTTGTCATTAGTTTTTTAATCATTTAAATTGTTAAATTTATATAGGTTTTCTATGATGTATTTATAGTTTGTAAGTTGAATAAAGCATTTTATTGTGTCGAGTCCTTATTACCCGCAAATAGAAATAAGAAAAAATTGTAAAACACTAGTAATAAGGATAATTATAATAAATAAATAGACGCCAAATGGTGCCGCTCTGAAGAGTCACGCGTCCCTCTCACACTCGCCCCGTCCCGCTCGCACAGACTCACCGATGTGAGTTAGTACATGTTATCGTGCGACCGGGCGGGTATAAAGATAGGCCGCCTACCGTCGAGCGGCATGCACTCCCCATCCGATAAAGGAAATAGGAGAAACTCTTCAGAACGGAACCGGGAGCTTCAAGAAAGGAATCTTATTTATCGTTTCTCTCCAGCCTGAACCAGCACCCCTACAGTCCACGCTCACCGTACGGTCAAGCTGCACCGTTCAAGAACTATTGAGGGCAGAAGGGGAAAAATGTTGGGACACTTGATAAGACACGACGAACTTATGAACATTATAATAGAAGGTCAGATAGAAGGAAGGAGGGGGAGAGGGAGACCGAGACATAGTTACATCAGGCAGATCAAGGAAGGAGTTGGTGTCGTGTCGTATCAAGAGGTGAAGAGACTCGCTGGAAATCGTAGTGAGTGGCGAGAGCTCCACCGACAAGAGCGCAGCTCTTAAATGGATAGAAGAAGAAGTCATGTCTCAAGTATAAACACACAATACAAGTGGCTTGATCACTCATTTACTAAAATAGGTTAAGTAAATTATAATAAAATGGTACTTATGTACTTTAAATAAATAAATATTTTTATTAAAATCGGTTGAGTGATTTCAGAAACATAAAAATGAGTTTGAGACAGTTAATAGTGGCGTGACAAAAAATGACAGAACCTATCGTTAGGTTTGTGTTAGCGGTAGTGACTCCAGCGACAAACGTGCGAGTGAGTGAGCCGCGCGCTCTCAGCGACGTCTGTCGCCCGCGAGCGCTGACTATCGACTGGCTTAGCTTACAATAGGACGCGGGCTGGCCGCGCGGCACCCTAGTAGTTATTATTATTGAATTCACAAGAATGTTCATTCTACCCGCATATTTATTCTTATGAAGCATACAACCTCCTAAGGTGTCTTCTAAAGTGATTAATGCCTCACGAAGACGACGTCGACGCCTTCTCACTCGTTCTCGCCACCACCACTTCACCAGGCATCTCAACATGTGACTCCCAATGCGAGAAGTGCTCATCCAACGGAACAAAATCCTTACATTTTTTACACTTAAACTTTTTCCTCGACTTGCCGCTTTCTTTATCAATAGCTTTGACTGATAAAAACATATTTTTAATATGTGTCTTAAAGTGCAAGGTGAACGTTGAGAAATTTGTATATCTCTTCGCGCACTGTGGACACATCAGCATCTCGATATTATGCTCTTTGTGTAAATGTAATAGATATTTTTTTAACGACAGAAAATTCTTGCAACACTTTGTGCAACGGTGTGAACCAATCATGTCTGCATTGTTCAGACCATTGGAATGTTCTTTTATGTGTTCCCTGTAGTCACGTTTGAACCCTTCAAAATTACAATGCTCACACTGATACAGTTTAAATCTATGAGGTTTCCGATCTTGATTTAGAACTGTACATGTTTCTACATGTTTAACGTATAATTTGTGGAAAGCTTTGAAATCGCAGTTTTTACATTTGTAAATTTTCTTAGTGTCATTATTCCCGTTTTGTCCTTTAGCTTTACAATTGTTTATATGCAGCTTGTATTCCTGGTGTGTCGATTCAAAATCGCAACTTCGACATTTGTATATTCTTGGGACATATTGAGACTTGTCTACAGAACTATCTTCTGATGCATCATCGTTACTTAACATATCTATATCATTGTCATGTATTTCTTCTCCTATAACGTGATTCCCCTTCGTATTAATATGTTCTACATCTGTCTCAAATTCCGCTTCCTCGAATATATACAATTCTTTTTCCTCACAAACTGGTAATTTGAATTTGTTAATGTTAAATGTTAGAAACTGTGAACTGTTAGTGCTTTGCATGTCACCAGTTTCTTGATCGTTCAAAATACCAGGTGCAACATCTTTTTTGTCAATTCTATTAGTTCCATCGTAATCTGTATGTTTATTTTTAGAATTATCTGTTCCAATATCAATTATATTACTTTGGTGTGATTGTTCCGATTTGTTAAGTCCATCGTCTATGTTGTTTTGCTTCATAATATCAGTTGCACTTTTAATATTTTCAAAAATATCATAATCATCACTACCTAAATCCAAAATTTGTAATTCTTTTCCTATTTTTGTGTTATCACTTTCTGGAAAGTTTATATTTTCTGTAAATTAAAAAAAAACTCATTTGTACCAATCTTAAAACATATCTACAGACCAAAACGCGCGGGAAACACTGTCAGCTGGTTTATTTTCAAGTCTATCCTTATTAGGAGGATTGCTAGTATTGAGAACTAGTAATCCCATTGCTAGTAAAATACTGTCAGGTCCCTACCACAATCCCCTGGAAAGCATCGTGATTAATTCCTAATGATGGACGAAATTGCTTCAACCTCACCTATCAAGACTCTCTGATTCCCCGCCAGCGTATACCGAGGCGTGGTTACCATTTACCATTATCACTCAAACTGACTTCATCCCCACGTAAGTGGAGATATGATTCCATACTTATCCATTTACAAATATGCAATATAACCCCTTGCACTCCCTTGTCACCGTATTTGCGACATTGAAATGCTAACATCAAATCCACTGTCGCGGCTACGGCGACACGATTTTATTGACTCAGCGCCCTTTATAAAATAGCTAAGAAATAAATGTTTTGTTTTTATTTTATACAACTTAGAATGGCAAACAAGCTGACGGCCCACCTGATGGAAAGTGGTAACCGTCGCCTATAGACATGAGCAGTACCATGGACATAACAGAGTATACTGTTTCGCCCATGATACCCCCCATGCGTTGCCATTCCTGAGGACTCAGGTGTTATTCCTCTGTACCCTGTTCATTCACTGCCATATCTCAAACTTCAAACCGAAACACAGCCATGCAAACACAACTGCTTCACGGTTGAAACACGAATAGGACAGAGGTACCCCAGCAAACGACTTTTGTACAATATGTTACCTCTGGTTTTATTGCAACGACTCGCATTTTTCTTTCACATCACAGATATGTACTTGTAACTAATACAATGCTGGAGTTATTGACATCCTCCACGAGCTACTGGCTGGAGTGAAAAGAGTTAACAGCTAATGTAATATAAAACTCACTGATATTGCTCTGGATTGCTTTTGAATTTGATGATACACATTTAGTAGGTGATGGTTGTCGAACAAATTCTTTTAACACTATCACCTGAAATCAAATAGATAAACAATAATTTAATATTACATACATACATACATATCTGTCACGCCTGTCTCCCATTAGGGTAGGCAGAAACAATGGAACGCCAAATGCTTCGATTCAAACAAACCTCTTTCGCTTCTTCCACATTCATCAATCTTGTCATACACGCTCGCCGGTTACGGGTACTTTTAATTTGGCCCTTCTTCAGCACGTCGCCTATTTGGTCGACATACGTCCGTCTAGGGCGGCCCCTACCGACATCTCCATTCATTCTTGCTCGATAAATCTCTTTCGTAATTTTTCTTTCATCCATCCTCTCCAAATGACCAAACCAATGGCAACATTCCTTTTTCGATTTTTGTCACTACATCGTCTTTCAGTCTACACTTCTCTTAATATTACATTCACTTTAATATTACATTACACAAAAAAAAAACAATTTTAATCAAATGGTAAAATCTGTTATTTTAATTTAAAAGATAAATACTGTATCAATTTTGATAAAATTTCTATGAGGCCAAACTGTAAATATATACTTTCAGATAATAAAAGAAAAAATCCAAATCAGTTCGAGAAAACGACGGAGTTACGAGGTAACAAACATAAAAATAACATAGAACGATTCAGATTTGAGAACCTTTTTGCCGGCGTCGGTTGAAAATATTTGTATTATTGAAAAAACCATACAAATAAGGCTAAATTCACATTATAATGATGGCACGGTCCATTCTCGCCTTAACAACTAGGTAGGTTTTGGTGATGTTTTAAGAGGGATGCTGCTGCCCATCCCTCGACCATTACGAAATTTGGTTAACAAATGCAAAATTTTTTTTTTCAAATTTAACTGTCAGTTCCAGAGATTAAGTGTGTGTCGTGAAAGGCAAGTAAGTAAATAAAAGAGAGGCTTACATCCAGCAGTGGGCAGTTAATAGCTCATATGATGATGATGGTAGTAATTTACCAGAGGGAGACTTTGTACAAAAGTCGTTTGCTTGGGTACCTCTGTCCCATTCGTGTTTCTACCGTGAAGCAGTTGCGTTTGCATGGCTGTGTTTCGGTTTGAAGGGTGTGATATGGCGTGAATTTACTGGGTACAGAGGAATAACACCTGAGTCCTCAGGAATGGCAACGCATGGGGGTATCATGGGCGAAACAGTATACTCTGTTATGTCCATGGTACTGCTCATGTTTATAGGCGACGGTTATCACTTTCCATCAGGTGGGCCGTCAGTTTGTTTGCCATTCTAAGTTGTATAAAAAAAAATACGCATAGTTTAAAAAAAAATACTTACAATATCAGAATAGATGCCCGTAGGATTAAAAAAATTTGCATGTTGTGACACTTTGTGGTCTTTCATAGCTGTTGCGCTAAGAAATATCCTATCCTCAGCGCACAACTGGCATCTGTACACCGCCATGAAGTTGTCACTGTGCTTGTGTAACACATGTACCACTTCCATACATCTTTTTGCTAACTTCACATCGCAAATTCGACATTGGTAGACACTTTCAGTGATTTCCAAATGTATTTTCACTATCTTTTTTGATGGGAACCGTCTGTAACAGTATGGGCATGCAACAGACATGTTCTTCTTCCGGCACACATGCACGCAAGAGTCTATTACCCTCTGTTTGCAATGTCGACACGGTCCCAATGGCGACCAAATTGGCATATCGGACCTCACAACGTGGTACGACTTTAAATGCCCATACAAATGATTCTCGTCCCAAAAAAACATTGGGCATAATTTGCAGTAGTGCAATTTAATATTGGGCTCATTTTCAAGATGTTTCATGAAGTTGTAGTCGCAAAGGCTTTCGTGGATCTTCATTGTGGCACAGGTGGAGCGGCGTTGCTGGCAAAAACAGCATACATAATCTTTGCCGTTCTCTGCCAATGTTGGATGTGCATTGTAGTGTTTCCCACATCGCCAACAGTTCGAATCGATGGGAAAATTTCTTATGATTTCATCGTCGACATCGTAAGCCTTTATGTGACATTCCTTGAACACAGTTTCGAAGTCTATTTTTATGTCTTTGTGCATAGTGAATATATGTTCCCGAAACGGGGCCAACTCCCAATATGCTGTATTGCATACATAGCATTTATAACTTAAAGGCACCTCTCTAGAAACGGAAAAACTTTGCCAATTCTTCCACAAGTAAAGTGCGTCTTGCAATAAAGTTTCTTGCTTCAATTCCTGCTGACAAAATTGCCTAATATAGCCCCAAGAGTTGGCCAATTCTATTGCTAATATCCTATCAGCTAAATTTTTGGTCGTATTTGCAATAACTTGAGCTCGTCTAAACATCGCGAATCGATCTATTAATGATGGATCATTTGAGTTTTCATTAAAAGTTTTTGATATTTGTGGCATTTCATTTTTAGCATTTTTAGAAGCAGCTGTACCACAATTTACATTACTTGTATTTGCTAGTACATCAGAACTTACATTGGTATTGCTTCCTGATGCAACTGCATTTGAATCACGTTTATTTGCAGTTACATTATAATCATCCACTGTTGACAAGGCGAACACCTTGTATAGAGAAGTATATGACAAATCATCATCATTGTCATTTGTTGAATCATCACAATTCCCTAATAAATCACTTAAAGATTTATCCAATATTTTTTCTAATGATCCATTGTTTTTAAGTGTTTGTTTCAATGTTTTATTTATTTCATTCTCAATGAATAATTCTGTTTGTGCATATTCAGTTTCTTCATTATCATTACTTGTAATTTCATTATTTGTATTGCTAGTTTTATCAACAGTGGTTGATCTATCTTCATATAGTCTTTTCATGTCTGTTGCCAGTGAATCTTTAGAATTACTTGATAATTCATTAGAATCATACAATTTCAGTATCTTTTGGGGTATAAACTGAAAAATAATTTTAAATATATGGATAGATACTAGTTTTTTTACCCCAATCTTATAACTGGGATACATAGGTTGACCAGATTAAAGAGCAACTGTCCTCTTCTATCCCAAATATTATGCACATACACAAATTTTATAATTGGTTGAGCTATTAAGATGAGACAACAAACATACTTTTATTTGGATAACTAATACATTAGACACCTCCTTCCTTTAGAAGTCTCTTAAAGTCTTGTAATCTTATGAATATATAGGATATATCATTACAGTCAGTGCTGTAAATGTTTGTATGGATGTTTGGTTAAATCACACTTAAACAACTAGGCAGATTTCAATGAATTTCTGTACGTAGGCAAGTTATTTCCTAACTAAAAACATTAGGGTCATTATCAGCAAGTGCGAACTTCAAGTTATCAATGTGTGTGAAATATAAAAGGAATAATTTTATAAAATATCTTCTGAGAAGATGAAACTTTCTGAAGACTAAATCAAAAAAGTTCACTGAAATCGAAGACAGAAACTTCATTGTAGACCATCCTGGGATCAACCAGATGATACTGTATCTGAGATTTTCAGGCTTCGCCTGAGATTGAAATGTCAGACCCTGATTCATGGCCTGATATTATTGGTGTACCTAGGGAATCTGTGTAATGTGCATGTGCGGTGATTAATGTAAACAGTATCTTAGTCTTATGTGCTGATTTCTGTAGATGTAGCTATTTCAGATGTTAATTATACTTTAAGATTATGACAATTAAAATAGTTTTACTTCCAATCTCAACCAAGTTGTAACTTTTATAAGCTTTATTTACTTAAAATTAGCAAAATACATAGCATTTATAAAAAAAATCGTGTTTATACCTCAAATTCTTCATTACTTTCTTCTTCGAACTTTCCAAAAGCTTGTGGCGCTAACTTCGAATTTTTTCGTGTTTGTGATTTTCTCATGGCTATTTTTTTTTTATTTTTAACTGTATTTATTAAAAGATATTTGTACTCGTCTATTAATTCCACACGTAAATAAACATTAGAAATTTGTAGCGTTTCACTTGACACTTTCAATAGAAAACATTGTCACCTGTAATCTCATTTAATACATACATAAATACATTTCAATACTTTTTTACTTTTAATAACTGTATATTTCATTAGTTTTAAGTGATGTTAATGCAATGTTATAAAAACGCTAATGTTTCTATTAAATAAAAAAACATATAAAAAAAGTAAAAATTTGACAGTAGTAGTATTATTTTATGTACAATGGAAAACGCAAAGGAACTAAGCCATATAGTAAACATTTGACAATTTGACTTTAGGTTTAGATTTTTTTTCCAATATTGCCAACTGAGAAACATAGATTAAAGAAACTAAATATGCTTATTAAGATTTTGTAACTAAATTACTAAAAAAATCATTAATATAAATGTAGAAGAATTGAACTAAATTGCTAGCACTAAACAATTTAGTTACCAAATTGGATGCGGTTTTTACTGTCGAGTTCCTGAAGGTCCTTAAAACCATAAAATCTGGCGTATTTATTTTGATATACCTAGATAGTATATCAAAATGAATGCACCAGATATGTAGTCTATTTTATAGATTTTCCTACTTCTAATATCAACGCGTACAAATTAAAGGCAAAGAAAGGCAAGAAGCTAGTTCAAATATAGTTGTTGGGAAAGGGATTGTTAGTAATGGAGACTGAGAATCCTATTGCTAGCAATATACCCAACCAGGTCGACCTCCTCGCGGTCCTCCCTGGAAAATATCATGGTTAATTCCTGATGAATTCATCATGATGGGCTAACTGGCCTGTTTTCATTCTCATCTATCACCCTTCACTGGTGCTCCGCCAGCGTATCCCGTTAGCGCAGGCGAAGTTACCATACCATTTTCACCCGTCAAAAAAAAATTGTCATTATCATCATCATACCAGCCGCTATGTGTTCATTGCTGAACACAAGCCTCCCTTATACATAGATTGCAATAAGGAACGGTTTTTTTTTATACAACTTAGAATGGCAAACAAGCTAACGGCCCACCTGATGGAAAGTGGTAACCGTCGCCTATAGACATGAGCAGTACCATGGACATAATAGAGTATACCGTTTCACTCATAATACCCCCCATGCGTTGCCTTTCCCGAGGACTCAGGTGTTATTCTTCTGTACCCTGTAAATTCACGCCATATCCCACCCTTTAAACCGAAACACAGCCATGCAAACACAATTGCTTCACGGTTGAAACACGAATGGGACAGAGGTACCCAAGCAATCGACTTTTGTACAAAGTCTCCCTCTAATACAGTCCTAAGTTATCTGCATCCACGGACTCTCAACAATTGCAATTTGACAATAGTTGTTTTAAGGGCGGGAAGGAATTGTTAATAATGGGATCTAACAGCCCCATTACTAATAATATACCATATCAGGTCGGCATCCACGTGGCTCCCCCTGGAAACCATCGTGGTTAATTCTTGTGAAATTCGTCACGATGGGTTAACTGACCTGCTTTCATTCTCATCTATCACTGGTGCCCCGCCAGCGTATACCAATAACGCAGGCGGGGTAACCATTCCATTATTATCCATTAAAAAAAATAGTTATTTTAAATTCACCACAACAAGAAGGTGGCGGGCTCACGAAAAAAAAAAGCAACTTGTGAGTGACTGTTTTTCAACGTTTTTTTTTTTTTTTCTACAGATCATGAGTAAAATTTACAACACTATATGGGAATAGGGACCGAATGAAAATAAAATCTTTGAGTGGTAGGATAAAATAATAAAAAATAAACGACGACATTTCTACAACTTATATTTTTTATTGAGACATCTTAAAATATGAAAAAAAAACATGTATGTATACTACATAAGTAAATTCTCAATCGTTCCGCCAGCAACATAATTTAACAAAAATTTAATTTAATACAATTTAATTTCTCAAGATCTTTTATTTCAGTCAGCATTCATTTAAATATAGTAGTAATATAAATATATATATATAGAAATCTCATGTCACAGTGTTTGTGGTCGCACTCCTCTAAAAGGGTTCGACCGATTTTTATGAATTTTTTTATGTATATTTGATAAATATGAAAATAGGTTGTATAGTATATTTCATACTGTTAGGTGATTAGGACATCCTAATCACCTAGGACAGGGACATCCCTATCCTTAATTTATATGACAAAACAATGTTTGCCGGATCAAAAAGTTATAATTTTTACTTTTTAATTATCAAAAAAAAATTTGAAATAAAAAAACAAATTAACGGTCATTGGATAGAAGCTGGTTATGTTCGGCTAGACATTAATAGCACCATGGATATTGCAGAATACACAGTAACGCCCATGGTACCCCTTATGCTTTGGGAGAAAGGGATTGTTAGTAATGGGATCTAACAGCCCCGTTATAACTTTCCAGCCAGTTTTATTGCAGGCCATATCTGTGACCTCCCTGACATTACATGACACGTAATTTTTCCAGAGATGGAAAATGTAAAATGCACCTAATGTTTCTAACTACAACTGGCTCGGAAATAATAAAAAAAAAATTGCATTTAAGAATATGCTACAAAAGGCAGTAGCATTCTTTACATCCATGACTATTAATATACCCTATCAGATCGATCTCCACGGTTTCCCCTGGAAACCATCGTGGTAATTATGAAATTATCACAATTGGCCAACAGACCTCACCAGTGAGCACTAGTGTACATCGATAGTTCAGGGTTACTATTTCATTTTCATCCATAAATCTCTTATGCATTACCATTCTTTAAGGACTATCATTAAGAAAAAAATACTTGACAGGAGCCAGTGTTATGAACTACTGATATACTGGGGGAAAAAAGGATTGTTAGCAATGGAGTTAGACAGCCCCATTGCTAGCAATATACCTTATTAGGTCGACCTCCATGGTTCCCCCAGGAAACCATCGTGAACAATTCTTGTTGAATTCGTCACGATGGGCTAACTGACATGCTTCATCCTCACGTATCATTCTTCTCTGGTACCCCGCCGGTGTATACCGATAGCGCGGGTGGGGTTACCATTTCATTATGATCCATTTAAAAAAAAAAGCTACTGATATACTTCTCAATATAGCACGGTGCAAGTGAGTAATCACAAAAAAAAAAAAAACGTAGAAAAAATATATTAGAATACATTTGATGCAGTAAAAAAATTTTATTCTGAGAAAGTACCAGTTATGTGTACTTTTACTCCAAAAATTTTACTCTTATGCAACTCAGAATGGCAAACAAGCTGTCGGCCCACCTGATAGAAAGTGGTAACCGTCACCAATAGACATGAGCAGTACCATGGACATAACAGAGTATACTGTTTCGCCCACGATACCCCCCATGCGTTGCCATTCCTGAGGACTCAAGTGTTATACAATAGAGTTCTGTTACTCAAGAAAGTTCTTTTATAATACTTAAAATATCATCAAATCTCCTCATCAAAGTGTAAGAAGATGCATGAATAATTGTTATAAAGCTCGAGAACACCTAACTACATATTAATAGACCCATTTATTTTACCATTATTAATCCTTCTTTGCATGATTTTTTTTATTGGTCAAATAAATCAAAGTGATCAAATTCATGTTCAAAACTAAAGGAAAAATGGTAAAAAAAATAAATTTGACAGCTATGTTTTTTTCTGCAATGGACATTAAAAAGGTATCCAGACATGATCAACTTAAAGTGAAAATGTTCTTTTATATATAATAAAAATATAATAATAATAATATATAATTTTTGGGTGTTCAATGTTATGATGGAAATTTCCACCATTATGCAACGAAGGGTTAACATATTTAAGATTACCTCCTAGAGGAGGTGGGGCCTGGTCCCTTAAAAAAGCCTACATATTCTTAGTACTATGTCTTTACACATAATTTATGTAAATATTTATTTTAATTTCTGTCTTGCACTACTACTGCCCACTCACTACTTCCTATGCCACTGCATTAGGTTGACTGGAAGAGATCTCTTAAACTTAGAGATAAGTTCACCTTTGCTAACATTGTTATTAACTTATTGTTGTTACTGTATGTTTTAGTGCAATAAAGAATATATATATATATATATAATTTGGAAACACTTCACAGATCCTTCACAGATGGACACCAAACAATTCTGGAGTGGGCACAGTTCATGCTTAAAAGTGTCTATGCCACTCATCTTTTTAATAGTGAAGAGTCATCATTTATTTATTGATGACAATAACTGTTCACTTCATTAGTTGACTACCTTCGCCGAATATGTCAAGATGCGATTCCCAGTGCAAGAAGAAATTGAAGTCAAGTCCCACCACGTTCTTACACTTCCTGCACCTATACTTCTGACCTGATGTGATATCTTTGTTAATCACTCTAACTGGAATGAAGGTTTGTTTTATATGCGACTTTAAATGGATTATCAGTACAGTATAATTTATATACCTCTTGTTACACTCTGGACACGTTAATTTTTCAATTGCATGCTCTTTGTATAAGTGCATAAGGTACTTTTTCAATTGCGAATAGTCTTTACAACATCTAGTACACCGGAATTTGTCATAGTCCATAATATTTATGTGTCTCCTCTTAAATTCGCTATGTTCCTCCATATGTACTTTATATTCTTTACTGTTACCCTCGAATTCGCAACGCACACATTGGTACAGTTTGCCGCTACGATTTCTCTTATATTTCGCCGCTTTGCACTTCTGTATATGCTGTTTATATTTCTTGTGCACCCCTTCGAAATTACATTGATTGCATTTATATATTTTTTTCTGATGACTCATTTTATATTGTTTTATTGCTTCACATTCCATTACATGTTGCTTGTATTCTCTATGTGTAGATTCGAACTCGCATCGTCGGCATTTGTATAACTTTGCGAAATACTCAGACTCTATATCCTCTACGGAACTATCCTCATCAGTTGAATCATCACTGTTTGAATTATTAACATCATCATTGCCTACTTCTTCGGGTTCATCTTTAACTTCTGCTTTGAAATTTGCATTTGTATTTAGAAGATCAGAAATTTGAAAAGCATTTGACTGATAATGAAATTCTTCAAATACATATTCCTCTTTTTCTTGTTTAATTTGTAGAAAGCAAATTTTATTTGTTTTTGCCACATCAGTTCTGTGATTTAAAGTTACATCTATATTTTTGTTTAAAGCCTCTCCCATCATGTCATTTTGTTGCAAGTGTTCACATTTATCAGTTTCCATTTTGATAGTCTTGTTTGTTTTATAAATTTCCTTTTCGTCCTGCACAGGCACACCATTATCATCTATTTCTACTTTCACAGCTTCGATTTTCACATTTTGTATTGCTATTTCATTGCTTTTACTTTTTCCCACTTCATTTTCATCAATTATTTCATCTTTGATCTTCACTCCATTATGCAGTTCCAATTTTGAGTTTTCTGATCTCTGTGTTACAGACATGTTTCCTCTGTTATTGCTTTCTGACACTGGATGTTTAAATCAGTACCTGGAACAACCATTTATCATATGGTTAAGTTTGATTATTTGTTTACCTTAACGGTGTATGCCTGAGCATATTACTTTGTGTAAAGGAGGCAATATTACCTAATTCCTAAATTAGCTGGTCAGGCCAGTTGAACTAATTTACATATGTAAATTGGTTCAACTGGCCTGACCAGCTAATTTAGGAATTAAACTTTTCTGAATTAGCTAAGGTCTGGATTGTGCCCTTTTTTTTCACTAGTACTCCACTAGAGTATACTGATAGTGTAGATGGGATTATCATTCCATTTTCATACATCCAAAAAATACCATACTATAATTTAGTAAGCATGTACTTTGGGGGGAAGAGATTTTAGTAATGGAGAGGTTAATCCCCGTCCTCATCCATATCTTATCAGGTAGACCTCCACATGGTTCGCCCTGGAAACCATTGTGACTAATTTATTGTTGAATTTGTCGCAATAGGTTAACTGACCTGCCTTTTCATCCTCACCTATCAACCTTCAGAGGTGCCTCGCCAGTGTATACCGATAGCGAAGGCGGGGTTACCATTCCATTATCATCTATCAAAAAAGAAGCATGTACAATCTTAATAAAAGACTAATTTATTTGCTTTAGTTTAGAGCCTGGGCCATTATGTTATCACACAAAGTTAAAATGCAAAATCTTCGAGGTTTTAAAAAGAGACTTCAAATGGTTATCAGAAAAACAATTTTAATGAATTTTAGATATTTTGACTAGAATAAATTAATTATAATTATTTAATCATGTAATATTTCACAGTGTTACTCAAAATTAGACTTAATTTTGGAAATATGATGACAAATTAAGCCAAACTTTCTTGTAACTTTGTTCCATTAGTCTCAGACATTTTATTCCACTTGTATAAGTGATATAATTACTTACTTTAATAAAAAGGTCAACTATTATCTGATTATATAGAAATTTTATGACATTATAAAGGCTAATTTTTATCAACTAAAATGAAAACTATACTTAAAACTAAAATTTATTTCAATTAAAATACACATAAACAGATGGAAAGAACATCGCGTCACCTTTATAGAAATTTGGTTAATTTTTTTTTTTTTTTAGTACGTTTGTTCCGTTTGGAACAGGCTAAGGTCGGAGACCATGCTGCCTAGTCTTCAAAAAGATAATTTGTCTGGAATTTTATTTTTCTAATGTCGCTTCAATTATTGTCATAATCTTCAATATTTCATTTGTCAAATCCGGTAAGTACATTTTCATAAATATCTTTTCTTGAGTTTTCTTAAACCAGTGGATTTATCAAATTAAAAATAAATAATTATAAAAAATCATTGTCTTGCAATTCAATAAAAGTATTCTTATAGCTCCTTGAATGTTGTAGTAATATAAGTGAAAATAGCTTTGAAACAAGAAGGAAATCTTAAGAGAAGCGGGATTGAGTGCGGGATATTTTCGGGTTTTTTGAAGATAATCCTAAGTTCGTCAAACATAATGTGTCTTTGAATGACAAATTCAGAGCAATCAAAAAAAAGGTGATGTAGAGATTGGGCTGTATTTGAGTTACACCATGTGCATGATGGGGAAGCGATCATGCCCATTCGGTGCAGGTGTTCGTTGAAATGTCCGTGGCCGATTCGTAATCTACAAATATTGGTGTAAAATTTTCTGTTTGTGTCCTTTCCTTTGCAGAACCACGGTTTTCCAATACGCCAATTAATTTTGCGGTACCATTTGCCTTTAGTCTGTAATATTTGAGTCCAATGCTCCTCCCATTTAGTTGTAACGATTTTATGTATTCCAATACTACAATCTGAGTAACAAAGGGGTAAATCTTGAACACGAGCAGCACTTGAATTAATAATTTTAGCCAAAGTGTCTACTTGTTCATTCCCAAACACTCCAATATGTGAAGGGGTCCAGATGAAGATAATATCTTTTCCATATATAGTACAGAGATGATAATATTTATTACGAATTTCTTGAATTAAGTAGTTTGATGATGAAATGAATGTGTTATTTTTTAATGCCATAAGAACACTCATACTATCTGTAATTATAATCCATTTCGAATATAGTACCTGTTTTTCTATGTATTCTAATGCTAAAAATATAGCTTTTGCTTCTGCTGTGTAAATACTAGCCAAAGTTGAAATTTTATAACCGTGACCAAATCTATTTGACAAATCGTAAAAAGCCACTGAAGTGCTAAGTGCATTTTTGGAACCATCTGTATATATCTGCCTGTAGTCAATAAATTCTGATAAAGTCTCATACATATCGTGCTTTTCTTTTATGTCTTTACGTATAACAATTTTGATTTTACAGAACTTACTCTCATAAAGGCCATTATAACAAGGAAGTATCTTACTACTATAGATGTTATATTCATCTCGTAAATTCAAATCATTGACAATAGTTTTATTCAAAAACATAGAAATGGGGCAATTTAATAATTTGAGTATGAGTGGGTTATTGGAAACTGAAAAAACTTTGAAGAGAAATTTGAGTTTTAGGTATTCGAAACGAAGAAGGATAGGAGGCAAATTACATTCTACTTGCATTGAGATAATTGGAGAAGTATACATAGCACCTAAAATAAGTCTTAAATTCATATTTTGAATTTTTTCGAGTTTTTCTACTAATTTATGTTCTGAGGCATAACAAAAGAAAGCGTAATCAAAATTACTTCTAACAAGAGATTTGTAAAGTAAAAGGATAATTTTAGGATCAGCTCCCCAGTTACGACCAATTACAGATCTTATTATATTAGTGGCTCTTAAAGCACGATCTACTAAGCAATCAACGTATAGATCCCATTTTAAATTTTGATGAAAAATTACCCCCAGAAATTTAACGCTACAGTCTGTTGGAAGAGTTTGATTATTATATATAATATTCATTAATGGAACATATTTATGAACTTGATGAAAAACAACTACTTTACTTTTGGTTAAACTAATATCGAGGGAAAGAAGAGAAAAATATTTCTCAAGTCTTTTTAATGACTCATTTAACACTAATTGCATATCAATAATATTCTTTCCTTTTATATAAATTAATAAATCATCGGCAAATTGCAAGTTGTTCACACTGTTTCCTAAAATTGAATTAAGTTTATAGATATATAAAATATATAGTAGCGGGCTTAGAATACCACCTTGACATACTCCTTTAGAGCTTAACCTAGGTCCTATTAATTTACTATTTACTTTAACATACACTTCTCTATTACTAAGAAAATTATAAATCCATTCGATAAGTTTCATTGGAAGAAATGAGGATAAAATCGAAGATAGAACTGTTAAATTTACATTGTTAAAAGCTCCTACGACATCTAAAAAAACAGATAGAACATATTCATCGTTATTCAAAGCAGTACTAAGGTCGACATAGAAGTTCGCTAAACTTTCGCGCGCTGAATATCCACGGCGAAAACCAAATTGATTCGATGGTAATATACTATTACTTTCAATAAAGAACTCTAAACGCTGTTTAATTAATTGTTCGAATAATTTGCCTGCACAGGACGTCAATGTTATAGGTCTATAGGAGTCGAAATTTGTAGGATCTTTACCGGGTTTTATTACTGGAATCAAACAATCCATTTTCCATTCTGGTGGGATAATACAGTCCTTCCATAAATCGTTAAAAATTTGTAAGAGTTTAGTAAGGTTTATTTTATTCAGCAATCGAAACATATTGTATGTTAAGCGATCAAGGCCACTAGCTGTATCTTTTCTAGATTTTACTGCACTGGATATTTCATCAATTGAGAATGGGTCAGTGAGAAATTTTGGGCATGAATTAACAGAATTAAACTGTTTGTCATCAAAAGGTGAGTGTACAAAATCAGGAGTATATTTGCGTAAAAAATCATTGACCCATGATATATCTTTAAAATGATTTTGACGATGTTTTGAATTTAGTTTTCTCATATTTTGCCAAACAGTGGAAATTGGTGTTAATCTATTAAATTTGGAACAAAATTCCTGCCACCCCTGTTGTCTTACTTGCTTAATTACTAACTTTTTAACAGCTTGAACTCTTTTAAAATTTATGTAATTATCGAGAGTTGGATTTTGTTTAAACCTAAGGTAAGCCGCTTTACTATCATTGACAGCTGTCGCACACCTGTTATTCCACCAAGGTACTGCAATATGTTTGTGCCTCTTTGAAGTATTTGCACCGCTATTTGATAAGTTCCTACGTGGAACGGAACGTTCCACAGCTGTCAAAATAATTTTACAGAATCTATTGTAATTGTTTAAGGGTTCATTGACATCATACTCGAAATCCAAAAGTAATTGATTAACAGTTTCAGAATAAAGATCCCAATTAACGAGACGTAGGTTTATACGATTTAACAAAAGTTTATTAACTTCATCTATAGGAGCATGTTGTTCACCTGACGGAGTTGATGAAGAGTTCTTTGTGTTTATTTTAGTAAAAGTCGGCAGGTGATAACTTCCTAACGGATCATCATGAACCGACCACTCGCATTTTAATGATATGGATGGGGATACCATAGTTAAATCAAGGCCATTGGGTCTCCAAATATGAGAGCCAACAGTAGTAACTTGCTTATCATTTAATAGTACCAAATTACATTCATCTAAACAATCAAGAATGTCTTTACCTCTTGTATTAGTGGAGGTACAACCCCACATAGTATGATGTGCATTTAAATCTCCAGATATGATAGTGGGTTTAGGAAGAGACTCCAAAAAGAACTTAAATTTGGCTTTAGTAAAACTAGGTGTACTATTGGTAGGACAGTAAATACTGGCAACTGAATACCAAGAATTATTAACTTCAATACTAATAGCTATAGTTTGCAAAGAATTGTCGAAAAAAGAGTGAAGTTTTTTATATCTAATACTATTATGTATAATAATCGCTACTCCATTGTGGTTATTACCACAATCATTTCGTTCTATACAATAATCTTTAATTTTTAATTTGTAATGTGGTTTTAGCCAAGTTTCTGAGATGAGAGCAATGTGAATATGATGTTCATTTAAAAATTGTGTAAAAATATGTCGATTGCTCAGTAGGCTCTGAGCGTTCCACTGTATGATAGTTAATTGGTCTCGATTGAATTTTGTGAAATAGGTCTATTACCAAAAGTATCATATAACACATTCAAAACACTTTTAGTGTTAATAGATGTGTTCTTTGTGTTATGTAGTGAAATAAGTTTGATTATGCTTTCTATTAAAAGTGATAAACTCTTGTTATCAGAATTTAGAATTGAAATTAGGTCTACATTTTTTTTAGGTTTGTTACCCAGTTTAGGAAATATTTCAGTGCTAAGTATATCTCCAAAAGAAGCAGGTCTGAATTTAGATCTATTTTCAGCAATTTTCTTTTGTTTAACAGGGCATTGCGGTGATACACTTGTGTGATTTCCATTGCAGTGTACACAAATAGCGTTTTCCATTCCAGTTGTACAAGTTTTATAATTATGCTCACCTTTGCAGATGCTGCAACGCTCAGAATTCTTACAGAATTTAGCTAAATGTCCATACCTCAAGCACCGGTAGCATTGTTTAACTGGTGGTATATATGGAGTGACATTGTGGCGCCAACCTCCAATATCCAGATATTCAGGTAATACAGATGCAGCAAAAGTAATTGTCACGGTTAGAGTTGGCTGTAACACATATCCATGAGTCAAGGTATTTTTTCTTAAAATTCTTTTAATAGCAATAATTTTCTTAGAACTCGATATCATAGTATATATTTTTTTATTAGATATATTTGTAGGTACATTTCTAATAACGCCTGTAACTTCTGTTGAAGAAGCAGGAATACTGGCCTTAAAATGGTAGTCATTTAAAAAAGTTTTATTATTTAAAAAAGCATTGGCTAAGTCTGGCTTTTGAAAGTATACTCCGATTTTGAATTTATTTATAGATCTAAGATAAGTTACCCCTTTATTAAATCGTTTTAAACAGGAGGAGAGTGAGAGCAAGTCTCTGGATCCAATGGTTTTCTGACTATCTGAGGATTCTACAAAGACAACAAATTCTGTCCCAGGGGATTCCTCGGGATATCTTCTAATATAATCTGTGACGTAGTAAGGTTTATACTTATCGGCCTTATCAATTTCAGATTCTGAGTCAGTAGAAGTATCTTCCGAATATATATCCTTGTCATTACAAGGTTCATGGTCTACATCACCTGAATCGTCATCTTTTTTTTTCCTTTTTCTACAACTGCGCTTCCCCATGAATGCTAATTATATTACTGTCGCTGAATTTAGTGAAAATATAATATTTTATTAAATAATAAGAATTGATAGAGATAGTTTTAATAAATTAATAAAAAAAATTTAAAAAACCCGCTTGTTCTTATTCGAGTTTCCCGCCTTTTCGCAAAAGAACGAAATTTGGTTAAATTATTGACATTGATATATTTGACAGTACAATCATTGAATGACAACCAACTGACATACGTTAGGTTAGAGCTACGTAACTTTGACGTTTAATCTAAGAACACGGCGTAGAATAAGGTTAAATGTATAGCTCATTATTATTTAAGACCATTTGTACCACATTTCGAACAAATAAATTAGTCATCAATACATTAAAGGAATTGAACAAGGATTTGTTCATGATATTTATAGCAGGTAGATGTTAGGTGTGTATATAATAGATAGACTATATTTTTTACATATTTGTATATATTTCTTAAATCCAGTTGATATACTTGTCAAAGCAAATTATTGTACTATAAAGATCCTAATATTCCAGAACAAAAAATTACATAGAAGGAATAGAATACAATAAATATTTCGTCATAGCTGTAGAATACTGACGGATATATATATTTAATATTTGTCAGATCCGTCAGTATTCTACGACTATGACGATTTATTGTGAGTTGTACATTATAATTTTTCGTAAGATGTAAGAAAACACAGTATACCTATACAAAACAATTAGCTTTATATAACTTTTTTTATAATGTTAATATGTGAATTATTTGTTGATGACAAATTTTACATAACTAGATTATATATTCGACACAGTTTATGTAGACAGTATGCAAGCAGGTTATATCTAAATTTGGTAGGGTTATACGGCCGTATAACATTTTCTTTACAGCAACGTGCTATGAATTAAAAAAAATTTCAGCTGATGCTGTATCTTTCATCCTTTATTTACTAATTATATTTGTATAAGAAGAAAGGAGGCAACCATATGATTCCCGTTTTTATTTTATCATTCCTTTTGTGTTCTTCGCTCTTAAGGAGCACTATAATTCACTATAATTATGACTGTTTTATATACATGTCACCCTAATTATAAGATATTGTCATAATGTTTGTCTGAAGATTTATTTATAAGCATTATTTAACTGCCTTTTACGTCTATAATAAATAAAAACAATATACCATTTCATGTTGCATATAATTTGCTAACGCATGGACTGATGTGGAAGGAATAAGAAACAATTATAAAAATTTTATATAACTTTATTTAGTCCAAATCACTTTTTGGGTGCGGGCTTCGCCACTTTTACTGCTGGTTTGCCATCTTTGCCCTTTTTTTCTGCCTTCTTTTTTGGTGGCGGCGGTGGCGTTTTCTTCGGCGCTGGCTTCTTGGGTCGTTTGGCGGCCGCTGCCTTGATATCTTTCGCTCTGCGCTCGCGCAGTTTCTGCGCGCGCACTGCGGGGTCACTGGCCGGCAGTTTAATCTAAAATATTCGATGGAATTAGCGTTGGTCGAGGTATTTTCGTTTTTAAAGAGTAACGAGTGTAATCAGTTATAGTCAACGTGATTAGTAATCATGGATTTCATAACCCAATGCTCTGATAAAAAATATCATCATGAGAAATTGTATATTATATATTTACATAACTTAAAATGGCGATTAAAATATTTCTTTTAATTTCTGTTTAGCACTACTACTTCCTATGCCACTGTGTTAGGTTGACTGGAAGAGATCTCTTTTAGAGATAAGTTCGCCTTTGCTAATATTGTTATTAACTTATCGTTGTTACTGTATGTTTTAGTGCAATAAAGAATATATATATATATATGTATATATATATATATATATATGTATATATATATATGTATGTATATATATATGTATATGTATGTATGTATATATATATATGTATATATATATATATATATTGCTTGTTTTATATGCAATATATTGCCCACAGCCAGCCCAGTAGGCTCAATATAAATGTTTACTGTTATAGTATAAATAAATACTTACTCCCCGCTTCTCGGCCAACGCTAGCGCCCTCTGGTTATTGATCCTGGTCTGGTCCAACACGGCCTTCCTTCTCAGCACAGCCGAGTATGGGTTCAATCGCAGCATCGCGCGGGTATTGGTTAGAGGATTGAGTTTCCTAGTCGCGCGTACTACTCGTTTGCTGTGAACAATTTGGATGAGTTATAATTTGATGATGGCTATATGTATGGGTGTGTATGGTGTTGGATGGCAGTTTCAGTATTCGTCAACGTGATAGAGTAATCATGGCTATCATAACCCAATGCTCTGATAGAGTGTATCATCATAGAAATATGTCCTTCTAGCTCAAGATAAAAAAAAAATATTAAATGACCAAAATTAAGAAATAACAAACAAAAAAATCCAATAGGATTGAAAAGCACCTTCTTTTTAAAAACCAAAAACTTATTTAACTTGTTACATCATCTTCCCTACTACTTGTGTATTGGGGGGGGGGGGGGGGTTGTTAGTAATGGGGACTAAGAATCCCATTGCTAGCAATATATCCAACCAGGTCGACCTCCGCGCGGTTCCCTCTGGAAACTATCATGATTAATTCCTGATGAATTCATCATGATGGGCTAACTGGCCTGGAGTCAGTAATATATAGTAATATCTAAATAATGGGGGGAAAGGGATTGTTAGTAATGGAGACTGAGAATCCCATTGCTAACAATATACCCAACCAGGTCGACCTCCGCGCGGTTCCCTCTGGAAACTATCATGATTAATTCCTGATGAATTCATCATGATGGGCTAACTGGCCTGTTTTCATTCTCATCTATCACCCTTCACTGGTGCTCCGCCAGCGTATCCCGTTAGCGCAGTCGGGGTTACCACTCCATTTTCATCCAATAAAAAAAAAATACTCGTGTGAGTAGCGCCCTCTGGTGATAACTTGTGTAATCTGTATTATTCATTGAGGGGAAAAATAAAGTTTTTCTTTCATCAACTTATAATATATATACATACTTGGGTGCACGTAGCACCTTCCTGATCTCATCAGACTTCAGCAGGCGGCTCAAGTCGGTATTGGCCATCTTGGGTTGCGGAAGGTTGAAGTTCTTCTTCTCCTTGGATGGGGTCTTCCATGAGCCGAATAGAGCGTCTGAAATTACACAGATCATGTGAAATTCTTACTTATAAATGTTAATGTGAGTTTATCTTTTAGCACCTCAATGGCTCAACAAAATGTCATGAAATTTGATACACATATAGTTTTTGGGATGGAGAAGGATATAAGCTACTTAGAACCTGGCCTTTTAGACAAGTGGCAAGCGAATTTGTCGATGGAATCGACATTGCTAGCGAGTCCGTGAGTTGGAATGAGTCATCCGGCGTTGCTATCTCATTCTATCTCACGGACTCTCTAGCTATGTCGATTCCATGGTCGAATTCGCTTGCCACTTGTCAAGAGGGCCTGCTCATAACCGCATCTATTCGTCATAATGTATTCGATGAAGATGCAGACAACTTTTTAAATAGTCAAGGGGAAAACATTGAAAATTTTGAAATAATTGTGAAAATACCACACTTGATTATGAAATTTTCAGTCCTCAAATTGATATCTTCAACTCAGGTCTAAACACCTTCAAAAGCATTTTACAATCAGCCATCAAGTCTCTTTGACATGTCCATATTTTTTGTATTTCTATTATTTGCATGTACTTCACTGTTACTTCATTGTTATTTATCGCATTCATATGCTTTCTTTATATAACTTTATAATTTAACACTGTTTACCGACTGCTTTAACCGTGCTGTGTGTACACCTGTCTGGGTCTCAATCTAGTTCAAACTATTATCTTTATATAAATGTTTATAATGTTATTGATTGTAACCTGTTGTGTATGCCTTTAATAAATTAAAAAAAAAATATACTGTTAGGATATTTAGCATACTTTTACAAATACAATATCGTCCTTTAACTGTCCACTGTTGAACATAAGCCTCTCCCTTTGGGAGTTTTGCCAATAGTTGCCACATTAGACAGGCAGATTAGCAATCACAGTGAGACTGGAGATATTTTAAGAGGGATGCTGCTGCTCATCCTTTGACTACTAACATTCACAAAAAAGGAAGGGGGTGGCCTATTCACAGAGTATGGTTTCAAAAATGTGAAATAAGGAAAAATTTATTAATAACAAATTTCAAATTATCTATCAGATACAAATAGCTATATGGTACCAACATAGAATAAGCCCTTCATATCCCGTGAGTGTCAACCTAATGGTGGGGGGTGGGGGGGGGGGGAAGGGAATGTTAGTGACTGAGAACCCCATTGCTAGCAATATACCCAACCAGGTCGACCTCCTCGCGGTTCTCCCTGGAAACTATCATGGTTAATTCCTGATGAATTCATCACGATGGGCTAACTGGCCTGTTTTCATTCTCATCTTTCACCCTTCACTGGTGTTCCGCCAGCGTATACCGTTAGCGCAGGCGGGGTTACCATACCATTTTCACCCATAAAAAAAAAACACTAATAGTCGATAGCGTCGACTGTCTATCGTGTATAGATTTGTTCAGGATACAGTCGTTGGCCCATCCTCATTATCCGACATCGAAAAAGATGGATTAAGGGATTTAATTAAGAAGATAAAATGTATTCCTCATGTCGACACATTAGCCAGCTCGTGGCTACGGCTATTGTTTCCTTTGGGAAATTTAATATACCCCAGACATTCGTAACTCAAGCTGTATTTAACAGAATGAGTAAGGCTTTCTGGGTAACAAACATGAAAAAAACCGAATTCAGAACCTCCCTTATGAAATCGGTTGAAAAAGCTATGAACTCACCGAGCCTGTCGAAAGCGGATTGGGTCCAGATGATGAAGCGGCCGACGTGGCCTCCAGGTGCCAGCTTCAGCAAGTTGAGCTTGTTCACATGGAGCAGTTCCACGCCAGGGATGTTGCGGAAAGCGCGGGTCAAACCCTGGAGAAGAGGTTTGCTATGAGGATGGCAATTGGTACAGTCAACCTGATAATGATAGACTTCTTACTTTTTCGCTGCCAAATATTAGAACATATGATGTACGGAATCCTGTTCGGTATTCACTCAAGTAGGTGTAATATAAAACGCCGAATAAATATTTTTCTATCTTACAGTACTAGAGGTATTCAAAAAAAAGTTTTTCTTTATAATGAAATCCGCCATCTTGTCGTTGCGACCGTTTTAAAATCATGTATTTATTATATTGCTCCCTACTCTTTAAATTGTTTCATTTTTTTTGTCACTTTTATATTTTTATTAATCTCCCCTGAATATGGGTATAAAACATAAGTAAATATTCAGAGAGCTGACAGAAAATACATCATCCGCCATCTTGTGGCGGCGGCCATTTTGAAAATATTACAATATTAAGTAACTATTATTATATTAATTGGTTATATTTAAGTAAACTTTATTACAAGAATTTTATTTATTTGAAAGCAAGAAAGAAAAATAATTTATTTAGTGACATACATAGACATTACAAAAGCTAACAGTAAAAACAAATTCTATCCACAAAAAAGGCTCTTACTCTTACTAATTTATTCTTTATTGACCACATTACAAAACAATTTGTTACAAAAGGCGGATTTAATACTATATTTTTTTTATACCACGAAGGTAGCAAATAAGCATACACAGACAGTATGATGGTAAACGGTCACTATAGCATATAGACAACTGCAAAACTAGGGGTGACATGTGCACGTTGCCGATCCTGACCCATCCTCAATCACATTTCTGCTAATTCAGAAAACATTTTTTTCTGAATTGATTCATGTCTCAATGTCCTGGGTTGTGTCCTCGGATCGGTTCCTCATAAGACGGGGAATCCTAATTTGAGGATCAGCAATTGACTTGATAGATTTTTTTTTGGTTTGCGGTATAGTATTTAAGGCATCCTGTCTTCGCTATAGGATACGGGCGACGGAATGCCTATACAAGAGGGTACATGGTGGGCGCAATTTAGACGCAATATTTAAGGAGCATTAGGAAGGTAAATGAACGGCTGGATACTGCAACAAATGATGTATGTAATCAGATTTCGACCGACCTCTGCTGTGTACCGGTCCCCAATTCGAGGGACGACCTATCACCGCCCGTAAGAGATGACGTAGGGCGTGTATGGAAAGTACAGCAATCAGGTAGTTGCATTACATTGTGTAAAAATGATTGAGGTTTGTTAGTTTTGTACTTATGTGATCACTGGTGACAACTCTTACCTGATCCTTAAAGTAGATGATGAGAGGCCCTTTGCGTTGGATGCGTCTACGATTGCGCATCTTACCTTTACCGGCGCGCAGGCGCTGGGACTTGTACACCTGGGGGAATTAGATAGATAGATACTCTTTATTGTTCATTCTAGCACTGAGTTTTGGGGGAAAGGGATTGTTAGTGATGGAGACTGAGAATCCCATTGCTAGCAATATACCTACCCAAGTCGACCTCCTCGCGGTTCCCCTGGAAACTATCATGGTTAATTACTAATGAATTCATCACTTTTAATATATTTGAATATAGATATCTGACCGATATGGACTATATCGAAATGGGTGACGACCTTTTTTCCGCCATCAACGTCTAGAAAAACCCAAAATATAAATATCGTAATGATATCCATATTACCTATGCCTAGATCACACCTATTAGGCAAAGAAATTAAATACTTTTACATTTGGGGGGCGGATTGGCAACAGCAATTAGGTTTCCGAGATGTTTTAAGAGGGACGCTGCTTGCTGCCTATCCCTCGCCCTCCCTTAGTCGCCTCGTACGACACCTACGGGAAAGGAATGGGGGCCTATGCTATGCCGGGACCACGCGGGGTTTGAAAGGTATTTGGCTGTAAAATTACAGGGTATGGAAACATAACACCATAGTTTTGTGACATGCACAGTGTAGTTCATATCTACGAATGATGGCTACCAAATTCTATTAGGATGGACTTCAACTGTACTCCATTGTCTATGACAGGAAAGGAATTACTCCAATCCGTTTGTTGGTTATGGAATTTTCTCTCGTCTCACTAGAAATCATAAGCAAGAGCACCTTGAATATGTATAGAATGTGAGACTGAGTTGTGGCCATACGGTTGTAGTGATACATTTAGTAGAATCTTTTATTGCCAATTTTCTTATTTGTAATCTAAATAGTATATAGGGTTGGGTTACCATTCCATTACCACAGATAAAAATTTTATACGTCATAGATTAAGGATACTGTTTGTCTTAACAGATATAACATGCAGTGAACGAGACACCGTTATAAGCAAAAGACGGAAGTGTGAGCAAGATCGAAAACATTTTGTCTTGCTCTGCATACGCCTTTATTTTGGCGGGAAAACTACATTATTCGTATAAATTAAGTAATACCTCATGTCATGTAAACATAATTACCTATAGGAATGTATTTTTTACAATTTTTTTTTTCGAATTTGATATGTGAAATAACATAAGCTGATGAGTTTACAGTAAATTCTAAGATACATTTGTTGCTACCCACCTTGAGGACATCGGACCAGGCCTTGATGCGCCTTAGGAAAATGACGGCCTGCTTGGTCTTGTTGATCTCCTGCACCTTATCAGACACCACCAGGGGCATCTCCGGCACCTTGTCGATTACGTGGCCTGTCCCAGAACATTTTCAGTGAGATTTGTTGCTGAGTGGGCCTGATCAGACTTCATCCTCACCCATCATCCCTCACCGGTATACCGATAGCCGGACGGGGTTACCATTTCATTATTATTTATTAAAAAAAACCTCACTCATGGCATGGCGACTGTGGAGTGACTATGGAGCTGTAAATATGGATCAAGGAGTACTCTCACAATGGACATCAGCACGGAAAAGGCAAAAGTATGTGTCCTCTGCCACATAAATCAACTTGTATGTTTTACTCTCCGTCAATCTCCCTCATTGAAACAGCATTATAAATGCATAAATTCGCGAGGATGTGTAGAAATATGTTTATTATATCTTCATGCAAAAAATATTGAATGGATTTGAATTAAATTTGACATATATGTAAATTATATTGTAAGTCATACACTGTTTTGAAGTTGGCGAGGATGTAAAGAAATATGTATGTTTATTATATTTTCACACAAACACTATTGAATGAAGGTTACGTACCGCGGGCCTGCACGAGCGCGGGCACGCCGGCGGCGGCGACGGCGGCCGCCACGGCGGCGCGGCGCAGGCGCAGGTTGACGCGGCGGTGCCAGCGGCGCCACGGCTTGGTCGGCGCAAACATGCGCCCGCCGCGGCACATGTTGCCGAACGCACCCTGTCCCGACCTGCCACCAGAGGGGAGGGGGAGTTAGTAATCAGCTTTACAGACATCATCGATAGCAATATACGTTAAGTTGACCACCATGCGGGGTTGGGGGGGATGGGGGGGGGCATGTTAGTAACGCAGACTACCCCATTCCCATTGCTATCATTATAACACAACCTCCACGTTGTCCCCTTTTTTTTAACATCTGGAAAATGCTTTATACAGACCTATACACCTTGTGGGAGGTGAATGGGTACTGTGGAAATCCCCCATAACCATAAAACCAGACGATATACCCTCGAGATGCCATATGTCGGAGACATGGGTTCGCTTTCGCACTCACCACATCTCCGACGGTCCACGTTGTCCCCATTGGAAAACATAGTGCTGAATTCCAGGTCCTGTCTTTGCATTATCACAATTATTTATCATTCTTTCTATTTGTAGTAAGATTAAAAAAAAAACTGACCTGCTTTCATCTTCACCTACCATCCCTCGCTGGTGCCCCGCCAACGTGTACCGATAGCGCGGGCGGGGTTACCATTCCATTATCACCCATTAAAAAAAAAGTTTTAGTTATATTATTAGTTCTGAATCATTAATTCATTTATGTGGGTTACATAGCCCAAAGTGCAAACAAAGCTGAAGTTGCAATGGGCTGGTCACATAGCTCGAAGAACAGACAACCGATGGGGAAGCCTCTTGATAGGCGCCCTGTACAAGCAAATGCAGTTTGGGACGACACCACGCTAGTTGAAATGACGACCTCAAATATAGTGGCTCAGGACCGTTCCTTGTGGCAATCTATGGGGGAGGTCTATGTCCAACAGTGGACAGATAACGGCTGAGATGACGATGATTCATTTATTCACATACCTATGAGTACCGCCACCGCGCACACGCGGTATACGGGCTACGGCGCGACCCGTACCCCAGGACTCGGCACTGGTTTGGTGGCCTGAGGACAATCATTAATTGTTTAGGCACATTCTACGTAAATCCAACAACAGTAAGTACTTATAAAACAAATGACTACAATTTGCTTATAATTATAGAAAAACATGTTCTATTAGCATGGGGCAAGGTTTATATTTAAAAAAAAAATAGTTAAAAGTTTTGTTCTTTCGAGATTTTTCCAAGAGTACATCCTGGGATTCTTATAGGGGGGGTAAATTTATCCTTTAGGATCGGCAACGAGCTCGTAATACCCCTGGTATTGCAGGAATTCATAGGCTACGGTTACCGCTTACCATCAGGTGGGCCGTATGCTTGATTTAGAAAAAAATTAAATAGTTATTACTTGTAGTAGTTATAATGCACCCGTACCAACTACAGAGTGGATCCGGAACGCCAAATAACTACGTCAATGTAGCACTAATCCGCAGTGACACTCAGGAGCAAAACGGGCTCTTTGAATGTGGACATTTAGTGCAGGAAATGTATTGACAAACCTACCTGTTGAGACTGCAGCTATAGGCATTGCAGATATGGCGGAGCAAAGAGATTTTAGACGTTAGATGCGACATAAATAACAACTCCCGGTTGATGCAATTATAGCCTTATCTTCGATATTTTGAAAATCTTACAAATCTTAGTATAAAAGAACGTAATACAAAATGGTAACAGTGTTTCTCTCAAGCAATCACGCAACAGTGTCTTTTCAACCGCGCAAATAGAAAAATCAGGGGGAAAGGGATTGTTAGTAATGGAGACTGAGAATCCCATTGCTAGCAATATACCCAACCACGTCGACCTCCTCGCGGTTCCCTCTGGATACTATCATGGTTAATTCTTGATGAATTCGTCATGATGGGCTAACTGGCATGTTTTCATTCTCATCTATCATCCTTCACTGGTGCTCCGCCAGCGTATCCCGTTAGCGCAGGCGGGGTTACCACATCATTGTCATCCATTAAAAAAAAAGACAGGTATGTGCTAAAACAATGTTATATGTGTCAAATGGTTAACATAGAGAACACTCACCAGCCTCCTTGCTGACGCAGTATGGCTGGCGGGAATTCTTAGATATAGAGATGTGGACATCATTGACGATGTCCGGGCGGATGGGCGCCTTGAACACGAAGGGCAGGGGCAGAGACGCCCCGGGCACCACCTCGCTCTTCTCCGAATACACCGACACGAGAGGTCGGGCTACTGATAAACTCTGCAATGGAAAGAAGCGGTTTAGGCCTGTGGTCGGCAATCTGCGGAACGCGAGTAACATTTTTTTTTATACAACTTAGAATGGCAAACATGCTGACAGTCCACCTGATGGAAAGTGGTAACCATCGCCTATAGACATGAGCAATACCATGGACATAACAGAATATACTGTTTTGCCCATGATACCACCCATGCGTTGCCATTCCTGAGGACTCAGGTGTTATTCCTCTGTACCCTGTAAATTCACTGCAATAACCCACCCTTCAAACCGAAACACAGCCATGCAAACACAACTGCTTTACGGTTCACATGCAGCTCTTTGATTTCAACGCAACACAAATATTAATTATTTTATAAAACAAAAAATTTATAATCATTCTCAATTGATTTATAATTCTTTGTAGTAATCATTACTAAATCATTCTAATAAAAATATTTATAGTCTAGTGTTATTTAATTCATTATAATTGTTGTTAATTCCTGTTACTGTATAATTATGTTAAAGCAAATGCTGTGAATACCTATAATAGGCATGTACATTAATATTGTATTATATTTAATGTTTGTTATATGTGTTATAATGCAATATGCTGTTGATGTTCCTTTAACACGTTCATGCCGGCACGGGCCAACGGTGGTGCTAGATTGTCTCATTGGACGGTGCGTACCACCGGCGGTACACACTAGATCATCTTATCTGGTGGCACATACCACCAGTGGCCCGCACTAGACTGTCTTTCTCTGTCACCACCGGTGGTATGTGCCACCAGAAAAGACAGACTACCATGTATTCTATTGTGCTATTAGAAATAATGAAAATTTTACATTTATTTATTGAACATTAAAGTCGGCCCGGTGTAAACATGTTAAAAACATTCTTGATGGTCAATTTAGATTTAGCAAGTCATCATTCAGTGATAGAAGAAACTAAGCAAGAAAAATTTGAATGAGACAGCCCAGAATACTTATACTAATGTTCCAAGTTTGTTTTTAAATTCATCATCACATCAGCCATTTGCTGTCCACTACTGATCATAAACCTCCATCATGGACTGCCTTTATCATTGAGAGGTTTTGTCAGTAGTTGCCATGCTTTGCAGATGGTTTGGCAAATGTAGTTTTGCTGTGGTGATGTTTCAAGAGGGGCATTGCTGCCCATCCCTTGACCATTAAATTGCCTTAATCACCACATATGACAGCCATGTAATAAGAAGTAGTCTATTACGCCACATGAAATCTAAAATCAAAACCTAGGAAATCTGTTAAAGTAACAACCTTATTTACTGGACAGCAAATGTTATCAATTGTGTTCCACAAGTCGACACATTGCAAGTCAATATAAACAAACAATGTTTCCTATGGGAACTGAATAATTTCCCCCTTCCAGTACCTGGAGGCCCATGCAAGGTGAAACCAGGAAGAGTTTGGGGTACACATCTAAACTAATACAGTAAACACTATATATAAGCAACTCGTTTGAACCAGTTTCAATAAAAAAGCTTCTTATTGGGAAAAGTTGCTTATAGGGGAAAAAGGAGTATAAAAATACTTTAACATTTGGAAAATATTTTTACTTATTTTTTTTTACTAAGCTGAGTAGAATAAAATATAAAGAATGTTGCTTATATAGTGTTCACTATATTATAATGAACATATTTTTAAGAATAAACTCAAAAAATAATTAACTAATTTTAAAAATGTTTTTACCTACAGAAAGTTATACTATGAGTAAGTAACATGCACTGTATTTTATATAATTACTGTGCAAAGCAAAGAATTATGAAATAAACAAATTAAGAAATGAATAACATTTAAGTAAGCATTTATTTCAAAATTACAGATAAAGCGCCCTTAGAAGCCTCAGAATGGATACCGAGTACTAGTCTGCTTAAAAAAAATGAGAGAAAATAAGACATGATTTCATTAACCTAACCTCAAAATGTTATGTTAAATCAGAAACAATAAGAAAACACATATAAATAATAATCTGTAAATGTTACAGAGACCATAGGATTAATTTCTTATACCATATTTCCAGCTATTCATTATAAAATAGGAAAAATGCAAGGTATGATTTTTAGGAATAAGATCCTAAAACAGAACATGAAAAATTGTTAGTCTGACCAAAAAATCGATTTATTAAGAAAATCAATTTTACTTTGTACCGATTTAATAATAAATTATTCGATTTTAAAGAAATAAATGCCTATCTTTTGTGGAATTGTTACCAAACACGTGGGAGCATTCACCACACTTCAACAGAACATAGTAAACACGAACACTTGTAATAATTTGACCACTGCACAATAATTAACGAAATTATGCACATCTTTTCAGCATAAACTTACCATTTCGCTATATCAGCGACTATAATCCTCCAAAAAAACACTATAAGCGGCGGTAAAGACCATCCGCCATGCCACGGAGGAAATAAAAGACCGGAAACGTTCGAAAAAACTTTGACAGTGCTAAAGGACAGTTGCCATTTAATAAATTGTAACCTGATTAAATAAAATTATAAAAAGGCCATTACACTTCTTTTTTCCTACATTTTTATTATGCCAAAATATCATATTATATTTTATTTACATATATAAAATATTTTCTTTTCCTAACTGAAATTTACTGAGAAGTATTTCAGTAAATTCTGGAAGGGAAGCATGTGAGTAGGCTTTATAATTTTTGTTTTCTAAATAAATGTGGCAAAGTTTTTCTTTTAAAATGCCTAATAAATTGAAAAGTTGATGCCTAATGAATTGTCATTCCAGATGACTATTCTTCATCTGAGGTTTGAAAACTATACATTTACTTTTGACATTTCAAATATTTATATATTTTTGAAAGTTTTAATCATTTTAAACAGGTAAAATGAAAGAAAACGAAGCTCCAAACTACAGTCGTGATCAGGGTAGTAATATACATATTAAATCACAAAATGATAAAGAGCCAGGTCAATCCACAGAAAAAATGTACTCGTATTTTACATAACGTGGAAGTTACATGATCAACTAATGTAGAAACTCTAGAGACAGTCAGTATTTCATCGTCATTATCTCGTAACTTTGGCGAAAATCAACTGCAAGTTTGTGAGGACACAACTAAAACACTCCACCTTCTTATTCATTTGTATTAAGACAAATAGCTTTTAGAAGACGTCCAAGTATCGTTGGAACCTTTATTCCTTCACCGTCTTTTGTTGAACGCACTCCGCCGCCAAATTATGTTTCGTTTGATATTTTTCTAGACAGTATACCATCCCCTCTTCCCAGAGTGCATCATTTTGGGTTCGCATCAATGCTCGTAGTTTGTCCTAATTGTCCTAACTGTGGGTATACAGGTATGACCGTAGTAACGAGTAAAGTAACTATGTGTACCCATATTTGTGCAATAATTTTATGTATGCTGTTGGACTTGCGCGCCTTTGTCGTATATTTTGAGATCATGTAAAGTTGTATACCACTATTGTAGAAACTGTAGAAATTTCTTGAGTATGTATTGCGCAACTAATCCGGAGTGTACATAAATTAGAAAAATAAACATACAGCACAAAGTAAAATGTTTTATTCATAGTTAATTTATAACGTACTACACTATTAGAGTGTCCAAGTCAATCCACTAGAAAACCGATCTAAGAACAGAAAGATGTAAGATGAGGACTACCTTCGTTTGTTATATTCCTGATACATATTACCAGAAGTTTTAAACTCTGGTTTGGAAAAGATACAATAAAAATTTGTGAAATTAGCAAACACGTGACTTAAGAATCTTTAGTTTATACATCGGAGTCAATGATATCTAAATTGCATAAACACTGCCTCATATCATTATTGCTTCTAAACAAGTAACTCTCAAGATCAAGATTACCATTAAGAGGACAGACGACGAATTCTATTAATGAGCAATATTCTATAAAGTACCGTACAAGATGCAAAGTACCAAATATGCACGTGACCTATGGGGGAAAACGATTATCATATGGTGACCCGGTATAAGCAAACGCAAGCAGATAGAGTGACTGCCATAAAACTTTTGCAGGAAATCACAGGAAGTAAACGCCTTAGGATCGATTGAAATATGAGAGAAAAATGACAAAATATGAGAATGTTCCGTAGAAGACAAACTTTAATTTGAAAATGATAATGATTATGAACCTGATCTCAAACGCTAAGCAGATATATTTAAATAAGTATGTAGTGATTCATCTAATATCCTGAATTAAATAACTTCTGCAAACACACATTTTATGCCGCATTTAAAACAAAAATAGATAGTCTTCCGTAGATAGTTTCATACATATAAAAGGTACACAATTTAGAAGCAGACAATTAAAAAATCTTTATAAAATACAAATTGTACCTAGGTAGGTATCTACTTGTAGGATAAAAATAAAGATATTGGAGTAGTAAATAGAAAATGTCACAAAAAAATATAAAATTACGCTATGGACTCAAAGATTCTGTATCTTCTATTTTTCTGACACTTTAAACTGGCCTTGGCGATTTTCAAAATCTTTTAGTAAATAAATTTTATTATATTATTAATCTGCAAATCAAACATATTTTAAATAAGCATGATATAAATAAATGTCCAAATTGTTGATTTTCATAAAACTAAATCGTAAATTGTAATCAAGACCTAAATATAATTAAAATCTTTGAATCGATAAAGTTATGAGAGGGCTCATTGTCCGTTTCATAGCAATTATTTTGTGAATATTATAATTTTGACAAATACTAGAAAATTCTCATAATACTTTATGAAATATGATTTAAATGTAAAATAATCATAAATAAATAATAATAATTTTAAGTACATATTTCGTATTATTACGCAACTTTTGATTGCTGTTAACAAGATTCGTAAACAAACATTGCGAATCGCAGAATGAATGTGATTTATCATTATAGTTGCGTTCATGTGTACTAAATTAGTAATATTCGTTTACATGAATTACAATTATGTACTGAGACAGTATTAAAACCCAACATTAGGTAATTTAAGTCCTTTTTTTATGATTTCTTAAATTTTTGTAGTTTTACCCTTAAAAAATCTGTTTTATATTTAATATTTACATAATAGTTATTATGTGAATTTGAACGTATCTGCTGTCAGTGATGTTTTAGCGCCCTCTATCGTCAAAATATCTGTCGTGTAAAATTAGAAGTCACAGCCTTCTGCGAGTTCCGTGTGTGTTGCGGAAAAATCCCTTTTTGGGCGTCCGACCACATGTGAGAATAGTGAACAAAATATGTTTCTATAGTGATTTTCAGGCCATAAAAACCAATTTCAAAGTGTATTGTACATGAGATTGACAAATAACGTGCATACGGACCGTCTAGTGTGCAAATAAAGGTGGAATTGTACGACGGAAGTGGATTTTTTTGATGTAAATACTGTTCAGACAGGGTCACTCCGGTGTGCCCCAAGTGGTGTTCCTATATTTTTCGTTCCTTCCGCGTCACATCGCGTTCGTTATTTGTATCCGTCGGTCTATAATCGCTCAGGCTTGGCTTGGTGCGTATCGGTCTGTCGTTCTCCATTACTTGGGTTAGGTCGGCACGATGCCGTGCTGAGGAGCATGGTCGCGCGCTCGTGACCGTCGGCGCGGAGCGCGCGCCCCGCTTACATAACGAGGTGGTGACGGCATGGCCGCTCGCGTATCGTCCGAGGGGGCCGGGCCCTCTTACGCGTCGGTATTAAATTTTAGAGGTGGTGATAGCAATAAAGAAAACATTGAGGCATCAGAAGAAGTGGCGGACGCTCCGCCACGCCACGATGAGGAGGAGGAGGGTTTCGTGCCGGTAATATCGCACGGGCGGCGTCCAGGGAAGAGCAGGAGGGAACGTGAAAGGAGAGCCCCTCCGCGACCCCACAAGGTGCCGCAGCCTCACTCCGAGCCTCAGCCGACTGCAGAACAGCAGCAGCAGGCAGAGGAGGCGCAGCCAAAGAAGTTTGTGGAGGCGCCCATACCAAAAGTCAACCCTTGGCAGGTGAGTGGTCATAAATAAATAGCGCACAGTTGAACATATGTTCATTGTTTTTAACACAATTATAAATATGAAATTGGGCTACTTGATATGAATCAACTTGTATTTATTAAAGAAATAGTTTATTTACAGCATAATTTCAAAAAAATTACCATATGCTATAATAATAATTTCATCAAACTTGTTTCCACAAACGTTTGTCTCTAGGCGTATCTGTTTAGTTCTTTAATCACTCTAATATAAATATAATATCCTACCCAATTTACCAATGTTTGAAAAATTATTCATACCACAAGCTCAACATGTTACATATATGTTCTTACATGTGATTTAATCTTTTTTTAACCTATTTAGTAAACATCTAGATGTGTCCTTTGTCAAAAAAAAAAAAAAATACAGTATAAAATGAAAAAGCAGCTAAAGAATTTTGTTATAATTGATTGTGCCTCATTATACAACATAGATAATACATAACCTATAATTCATGTAGGTTATAATATTATGTTACTCATGTTATTTTTAAGTTGCCTTAGTTTGATAAAAAACATCTTAAGTCTAATGTCAATATTGTGGTACTATTTTGTAAACTAGTGTTTCCTAAAGTGGGTTATGTGGAATAATTTTTTTATGAGCGATAATAAAATTGTAAACTGCCTGCATTGTACTGAATTCCAAGTGTATTCATCATGGTAGGCTAAATGTAATGTAAATAGGACTCTATTTTCCGCGCTTAGCCTCTCATTTGGGCCGTTGTGCATATGAGTCGTGGCTAGTACAGCCAACCTAGCTCCGCCCAGAAGCACAGAAGCTTCCTGGGATCTTCATAGGCCTCACGGAGCGACCTCACCATTCTGAGGATTTCTATCATGATAGACTGACATGTCTTTTCATTCTCACTTATCATCCCTCACTGGTGCCCTGCCAGTGTATACTGTTAACCCAAATGGGGTTTTTTTTTGATGGGTGAAAATGGTATGGTATCCCCGCCTGTGCTAACGGGATACACTGACGGAGCACTAGAAAAGGGTGATAGATGAGAATGAAAACAGACCAGTTAGCCCATCATGATGAATTCATCAGGAATTAACCATGATAGTTTCCAGGGAGAACCGCGAGGAGATCGACCTGGTTGGGTATATTGCTAGCAATGGGATTCTCAGTCTCCATTACTAACAATCCCTTTCCCCCCCATGCATGTGGGGTTATCATTCCATTATCATCTATTAAAAAAAAAATACAATACATTCGCTATTAGTATTTAATGAAAGGGCACCAGTGTAAGTAAGTGAGGATGAAATCAGGTCAGTTGGTCCATAGTGAATTCACAAAGAATTAACTAACACAGTTTCTAGGGGGCACTGTGTGGAGGTCGACCTGATAAGGTATATTGCTAGCAGTGGGACTGCACATTCCCATTACTAATAATCTCTCTTCTTCCATGGAACCTAGGGATTCTGTAGAAAAGTCATCAAAGATCAGTATGAACAAAACTTCTATTTTTTTTTTAAGGAAAGGAATTGTTAGTTTCGAGTTTTAACAATGCTAAGGAAATATCCCACTATGCCTATCTGTATATGGTTTTCCTTCGAAATTATCATGGTTAATTATTGTTGCATTTGTCATCATGCCCTTTTTTATGATTTGAGAAATGCACTATGGAGTTTGAACCTTATTTAGGAAATAATAGAGTATCTTATCTATTTATTACTAGCGGCTCATCCAGGAGTTGCATAGGTGGACATTTTTAACATTTCCCTTCACTGCTCTGCTCCTATTGATTGTAGCGTGATGAAAAGTATACTATTGAATTGTCGATGATCCTAGGCTCACAGGCGGTATCGAACCCTTAAATCTTAGAAGCGATTTTGCCTCACTCTGCGTGTTCTACCGCCTGTACAATGGATTGTGCTCAGAGGAATTGTTCAATATGATACCCACAGCCACTTTCTACCATCGTACGGCTCGCCATCGACAGGGAGTTCATCCTCATGTCCTACAGCCTCAATGGTCGCGTACTGCGCGGTTTCAGAGATGTTTCCTCCCACGAACACTCAGGTTGTGGAATGAGCTCCCTGCCGAGGTTTTCCCAAGAGACTACAGCATGGGGTTCTTCAAAAGGAGGGTAAAGAGGTTTCTTCAGGATCGGCGACGCGCGCGTAATACCTCTGATATTGCAGGTGTTCATAGGCTACAGTGATCGCTTACCATCAGGTGGACCGTATGCTTGTTTGCCACCTCAGTGGTATAAAAAAATAATAATAATAATGTTTATCTACTTGTTGTTTTGACTAAAATTTATAAATGTATTTTTCTACACCTGTCATGTTTGAGTAAACATACATTACATACATACATACATACATACATACATTGTATTAACTGTTTAGTAATCATACCAAAAGTTGAAAAACAACTATCTTTTTTTCCCTTGGGTAAACTATCTTGGCTTATCTGCTTATTGAAATAACACCTACAGTTAAAGGAAGTTTTTTTTTTAATGATTTAAATAAATGTATCGACCAAAAGAAATTATGATACAGGTGGGCTTTTTTTTTAATGGGTGAAAATGGCATGGTATCCCTGCCTACCCTATCGGTATACATTGTCGGGGTACTAGTGAGGGAGGACAGGTGAGGATGAGAAGGCAGGTCAGTTTGTCCGTAGTGATGAATTCAACAGTAAATTAGTCATATAGTTTCCAATGGCAACCTTGTGTAGGTCGACCTGATAGGGTGTATTGATAGCAATGGGGACTAACTTCCCTATTATTAACAATTCCAAATGGTGGAACCACAACACAATACTCTTCTTTTTGATCTTTCATAACTATATGATCTTTTAGTTTATACTTTTCTCTCTTATCACACTTGTAATTATTATTTAGTGCTTTCATTTTAATTTTGTAACATTTACAGTTGCCATTTACCTTTGTAGAGCAATAATAGGGCTTGTTACAAAGCAAAACCCATTCCTTTTATTCATAATTAGCGTCCAACCCATTTTTGCTCAAGTGTACAGAATTTTCAAAAATCATTAGATACATGCAATAAAAAATGTTTCAGCCAATTCGACCGATTGGTTATTTTATAACATTTATAAAGATTTAAAGAGAGAGAGAGAGAGATTCTAGAGAGTCTTTTCGAGTTTTTTGATTGATATTATTTTATATATATATATATATATATATATATATATATATATATATATATATATGATTTTTTTATATGTATTGATAATAAAATGTTTTTCCTCTGCACCCAGTAAATTCACACCATATCCCACCTTTCAAACCGAAACACAGCCATGCAAACACAACTGCTTCACGGTTGAAACACGAATGGGACAGGGGTGCCCAAGCAATCGATTTTTGTACAAAGTCTCCCTCTGGTGATTAGTTCTGGTTATTACTATATATTACCCAGTCCTACTAGAAAGTAGAACATATGTAGAAGTTTATCACTCACAGGTCATGCTTCAATCACTGTTTATTCCATTTCGGTTATCTGTGGCCGTGAACTCCACTTGGTGGGCACAGATAAAAAATGTTAAAAGAAAAAATTACATACATGTATATATTTTTTTATGCAACTTAGAATGGCAAACAAGCTGACGGCCCACCTGTTGGAAAGTGGTAACCGTCCCCTATAGACATGAGCAGTACCATGGACATAACAGAGTATACTGTTATGTACATATTACTTTGATATGAAACTTGACTGATGGATAATCATTATTTTTCTCCCCTAATCCTGTTTTTCGTCTCTTCTGTATGCAGTCATCTTACACATACATCCTTTCTGGCTATAGCCATTGATATATCAAGTCATCTGCTTGGGGATCTCAGTCCCTTGTTTCTGCGGGGGGGAGGGAGGTATTGGTAATAACAGGGACAGAACAGGCTTTATTACAATATACCTTATATAATATTAGATTCAGGGGAAGGGTGGGGGGGGGGGAGAAATTGTTAGTAATGTGGACTACCAGTGCCATTGCTAGCAATATAACCTATTAGGTCGATCTTCACGTGGTCCCCCCTGGAAACCAATGTTCTGGATCCCCGGGATATTTTTTACGATGGGCTAACTGACCTGCTTTTTCATTCTCACCTATTTTCCCTCGCTAATGCTCGTCAGCGTATACCGTTAGCGCGGGCGAGGTTACCATTCCATTATCATCCATTAAAAAAGTGTTCTATTATGAAGAGAGACTATGTCCAACAGTGGGATGAAAAATGGACGGTTGTAACGATGGTCTAAACTAGCCTTTCGCAAACTGGACGATAACGCCCCCTTGTGGGCGCTGCACGCCTATAGGGGGCGGTAAGAGACCTAGAAAAAAAATGGGCGCGTTGTATAGAGGCTTGGGAGGTGATTTCGTGATCTTGAAGTAATAGTGGTTTTTAAGTAGGTGAAAAAAATGGGGGCGCTAAAAAATAATTTATTCTCAAAGTGGGCAGTAGACAAAATAAGTTTAGGAACCCCTGGTCTAAACTAATATTATATTAGGAATGTATAACAGGTTTTTTCATTAATATACTTACATATTATTACCATTAATTGGAGATTCAATGTTACCAGCTTACAACACTATTTTATAGCTCTTAAATGGCTATATATATATATATATATATATATATATATATATATATATATATATATATATAGCCATTTAAGAGCTATATATATATATATATATATGTGTTGTTTTAATTTTTTTTATACAACTTAGAATGGCAAACAAGCTGACGGCCCACCTGATGGAAAGTGGTAACCGTCGCCTATAGACATGAGCAGTACCGTGGACATAACAGAGTATACTGTTTCGCCCATGATACCCCCCATACGTTGCCATTCCTGAGGACTCAGGTGTTATTCCTCTGCACCCAGTAAATTCACGGCATATCCCACCCTTCAAACCGAAACACAGCCATGCAAACACGACTGCTTCACGGTTGAAACACGAAGGGGACAGAGGTACCCAAGCAATCCACTTTTGTACAAAGT